AGAAAGACATTATTGAAATTTGATATAATAATTTACCAATTAAAAAAAATTAACATGAGATTTAAATTTGAAATAACTAAAATATGTCATAAATAATGTTACGTTTTTTAAGCAAGTGAATCATATCTTTCGTTTTCTTTCGCTCCTGCTTCTTCTGCTTCTTTTATCACAGGGATTAGTCAAATCCTAAATATTTCATGTTAAATATTTTTTTATTTAAAAAAAATAAATATGAGTATTCACAAGCCTTCATCAATCTGAGCGGGTCCCATCAAATTATTTGTGGGTTCCGCATATTATTGAAGCGAGCTCAGATGCAGCAGAGCAGAGAGATCAACAGTAGGCCGGTGGCAGTAGGTGGGCCACAATCTGATCGCAATGGAGCTTTACACACCATATTAAAATCTGGCCAGTGGGGGTTAGTTTTGGTATTTAAGTGGCAACTCTGTGGACACGTATGCAGCCGTTATTCAAGTGCTCACGTCATTCTTCAAGTTCACGGACGGTGCCAGGTTTGGTACATATATGTTAAATTTTTGACTTTTCCGGTGAGTTCAATTGAAACAATCCACGTCAACTTACAAGAACACGACTTTTTTTTTTTTTTTTTTTAAAAAAAATTTTTTTTGTTTGAAAAAAAATATACAAGAAATACGACTTGAAATTATAATAACGAGTTTTTTTTTTTTTTTTTTTGAAAAAAAATATACAAGAATACGACTTGAAATTATAATACACGAGTCAAATACGCTTTGTTCGTTACAACGGTGGACTACAGTTTGATTATGGAAAATCAAAATGCAAACATCCTTTCCTACGTTAATACTGTATTTCTTTTTTAATTTTTAAAATTGATTAAATATTTTTATAGACTAAAATAAAACTGCGAGCTACACAGCAGAGGAGGCAACTCTCCCCTTAACCCACCTTGGACTAATTATAAAATTTTTGGGACGGTGAGAAGTAATGTGTATATACGTCAATGAGAGTGGTCAATACGTTCGGGTGGCATGTTAAAAGGAGGCAGTTTCATAATCAAAATACAAGAGAGAAAGTAGATAGAAAGAAGTGAGAAGGGGTTGAACTTTCTCCACGTTGAAGAACCAACGATACGTCAATGGCCCCATTTCGTACGGGGCATGACAAAAATAATGTGAAAAGAGAAACTATACACTAAAATAATGTGATTTGAAAATAAATAATTAAAATAATAGAGCATTAGATGAAAAATTTTTAAGGAAAAATTAATAAATAGAAAAATATATCAAATTATAAAGGGATTTAATATATAAACATAGATGTATTTTAGAATAATGTAACATAATAACATAGATATATATATAATACGATGGAGGGAATATTTTTAATTATAGATGATTTTTTTTTTTTTCATTTTATTATCATGGTGTGAAGCTATTTTTTCTCCACGACCTCTTTTTCAATAAATATAAGCATATATAATATATATAAGATAAATTAATTAATACTCATGCTCTTTTTTCTTTTTTTGTCCATTTTTTTAAACTTGAAAATTCATTAGTTTGATAAGCAATGATCCCATACCTTCTCAATCAATACACGTCTGTGCTTCCACATCTTCTCTTAAAGCAACATAAAAAATCAAATTGTATATACATAATTATATATGGTTCTTATGGCAGTTGAGAAGAAATATCCTTACCTTTTCATTTTCTTTTTTTATTAATTTGAAAAAAAAAAAAGAGAAATATCTATACTTGGAGCCACTAATTTCACTAGCTTTGCTTTACTAGCTAGTTGCTTAAAACTTTTTTTTTTTTTTATTTTTTTGTAAAATTTACTGTTTCTTTCAGAAAATTATTATTATTATTATTATCATTATTATTATTACTACATAATTAAGGGAGCAAAAACTTATAAGACAAGTAAACTAAGCAATTGCGAATTGTAATTAGAACCACACTCCCATTGTGATCCTTTTTTTTTTTTTTTTCTTTTTGATATCAAGGTGGTATCCAGCACTTAGAACGGACTAGCAGACATATTTAGTTATTGCCTTACACCTCGGATCCATGTAAATGTCCCTTTCACATAAATATATGGGATTGTGATTCATGAGCATCGATGGACTTAAATCAAAACAAAAATAATTAATTGCTTGAATGCCCACAAAAATCGAACCTAGGACCACCAAAAAAAAATTTATTCAGGGAGGTTTACAACTCTTTGCTTGTACTACTATTGTGATCTAGTGAAAATCAGACAGAGTCTCTGGAAGACAAAATTAGAGAACATGAATACAAAAAATAGCAAAAAAGAGAATAGCGAATACAAAAATGACTACACTCTCCTTTGTGAAACTATTTATCATTATCAACATCAAACGTTACGTTTTCCATTTAAACACACACTTATAGTCTCCGTTGTAGTTCGTACCAAAAAAGAAAAAAGAAAAAAGAAAAAAGAAAAAAAAAGTTATACAATAGAGCATGATGTACATCGAGTATACATTAGGCAATATTTTATTATTGATGGCTATGTATGCACAATCCATCTTGATTTTGAAATGTCGAAATTACTTTTCTTTCTTTTGTTTTTTCTTGCCTAACTTGAAAATCTAGTACTAAACCTACAATATTGACCAATGAAGGGTTTTATCCACGTAATTTCTTTGCAAATTAAAATAATAATAATAATAATGTGGGATGGTTATTTAGTAATTATTTTAACTTAATATTTAATGCATTAGTCGACAAATTTTATCCGTAGAATAAAAAATTTAAAATCTGAAGTCAGTACTATTGGAAAAACTTATCTGAAGATTATCTCGCCTGAAAGTTTAAACACTCTTGAAAATTAAAAAAGATTCATGCCTAATGTATAAATTAGCTTCTAATTTATTTTTGAGAAAAAAAAAATCTCCACTCTTTAAAAATTTATGGAAACTTATTTATTTTAAATTTTTATTTATGTAATAAATCCTAATCTTTTAAAACCACCATAGTGATGAGCATGAAGAGTAAAAAAAGGAAAAACTGAAAAATATATATTCCATTTGAGGGAAAAACATTAAAAGGAGAGTAAAGTTGTCCTTTATATATATATAGATTACGGATTATAGAGATTAATTAGAGAACCTAACATCTTTCTTTGGCTGCCAAACTGGCGGCACGTGACATAAAATAATATATAGTGATTAGTGATAATCTTTTTTTGTGCTTACACGTGCAAAAAGAATTCCAGCACGCTTTTCAAACATTCCATTAAGGCTGTCGTTTCACTGATTTGCCCTACACCTTTTCTCTATTGGCATTTACGTACATTCTGATAGTTCCCTGTCTGTAGTGTTTAACTTTTTATATATTTTGTATATGCTTTTTTAGATTCCAAGATTTAAACATTCCAATTAGAAAACAAAAGCACACTAATTTAAGGTTATTTTTATTAAAGTTAGTAGGATCAAACTATAGATTAATTATTTCTATGAAAATGAATTTTATTCTTTAGAGATTTTAATGAAATGTGAAATTATAAATTTCATAAATTCTATAGATAAAATTCGTGGATTTTATATTCTATTATTCAGTTAAAAACAAAATTAATAAAAATAATGAAAATTCGAGAAATTTAAAATGATGAATTTAGAGCATTAAAAAATATAATTTATTATTTTTATACATTGTTATTTATAAATTCCATCTTTCACATTTTGACTATTCAAATAACTCTTTTTTGGTAATAAGAAAAAAAAATTAGCTTGGAATATCCAACTCAAATTATGAAAATATTTGCTTACTAATAGTGTATAAGAACGTTCATATACCAAAATAAATCATTAATTGCTTTTAAAATATCACTTTTAATTTTATTTTCAATAAAAAATTTGATCATACCTTTTGTGTCAAATGTTTTTATTATGTTAATTTGATATATAAGTGAGCTCATATACCGAAATCAAATAAATATTTTTCCCTCAAATTTATAGTACATGCGTCCCATAAATATAAGTTTATTTCTATTTTTATATAAATTGAAAAAATAATAAAATATAATTTGAATAATTAATTTTATAATATATATTTTTTATTAATATTAAATATCACTTTTAATAGAAAAAATATTACTAATAAAGCATATCAACTAAATATATATTTGAAGAATAGTTCATAATTCATAACACGACAATTTTGTCTAAATTCAATAAAGAAGAAAAAAGCATATACGATTCAAACAAATAGAATGAAAAATCTAATTTTGAAAAATGAAGCCTATTGATTGAAGTTAGTGCTTAATATATTAAAATATTTCTAGACTATATATAAATAAAATAAAATAAATTTTCTGGTAAAAAAAATTTATGCGGTGGAGGTGAATATTTTCGTCCCATCCAAGTAAATTTAAAGTGGGACCCTAAAGTGAAAGTAAGCACATCACATGACATATGCAATTTGCTTATAAACCCATAAATTGCTCAAAAAAAAAAAAAAAAAAAAAAAAAAATTGAAATTGTGTCATTTAATTTTCTGTATATGTTTGAGATTCACAATAATGCCACTTTTCAATCAACAGGGATATTATTGCCATTTATTAAAAGACAAGGGGTAACATCAAAGAAAATTATTTGCCCCACTTTCCCTGTGCCTTTCCCAATTCCTAGAACCGCGTCGTTTACTTGGAAACCCGGAAACTCGCTTTGACTCGGCTGTCCAATTTTGTATTTTCAAAATTATAATTCAAGATCACAAAAGCAACAAGAAAAATTAAATTAAACTAGAAAACAGAAAACAAAAATTTGAAAAACGTGTGGACGGTGAAATCCTCTGATACACAACTATTCTGTCTTCTCTGTTACATGCTTATATATATTGACAACGTTATTGGTGATACAATACAACGCATCAAGAAAGGGCAGCACTAGAGCACTAGCGCATAAAATTTTCACATCCTTGAACTCTCGTTCCTCTCATCTCTCTGAGAAAGAAAATTTTTGATCTTGAAACAGAGAAGTAGAGGAAAATAAGATGGCACTAGCTAAAGAAATCATGGGTAGTTCTTTGTTTGATAAATCATTATCTATATCAACTTCTAAAGTTTTCTTGAATCATAGTTTTCATCAAAAGAACCAGCTTTTGGTGAATCCAGTTTTAGTGCCTTTACAACAGAGAATGGTAAAGAGAGTTGTTAGGGCCCCTGTGGCAGCTATCAGTGAAGATTTAATCAAGGCTAGTAATACTAATACCAATAATATTTTGCCTGAAAAGGCAGTCAAGTTCAAGGTTAGAGCTGTTATTACTGTTAGAAACAAGCACAAAGAGGATTTGAAGGAGACTATTGCGAAGAAGTGGGATGCTTTCATGGACAAACTTGGGAGAAATGTTGTTTTGGAGCTTATTAGTAATGAAGTTGACCCAAGTAAGCTTTTTTTTTTTTTTTTCAATTAAATCTTTCTTTTCTGGGTAATGATAAATCGAGAATGCTAAATGTTAGCTTTGGTTGTTAATAATGTCTATCTTATGCTACTTTTTGGTTCGTTACTTCTGGTGTTATTCCCCTTTTTCAATTTTTTGTTTGCTAATTTGAAGTAAAGAATTAAATTCCCAGGTGGGTTTTAGGTTTCTCTTAATGGGTTATCAAAATTATGTTAAAAAAACGAGGAAAAATCATTAATTTATTCATTAACAATTCTCGTATAACATAATTGAGCCTTTGCTGAAATGGATCATGAGTATAATATCATCTTGAAACTTTTTTCTTCTAGAAACCAACGCCCCAAAGAAAAGCAAGGAAGCTGTATTAAACGACTGGTCCAAGAAATCAAATTTTAAAGCTGAGAGGGTTCATTATACTGCAGACTTTATAGTGGATTCACATTTTGGAATTCCTGGTGCAATCACAGTGAGCAACAAGCACCAAAATGAGTTTTTCTTGGAGACGATCACTCTTGAAGGTTTCGCTCGTGGTCCAGTACATTTCCCTTGCAATTCCTGGGTGCAAGCCAAGAAAGATCATCCTGGAAAAAGGATATTTTTCTCTAATGAGGTACTTAGCATTGATTTTTCTTCATTTGGTTGTTCTTTTTTTTCTTTAAATTTTTTCCCAATTGTAAGACTTTTGGATAAATTGCAGTCCCATTAAATTTTTATGTTCTTGTTCAAAAAAATGTCTTGTAAATGTCAAACTTGAAATATTTTAGGCTTTGAATTTTTGCAAAAGACAAAAAATTCAAAGCCTGTTTTTGTTGACACGCTTTGTTGCAATTCTTTCCCCTTCACTATTTTCCTCATTCCTTGAATTGTGATTTTTTACTTGGTAATTAGATCTTATAACAGGAGAGATTCATATTCACTGAAATAAAGCTGAATTGAATCATATGCCAATTTAAGAGGTTGTAATGGAATGCCACTTTAGTCAGTTCAGGACAAAGAAAAAGAGAAAAAAAAAGGTGACTATTTGTTTGCAACAATGTCTTTGTTGAGATTCCACTGAGATTGGATGGGCCACTTCTCCAGAATGCACCATGGACCCATGATCTTGAAACAACTAGCATATGAATGGTTTAAGTTGTTTGTTTCTTGTTGTGATTATTAAGTCCGTCATAAATAAACTTGCATAACATTTTTAAAGAAACAACTGCACTGTTAAAGTTAAAAGAATTTTGCCTGTATGATAAAGTTGCATAATTGTTAAAGTCTAAAGTTTAATTGTGATGATTTTTATTTGACCAGCCATATTTACCAAGTGAGACTCCTGCTGGACTAAGAGCATTGAGAGAAAAAGAACTGAGAGAAATTAGAGGTGATGGTATAGGAGAAAGAAAATTATCAGACAGGGTGTATGACTTTGACGTGTACAATGATTTGGGAAACCCAGACAGAGGGATTGACTTTGCTAGACCAACACTTGGAGGTGAAAACCTCCCATATCCAAGACGTTGTCGCACTGGGCGCCCCCCAACTGATACAGGTTACTGCCATATCTACATTTCTTTTATGCTGCACAGCTCGAGTGTTTTTGTATAATAATGTGAATATATACTAATATCATATATTGTTATACAGATATAAATGCGGAGAGCCGTGTAGAGAAGCCTTTGCCTATATATGTGCCTAGAGATGAACAGTTTGAGGAGTCTAAGCAAAAGACATTCTCAGCTGGGAGGCTTAGGGCGGTGCTTCATAATCTAATCCCATTGATAAAGGCCAACATTTCTGCTGAGAATCATGATTTTAGTGCATTTTCAGATATTGATATTCTCTACAGAGAAGGGCTTCTTCTTAAAGTAGGGATTCAAGATGAAATCTGGAGAAGGCTTCCTTTGCCAAAGGTGGTTACCAAGATTCAAGAATCAAGCGAAAGACTTCTCAGATATGACACTCCCAAGATTCTTTCCAGTGAGTAATATTTCTAATATTTCCCATTTTATTGTGTCAATGTTACTGTGGTTGGGTACTAAAATTAACCTGCCAACTGAGTAACTGGTACCATTAACTTAAAATTAGGAAATACTTATATATTTAGCATCAAAACAAGCCTAGACATACAAGTATGGTGGTGAGATTCACTAGTTAAAGCCATGGTGCAGTTTTTTGTTGGCCCACTGCCCATGTATCATATAGTGGAGTCCAAGTCACAGGTACAAATTTCAGAAAATAAACATCTGTGCCACTTTTGTAACTGTTGAAAAGAAGAAAATAAATGTCTGAATTTGATAATTAGAGAGAACAACATCCACTATGTCTTGTCCCTTTCCCCTCACTGGCTGCCATTGGGAGCAGGCTTTATTTTTTAAAAAATTTGTTTATGATGCGAGTCTTCTAATCCATGTGCATTTATCATTTTCCCTTTTTGATATGTATATCATCACATTTCTCATGTGGGTAATGTCACATGGTTATTTAACTAAGAGGCAAGATTATTTTTCTTAATGTGGATGTGATTCCCTTGCGCAGAGGACAAGTTTGCGTGGTTGCGAGATGACGAATTTGCCCGTCAAGCAATCGCAGGGGTTAACCCTGTCACTATTGAGCGCCTGAAGGTTTTTCCTCCCAAAAGCAATCTTGATCCTGAAATCTATGGTCCTCTGGAGTCTGCTCTGAAAGAAGAGCACATTATGGGCCATCTGAATGGCATGTCCGTTCAAGAGGTATTATAATTTTTGCCCTCGCCAAGTAACATACGATTTACTGTGAATATGATTTACAAGTTAAGCACTAACGTAATTGTATGTTTTCTGAATATTATTGCAGGCGTTGGATGAAAATAAACTTTTTATAATAGATTATCATGATGTTTATCTCCCATTTTTGGACCGAATTAATGCCCTTGATGGTAGAAAAGCTTATGCAACTCGTACCATTTTTTTCTCGAGCCCTTTAGGGACTCTTAAGCCCATTGCTATAGAGCTTAGCCTCCCACAGGCAGGACCAAATTCCCGATCAAAGCGAGTAGTAACCCCTCCAGTTGACGCAACTACCAACTGGATGTGGCAACTTGCCAAGGCTCATGTTTGGTCCAATGATGCTGGGGTTCATCAGCTAGTTAATCACTGGTAAGTATGATATTTCAACTCAAAAGTTGTCATTATACTTAAATTTATTTTTTCATTTTAGCAAATTAGTTAATTGGATGTTATGATGATTATAGGCTACGCACACATGCTTCCTTGGAGCCATTTATACTATCAGCTCATAGGCAATTGAGTGCAATGCATCCCATATTTAAGCTTCTGGATCCACACATGAGGTACACTCTAGAGATCAATGCACTTGCCCGTCAAAGCTTAATTAACGGTGATGGTGTTATTGAAAACTGCTTCACTCCTGGCCGTTACTGCATGGAGATTAGTGCTGCTGCATACAAGAACTTTTGGCGATTCGACATGGAAGGCCTTCCTGCTGATCTCATTCGTAGGTATATTACAAGTAACCCAATTGTGAAAATATCAGCTTAGGTTCCTCTTATTGTTGCTTACTTGAACTGGAAAGACAAAATTATCAACCTATGTCATAAAATTTTGTTACATGGAACAATAAGGGACAGGAAACATAGGAAAGAAGTTACATGATCTGAATCATGAATTTTGTGTTCTGTTAAAGTGGACGGAAATCGTGAGTTAATCTAATAAAGATACTTGTTATCTTGCAGAGGTATGGCTGTACCTGATCCAACACAACCACATGGCTTAAAGCTTCTACTTGAGGACTATCCATATGCTCAAGATGGTCTTCTAATCTGGTCTGCAATAGAGAACTGGGTCCGGACCTATGTGAACCGGTACTACCCGAATTCAAGCGTGGTTTGTAATGACAAAGAGTTACAAGCTTGGTATGCTGAGTCAGTCCATGTGGGCCATGCTGATCTCGGCCATGCAGATTGGTGGCCCACATTAGCCAGCGCTGATGACCTTACCTCAATCCTCACCACCCTTATTTGGCTTGCATCTGCACAACATGCAGCTCTCAATTTCGGACAGTATCCCTATGGTGGCTATGTGCCCAATAGACCACCTCTAATGAGAAGACTAATTCCAGAAGAAAATGACCCTGAATATGAAAGTTTTGTAGCTGATCCTCAAAAATATTTCCTGTCAGCATTGCCAAGTCTGTTACAAGCAACAAAATTTATGGCTGTGGTAGACAACTTATCAACACACTCACCGGACGAGGAATACATCGGTGAACGACAGCAACCATCGATTTGGTCAGGTGATGCTGAAATAATCGATTCATTTTATGCGTTCTCTGCAGAGATGGGACGGATAGATAAGGAGATAGAGAGAAGGAACAAGGATCCTAGCCTTAAGAACAGGTGTGGTGCAGGAGTTTTGCCATATGAATTACTAGCACCTAGCTCAGAACCTGGTGTAACATGTAGAGGAGTACCAAATAGTGTGTCCATATGAGTCAAAAGAATGTGACTTGAAACTGTCACATTCTATTGCCTTATTTATTGGAACCATTCTTATAAAATTGTATCTATATATTGTGTCAATGTAGGTTGCTCTTTGTGACACTTTTAACATAGGATTGTATATGCAATAGAGTGCAATAAACAGAGCTCTGTATTATAAGCTTATGCTAATAATAAGCTATTTATTGGGAAAAAAAAAAAAATTGGGAGTTTTTAATGTTTGCCCTTTACCTTGAAATGGGCCTGGCTATCCACTCTTCAGTCTTTTTATGGACCCATCTCTTCCAATTTATCTATCATTATTAAGGCCCAACAATTGGACCTTCAAAAGTCCATAACAAAATAAAATGTTACCTGTCCTTTATAATTGAATTAAACTAATAAATTCAAATGAATAGATATAACTTAATTTTTAAGCAAATTTATTTATTCTCTATTATAAAATTAAAAATTAAAACTGTTAAATTATAAATTAAAATCAAATGGGTTTATTAAAAAATCGAATTAGATTAATTCGATTTATATTTTAATTTTAATTTTAATCGATTTTATGTTTTCCTTTCAATTCAATCTGTAATGAGACAAATCAAATTAATTTTACTAGGTAAGAAAGTCAACTCTATGGACCAATAATACGAACAACACGTCAAAATTTTTAAGATAAGCACTTAAAACTCTTGTACTTCACCTAATAATTAAGTCCTATAAGTTGTAAATAAAATTTTTGTTATTGTTTTAACATTTCTTAAATTTGATAACAGTAATATATTTTTTAAATAAAAATAAAAAATAATGATATGATGAGCCCTATTGAACCCAAAATACCCAACAACCCAAAAAGAAACACTCTCAATTCTCAACCACTTACCTGTGGAGCCACTGGCAGCGTAGACTCGAGTCAACCGGGAACCATTTGTCAGGTGGAAGTTCTCATTTTTCCCTAAGAAAATGAAAGGAAATTTATAAAACGACTTGGAAAGTTGAAATGGTCAGTGGTCAATGGACGTTTCTTTTTTTTTATTAAAGTTCACACTTCTTTTCTTTCCATCTTCCATTTGTACCAACCAGGAAACTCCCTCCGATTGGACAGAACAAAGCCACTTGTTTCTGAAACATGGAAGAAGAAGCTTGTTGCCCTCCCATGATTTTCCTTGTAAGTGTGAACTGGTCACAGTTTGAAATTAATAAAATTTTTCATACTACTAATTCAACCCTTCATCAATTATTTACAAATATATTGCATTTTGAAAAGAGAATACAATAACTCATTGCCTAAACGACTAACCCCCACAAGGCAATAGAAAGCGACAGCTAACAATAGAAAACGACAGCTAACAGTAACTGCAACAACCAATAAAAAATTGATTTAAAAAAAAAAAAAAAAAAAAAAGGCAATAGAAAGCGCAGTAACAAATAGGAAAAAGACAGTAACAGTAAACTGCAAAACCAATAAAAAAAAAAAAAAAAAAAAAAACAAAAAACCTATATTGAACTCCTCTTCTACTTTCTCTCCTCTATATAAGTGTCAATCACGACTTCCACCTCTCATCACTTCCACACCTACAATCACTACACAAATGGAAACTCCTACTTGGGTTGCCTTTTCCACTGCCTGGGTTGCCATCCTAGCTCTACTCCTCCTCTCTCGCCGTCTCCGCCGTCGAAAACTCCACTTGCCACCAGGCCCAAAATCCTGGCCTATCATCGGAAATCTCAACCTAATAGGCTCACTCCCCCACCGCTCCCTCCACTCCCTCTCTGAAAAATATGGGCCTATTATGCAGCTCAAGTTCGGCTCTTTCCCAGTTGTTGTCGGTTCCTCCGTCGAAATGGCCAAAACTATCCTTAAAACTCATGACGTCAACTTCGCCGGCCGCCCGAAAACCGCCGCCGGGAAATACACCACCTTTAATTACTCAGATATAACATGGTCACCTTATGGACCTTATTGGCGTCAAGCAAGAAAAATGTGTGTAATGGAGCTTTTTAGTGCAAAACGCCTGGAATCATATGAATATATACGCGTAGAAGAGCTTAGATCACTACTTAAAACTCTGTTCCTCTCAAGTGGCAACGCTATTAACGTAAAAGATCATCTTTCAGATCTTAGTTTAAACGTTATAAGCCGAATGGTGTTAGGGAAAAAGTATACAGTGAAAAATGAAAACGAAAATGAAATTGTGACTCCAGAAGAGTTTAAAGAAATGCTCGACGAGCTTTTCTTGCTCAATGGGGTTTTGGATATCGGAGACTCCATTCCTTGGCTTGCTTTCTTGGATTTACAAGGGAATATAAAAAGAATGAAGGTTTTGAGCAAGAAATTTAACAGGTTTTTAGAGCATGTTTTGGACGAACATGAATCAAGAAGAAAAGGGGTTGAGAATTATGTGGCTAAAGATATGGTTGATATTCTCCTGCAACTTGCAGAGGATCCTAATCTTGAAGTCAAGCTTGAAAGAAACGGAGTTAAGGGATTTACACAGGTATGCATTTTTTAAAATTAATTAATTCTTTATTCATTAATTAATTTAATTAATCACTCTTGAAGAACTGATAAGCAAAGTCGTTTTTGTCTTTGCATTTGGAGTCAAACAAATCAAGTACTTTATTTAAAAAATCTTTATTAGTGATTGATGACTAGTATTAGATTATTGCTTCCACTTATCAGAAGTTTCTTCCCCATTTCCTTATGATCAAACGGTGGACCAGACAGTTACACTTGCAGCAACATAGCTCCCCTAATTACTCACCATTGACGACGTCATTTAGCTTAATAACAAAAATAAAAACCATTGAATTAACCCTAATTTCCATAATTAATTCTTGAAACAGATAATCATATGAGCTAATAAAAAAAATTAGTTTAACCGATCATAATTTTTTTTATTATTGATATTTTTGTTTTCCTGATGATGGTATGTATTGAATAATTATCCTCAGGAGATATTTTTGTTTTCCTGATGATGGTATGTATTGAATAATTATCCTCAGGAGATATTTTTGTTTTCCTGATGATGGTATGTATTGAATAATTATCCTCAGGAGGGCACTTTCTGAGCTGTTGAGAAAGCCAGAAATTTTCAAGAAAGCAACAGAAGAACTAGACAGAGTAATTGGAAGAGAAAGATGGGTAGAAGAGAAAGACATTGTTAATCTACCATTTATTGAAGCAATTGCCAAGGAAACAATGCGTCTGCATCCAGTGGCACCCATGTTAGTTCCTAGACAATGTCGTGAAGATACCCAAATAGCTGGTTATGACATTCAAAAAGGGACACGTGTCCTTGTCAATGTATGGACTATTGGGAGAGACCCTACAATTTGGGACAACCCTAATGAGTTCTGCCCTGAAAGATTCATTGGTAAGGCAATTGACGTTAAAGGGCATGATTTTGAGCTATTGCCATTTGGTGCTGGAAGAAGAATGTGTCCTGGTTATCCTTTAGGAATAAAAGTGATTCAAGCAAGTTTGGCAAATCTTTTACAAGGGTTTAATTGGAAATTGCCAGGGAATTTGAAGAAAGAGGACTTGAATATGGAGGAAATTTTTGGGCTTTCTACTCCTAAGAAATTCCCTCTTGTTGCTGTTGCTGAGCCTCGCCTTCCATTCCATGTTTACGGGATGTAATTTTTCTTTTTTGCCCTTTAGTACTTTCTGTTAAACACTAATTACTTCCTAATTTTCCATCATAAATAAGAAAAAAATAAGATTTCAATGGTGTAATATTGATATTGTATTTTTTATTACCTATGCCTTATCTCTCATCAATTAACTCTTTTTTTTTTTTTTTTTTTTTTTTCTTGCAATCTTTTGGGCCTAATTGAACTTGTGGCCTAATATTGGGCTAACAAAGTGTTCTGAACTTGTATAACAGACCATGGGCCCATAGCTACTGAATATCCATCATTGCTAATGGACATACACATCACCGAATCACAGTAATTTTCCCACTTTCAAATTTCTTTACTTTCTTCGACCTCCGTGAACAGAAAAGTCCTAAATGCTCCATAGCATCATAAGGAAACCGAATACCTTAACGACGGTTTTATGCCGCCGTTTCTGTCCGTCAAGTTCTGCGTTTAGTATTTTCTTTTCATCTTCTAGATTATTCTTCTCTACTGACTCGGTTGCCAATAACTCGCCGGTAACTCCAAGAACGGAGTTGACTCGGCTGCCCAGTATACTAGAGGATTGTGACTACAAGCACTGGCTCGTGGTTATGGAGGCTCCTAAGGAATATCCACTTCGAGATGAGATTATCAATCGCTATGTCAAGACTCTGGCAATGGCCTTGGGCAGGTAAAAACAAAAAGGCCCTTGTCTTAGGCTTTAGCTCTTGAAAATAATTGATTTTGACTGTAAGCAAGTTGACTAACCGAGTTGACTGGTCAACTCGGTTTCTTTTCCAGTGAAGAGAAAGCAAAGGAATCAATATACTCTGTTTCGACGAAGTACTACTATGCCTTTGGTTGCAATGTGTCGGAAAATCTCACTTACAAGATCAAATGTGAGCTTTCTTTGACACTCTTTTTGCTTTTACAAGTAACATGCTTAATTTTTCAACTTTCAGTATGTTCTTTCTCTTGTACTTTGCGTTGTAACTGTTTTATTTGGTTACAGCTCTTCCTGATGTAAAATGGGTTTTACCGGATTCATATTTGTGCTGCGGTGAAAGTAGTTACGGAGGTACTAGTTTTTGTTGTGTTAAAACATCATGTATGGTTGGTGATGTAGCTTGTAAATCGATCTTTTTGCATTTTTGTTTCAAAAGATAAAATCTTGATATATATTAGTAGTGGTGAACCTTCAATTCCATCTTTTGGCATTTCGTGGTTAATGAAGAATCTCTGGATATATTAGCAGGAGAATTATTTCTCTTCGAGTCAGTTATCTCTATAATTTGAGAAATAAAGCTATAGAGTAGTCAAAGTAGAACCTTGTAATATTCGTTGTTCTAATATGTTTGTTGGGGTTGTTTTTATAGTTAAAATGTATTTAAATGTCTTCTTCTCATTCTCTCATTCTTTGCTTAAAGTATTTATATTTTCTTATAGGAGAGCCGTTTTTTGATGGGGAAGTTGTTCCTTATGATGACAAGTATCACGAGGACTGGGTTCGGAATCAAATTAATGAAAAACACGCAACCATGGGCCATGTGAAGAAAGCAAGGAGAAAACAGAAGAAAAGTTCTTCGAATTGAAGAGAGCTTCTTGTCATAAGGAGGTATTCCTGACTAGATCTTTTTTATAGATCATGTAGAAGTTTTGTTTGTATAGATATTGAAGCATGAGAATGTCCACCCTTGATGCAACTAGTTCTGTTCTCTTGATGAATCATTTGAGATAGAATGAATATGGATTCCATTGGAAACTTGGATTACGCAAATTAATTTGGAAAATTATGAAATTGCCTGAAAATGTCTCTCTCTGTACCTGATAAAGAAATATATGCGCAAGGCACATGGAGACAACTTGATCTTAACCATTCATCAATATGACATTTCGTTTATGGTGTGCAAAACCAGTTGTACTGTAGCTTCTGCAAAATCCAGGTGAAGTAATGAAATAACTCTAGCAACATGGTAAAGCAACAAATATGTACTCCTTGGAGTCGATTAGCACATTAGTTCTCTGCCAGCCACGCAGCTATTATTGAACCTGCCTAACAGTCTTAACACACAAGATTATTTCAATTTCATAGTTCAATTGCGATGTAAATAACCTTATGCTATACTTCGTTACATTGTGACTCTGTAGTTTGTCTAAGTCTTGTGATCCATCAAAACACAAAAGAAAATGAGATTTCGTTTTGTGATGAGAATTGTGAATCTAAAGATCTTTTCTTAACCTGCTCAATTCTGGGAATCAGTTTTATGCTTGACAGATGTTCATATAACTATTGGTGGATGGGATGCTGAATTCAGATGGTAGAAGGTTCATTCGCAAAAGAAGAATCTTAGATTGAACTCTTGTCCTGCATTTATTGATATTTGTTTGGATAGAAAATTTATCAGAAATGGTCAGCAACCTCATAGAAAATCTCTTGGAAATCCTTGAAACATGCATCTTCATCTCTAATCTCTTCAAGGTTGCTTTCTGCATTGCTAAGTGCAAGCTATATTTTAGCTCCTGGTTGTTGTATCAGTCGATTTTTGTAGTGCTTTTTTGCTGTGCAATATCAATTTATATGCATTATAGCTTTCTTTATAAAATTCATTCATTTATCATAATAGCAACAATATTTTAAAAAAAAAAAAAAAATTGTGACAAATGGAAATCTGGATGAAATAGACATGAGCTGGTACTGAATAAAGCATCCACTATTATTGATAATAATACATAGATGGGATAATGATAATATAAGAAAGATACTTTGGTTTTATGAAATTACAGATATATGTTCATTAACAACATTTAATAGTAATTCTTGTTGCACATCTGATAGCAAGACGACTCCATTTTGTCACCGTCTGTTGTATTAAAATCAAGAACAGTTTTAAGTATATTATCTAGTGAAAGTAAAAAAATTAAATTTCATGATTAAAAGGCTTGTTTATGTATTTCTGGGGATCATATTATATATTTTAAATAAAAACCACCATTTACATAGTAATTATCCCACATCGAGAAGGTCACACAAAATGCAAGAAGACTCAACAGAATAGCCATTCAGTATTAATTCGATCAGAAATATCTTCTTCTTTTATTTCTCTTTCTATTTTTTAAGCTGAATTTTTGAATATGCTAAACTAAAATTTCAAATTAAAGGGATTGGATTCAATTTTTTTTTTTTTTAAAGACCTAAGAGTACTCACCCCTGCTTCTTGTAATTATACTATTAAAATAAATAAGACCTAATAGTACTTCCTTTTCTTCACATGATTTGTTGTTTCCACCTTATACTTCCTCATTTACATCACTTTGTTTTTCTTTTTCTTTTCTCTTTTCACTGTTACTTTCTTTCTTCTCCGATTCACTCGAAACAACATAGACAAGAGGTCCAGCTGGTATGTCATTTAATTCCAACAGTGGCTCTAAGATCTTAACCACGGAACTCATAGTAGGTCTAGACTTGAAGAGGTGGCTCAAGCAATGATAAGCCAATGCAGCTGCCTTTCTTGCCCCTTCTGTCGAGTACTGACCCTCAAGTCTTGGGTCCATTATTTGGTCAAGCTTATGATGATCCATTAAAAATGGTCTTGCCCATTTTACTAGGTTTTGCTCTCTTGATGGACGGTTCTTGTCCAAAGATCGCCTACCGGTCAGTAATTCCAAAAGCACAACTCCAAAACTGAATAAATCGCTCGTAGTTGTCAAGTGACCTACAAAAATTAATTAATTGATTACTTAATCTCGGTATTATCCAAATATTGAAAACCCAGATTGCTAAATATTAATTACCAGTCATTATATATTCAGAAACAGCATAGCCTTCAGTGCCCATAACACGAGTAGTTATGTGTGTGTCATCTCCTTGTGGACCATCTGTTGCTAGTCCAAAATCTGAAAGCTTACAGCATAGCCTTCAAAAGTGACCATAAAAAGAGATAATTATAGATGTAGTGTCAATACTACTTGATGACCATAATGTTGCTAGTCATCTGAAGCTTTGCATATAGTCATAAAACAAAGTAGACAGAAAACAATTTAATACCATACTTTTTTTATTTTTTTTTTTTTTTGTGAATATTTTGGAGAACACACAAAAAAATAATATAATATTATACTGAGTTCCGAAGAACATTCGAAGCCATTAGAAATACGGGTATGTGACGGTTCTCTCTTCTTCAATGAGGAACATGAAGGAAAGCAAGGCCTTTTGCAGCTCCAATGGCAATTTTTAGTCTTGTTAACCAAGGCAAAGCTGCAGAATACTCTGCATTGATCAAGAAAATCAAGAAACAGTTTTTAGTATAATTTTTATTTCAAGAAATTGAATTCCAAAAGAAATTTTGTTTTTGCATTAAAATGTTTACTTTCAAATAGCTGGGTTTCCAGGTTGCCTCTCTCCATGTATTCATACACTAAAAGTCTATGCTCATCTTCACAACAGTATCCAATCAAATTTACAAGATGGGGATGCTTTAATCGCCCAAGGAAGATCACTTCAGCCTGTAGGAAAAAGAAATCAATTTACAGTTAAATGAAAAATTAAAAGAAGAAAGGATGAATTCTTGAAATGATTATGTGTAATAGCTTACCAGCCACTCTCTATGGCCTTGAGAGCCATCCAAATCCAGAACCTTAACAGCTACAGACTGAGCTTTCAAACCAGGCCTAAGCTTGTCAGTAATAAACCCTTTATAAACAGTTCCAAATCCTCCTTCACCAAGAACATAACTTTTGGAGAATTGATGGGTTATCTTTTCTAATTCTTTGAGAGTAAAAACATGGAGATTAAAGATGGAATTATTTGATAAATCACTAAGTGATAATGGTGAACCAGGGTAACTAAATTCTGATAGAGATAGTCTTTGAGATGTTAATTGATTGGAAGCTTGAACCTTTGGTTCTTGAAATAATGGTTGCTCGATCTTGAAACAAGAAGACAGTAGTAATTTGAAACTGAACTTGTTAGAAGCCATGACTTCAAGAACTTCTGTAAGGTATATGCCAGGCTTCGAGCTTGTCAGCTTGAGTTTGTTATTATATATATATATGTAGAGGAGAGGGAAGAAAATGTCGGCTCAGGTAATGAGAAAAGGGAAGGAAGAAAAGAGGATTGGTATTTCAAAAGTGTGCAGATTTTAAAAAGTTATAAAAGACAAAAAAGGAAGAAGTCTATGGTTTGATGATAACCAACCAATCACCTGTTTTTCCTTGCATGGAAAAAAAAATTACCAGGAAATATTCTGACTCCAGAAGAAAGATGTTAGAATCTTCGTCTTCACGGTGGCCCCTGCTTGACTTTGAACGAAGGAAAAATAACGGTTCATATTCATGACAACGAAAACTAAATTATTTTTAGGGTAAAAATTAATTATTAATTTCTATTCTTTGGTAAAAAAATTTATTGGTCCTTGAAATTTAGAGAAGTTAAATTATTTAGTCCTTCTTTCAAAAAAAAAAAAATGTTATTTTTGTCAGTAAGTAAGAAGTTAAATATTAATCCAAATAAACATGAAAGATCAAATAGTAATTCTATATTTAATATTAAATGTGGAAAATCAAATGGAAAAAATATATTGAATATTTAAGGGAAAAAATGGAAAATCAAATGGAAAAAATATATTGAATATTTAAGGGAAAAAAAACTTTTTGAAAGAAATGACTAAAATAAAACATAATTCATCCATCTCATTTTATTTGCTTGTTATACCTTTTTTTATGTCCTAAAATGTTTACAAGATTTCTAAATTTAGATATGTAAATAATTATTTTTCTCATAATAACTTTAATGATCCTTCGTTAAACGAGTGACTTTTATTAATATCTTCAATGAATTAAGGGTAAAAAAAGCAAAATAAATTTTGTTGGCTAACGTGTTTTGTCAAACCATGCAAGCAAAATGGAATGGAGGAAATATTAAATTAATGAAGAATCAATAAATTTATCAAATACTACAAATGTAGAAGTAATTTCCATCAAAACTAAAAACTAAATAACTATTACCTATTAATCCCTTTGTGATATGTCCATGAATATATAATATTTTTGTCTATAAACATAAGTCGCTTTAAATATATTTAGAAGTAATTAATGAAATTTTCTTAATTATACCTATATTTATATTATAAGCAATAACTATTTCTATAATTTTTAAAAGGTAATTTAATTAAATCAATAAACATTTTATTAGAATTTAAAAGAATTAATTATTCTTTCGTATTATCATAAGCATTGTCTTTCTTGGTAGCTTGGTTTGCTAGTCCTTTGGGGAGTTTGAAAAAAAAGGAAGGGTCATCGTCATCACACGCTTAGCCTCCTTGTATGGCAAAATATAAGTTGCATTCCTATTGTTTATTTTATCCTCATTGTGTAAAGCCAGAGTGTGGTGAGCAGGTGCCTACCATCCCTATAGTCCAACAACTTGATATCACATTTTTAGAATTTGAACTTAACATCCATATTCATAATTCTTCTAATTGAAATTCATATTTTTATAATTTTAATATTCCATCGGTCTCAAAAGATTTTTTTTTGTTTTTTACGTTGATATAGAGTGACATTAATTATCAACAAAGTGAAATCTGTTATCTCTTGAACTTAATTATAAATAAAATGAAATCTATTAACTGAATAAACAGAGCAAAACGAAAATAAATAACCATGTTCATGATGGGTTGTCTTAAATTCTGAATAACGATAGGGCTTGGGTTTGATCTCATCTGGCGGAATTGCAAGAATTCATGTGGTGAATTTGCCAATGAGCAAAGACATAAGTGATATTGTTTCAGTTTTTCTGTGTTGAAATGGAGGTTTGGTCAAGCGAGAGAGGATGCGATCGATGAATATAATGATGAGAGTTAGATTTTGTGGCTGCCACTCAATTCTTTGATCATGGAATTCAAGTTTAGAACATTATAATTGACCGTCTGTTTAAAAAAAAATTGGCCTATTTATATCATGATTAATTCCATATTTTTCATAATTAATATGTGAGTGGCGAATTGGATTCATCAAATAGGGAATGTATAAAATTTATAAATCTCTTCATTATAATACAAAATGCTTTTAAAGGATAATATTTTTTTTCATTAATTATGATGTGAGTGGCGAATTGGAATTCATAAATAGGGAATGTATAGAATTTAAATAAATTCTTTATTATAATACAAAATGCTTTTTAAAGGATATATAAAACTAATGATTTCAATTCTATTATTATATAGAAATTATAGAATTATACCCAATTTTTTTAACTAATGATTTCAATTCTATTATTAATATAAAAAAATTATAGAAATTAACCAATTTTTTTAAAAATGGTAGAATTAATACTATGATGAAATTTATCAATTATATGATTTATTTTTAAAATTAGTAAAATCTTGAAAATTTTAAATTCTATTAATTGAATTCCATCAATTTAAATAATTTCTTATTTTTATACTTTATTTCGATATAGGGGAACTACCCAACCACGGAATTAAAATTCAAAAAAAGAAATTTCGTCATCAAGAATTATATTTGAACCCTCTAAAAAATTATCTATTTCACTCCAAAATCAAAATTTAAAAAAAAAAAAAAATGCCCTCGTATTCCATTTCTAATTTCCCCTCAATTTGGATGGAGAACATAAATAAGAGAGAAAATTCCTTAAAATAAAATAAAGAGAGAAGAAAAGGAAATCCTTACATTTCCCACAATCAAAAGATAACGTTAATTTCTTGGAAAGCATGCATCAATCCTATCATCTATCAGCAAATTTAATTAATTGGTCATCACCAATAACTTTTAGGTATAAGAGCAATTGTAATAAAAAAAAAAATAATAATAATAATAATAGTAAGGTCGGTCCTTGGCCTATTTACTTGGATTTGAAGCAAATGGAAACTTCCTTCAGTTCATATTTCTTCTAAACCAATAGTTATATGAACATCTGTCAAGCATAAAACTGATTCCCAGAATTGAGCAGGTTAAGAAAATCTGTTGAACTTTCTTCTAAACCTTATACGAAAGGTAAAGAAGTCAACTCCTATTGACCCAAAAGTCAAATTGCTAAACTTTAATTTTGAGCTTCTAAAATCATTTTCTATACCTGAGGATTCTAATGTCTCATAAACTGAAGAACAATATATATATATATATATATATATGTAATGACATCACACGTGCAATTACACTCAAATTGTATAGAAAGGGACAAATTGAGAATGCTTGGGGATATATATATATATATATATATGTAATGACATCACACGTGCAATTACACTCAAATTGTATAGAAAGGGACAAATTGAGAATGCTTGGGGATAAAGTAAAGGGAAAAGCATAACTTTATATATATCTCTGCCAGGAAAATTAAACATTCTTGCTTGACGGGTTATGTTATTTTATGTTTATGTTTTTTATTTTTAGGTAACAAATGCCCACACTTGTGACAATTCTTCCATATTGGAACTGGATTTTGCTGACGATGATTCTATACCTAAGCATGATGTAATAATTATAAAGTATGAATTACCAAGTGAAAATGAACCCAAAAAAATTGAAATGGTAGCCCATAATATATATGGCCATGTCTAGGTTTACTTGTCTTCCTTTCTTTTTCTTTTTTTAATAATTATGTTTTTCTAATTTTGTTTCATATAAAATCTTGAACTTATATAATAAATTTAAACGTATTTTATCACTTTGAGCCATTTTTTATGAGTTGATAATAAAAGTGGAAATTAATAGTAATAGGCTTTTGTAATTTATGAGAAATATTAAAATTTAAAAAAGATAATAATTGATGCATAAGGAATTTTCTTTTCTCTTTCTCCTGAGAGTCACGTTTTTTTTTTTATACTTTTTTGGGTGGTAGAGGAAGAAGAAGGTGGTGGGAGGGGCCAATAGATTATATCATCAAACAAAATTAAGTGGGTAGATTAGATGTTTGATAAGGACCATTTCAAAGTCTACCATAACGTGTGATGAATCCATTCTATTACTTTCTATGCTTTCAAATGAAATCATTTGATTTTATTACAGTCTATATTTTATTTTTCCATGTGAAACCGTGGAAATAAGCACCATGCGAAAGAGGCATTGCCATTTTTAGACTAGAAAAAGATCTGTCTTTCACTGCAGAGAAAAATGAAGAGATCAATCAATTACAATGGCCAAAAAGCATAGCTTTCCTACTTTATTGTGCAAAATTCATTGGATTGCTTATTCGGGTTCAGATTATCCAGTTAGTGGTCAGGTGTTTCAGGATCCTCCAACAGGCTTAGCCTAGCAATAAAAAGATTCAACCTTCTCAATGAACTAAAAAAGGAAATGCATGCAACAGAACATTAATTGACCTTAAAAGCATAATTATTATGATAGGAAAAAGCACAATGTAATTCGGAGACAAAACTTGTATTTTTCTTTCTACATATTTTATTATCCAGGATATGGCCCAACAAAAACTCCAGCCATTTTCATCAAATACCCTCATCACTACATTGAATATTTGATTACATAAATAAATTACTTTGAAAACCCAAAAAAAAAATTGTAGCTGCTTTCACATATCAAATTAATGAAAAACACGCAACCATGGGCCATGTGAAGAAAGCAAGGAGAAAACAGAAGAAAAGTTCTTCGAATTGAAGAGAGCTTCTTGTCATAAGGAGGTATTCCTGAACTAGATCTTTTTTAAAGATCAAACTGTAGAAGTTTTGTTTGAATAGATATTGAAGCATGAGAATGTCCACCCTTGATGTAATTAGGTCCGTTGTCTTGATGAATCATTTCAGATAGAATGAATATGGATTCCATTGGAAACTTGGATTACGCAAATTAATTTGGAAAATTATGGAATTGCCTGAAAATGTCTCTCTCTGTACTTGATAAAGAAATATATGCGCAAGGCACATGGATACAACTTGATTTTAACCATTCATCAATATGACATTTCGTTTATGGTATGCAAAACCTGTAGTACTGTAGCTTCTGCAAAATCCAAGTGGAGTAATGAAGTAACTCTAGCAACATGGTAAAGCAACAAATATGTCCTCCTTGGAGCCGATTAGCACATTAGTTCTCTGCCAGCCACGCAGCCATTATTGAACCTGCCTAACAGTCTTAACACACAAGATTATGTCAATTTCATAGTTCAATTGAGATGTAAATAACCTTATGCTATACTTTGTTACATTGTGACTCTGTAGTTTGTCTAAGTCTTGTGATCCATCAAAAACAAAAGAAAATGAGATTTCGTTTTGGGATGAGAATGGTGAATCTAAAGATTTTCTTAACCTGCTCAATTCTGGGAATCAGTTTTATGCTTGACAGATGTTCATATAACTATTGGTGGACGGGATGCTGAATTCAGATGGTATAAGGTTCATTCGCAAAAGAAGAATCTTAGATTGGACTCTTGTCCTGCATTTATTGATATTTGTTTGGATAGAAAATTTATCAGAAATGGTCAGCTGCCTCATAGAAAATCTCTTGGAAATCCTTGAAACATGCATCTTCATCTCTTCAAGGTTGCTTTCTGCATTGCTAGGTGCAAGCTATATTTTAGCTCCTGGTTGTTGCATCAGTCAATTTTTGTAGTGCTTTTTTGCTGTGCAATATCAATTTATATGCCTTATAGCTTTCTTTATAAAATTCATTCATTTATCATAATAGCAACAATATTTGAAAAAAAAAAATTTGTGACAAAATGGAAATCTGGATGAAATAGACATGAGCTGGTACTGAATAAAGCATCCACTGTTGTTGATAATAATACATAGATGGTATAATGATAATATAAGAAAGATACTTTGGTTTTATGAAATTACAGATATATGTTCATAGTAATTCTTGTTGCACATCTGACAGCAAGACTCCACATAACATAACCTTCCATTTTGTCACCGTCTGTTGTATTAAAATCAAGAACAGTTAAGTATATTATCTAGTGAAATCAAAAATTAAATTAAATTTCATCGAGAAGGTCACACAAAATGCAAGAAGACTCAACAGAATAGCCATTCAGTCTTAATCCGAACAGAAATATCTTTTTCTTTTATTTCTCTTTCTATTTTTTAAGCTGAATTTTTGAATATGCTAAACTAAATTTTCAAATTAAAGGGGTTGGATTCAATTTTCTTTTTAAAGACCTAATAGTACTCACCCCTGCTTCTTGTAATTATACTATTAAAATAAATAATATCAAATGTCCGACTAATCTTATTACGCATCAACTAAGTTCGAACTTAAAAAGAAAAAAAGAAAGCAAAAACGTTGTGACAACCAATTACCAAATAAAGAAATTCTCTCAATGCGTTGTATGAATTTTATTTCATTTTCAAATGAATTTCATTTAAAAGTAATTTAAATGAACATTTTAGCATTTGATAGTTACATCTATGAAATGAAACCTCAACTTGATCAAAAGTATTTTTCCATTGGTGGTCCAGCCAGCAATGCCTTGAGTCATCTGACTAGAGTTTTGGGTGGGTGGGTTGGTGGAAGAGGTTGGATTACTTGGACATGTGACTTGAAGTTATAGAACTCAACAATGGACAATTACCCACATACATGGTCTTGTTGATCATGGAATATTGACTGTGAATTTTTGACTGAAGAAATATCAAATATATGTGTGGAGCTCATAACTTGATTGAACTTATGGAGAAACAAATATTTTTCCAACTTATTTGCCTAGACCCTCTAATATTTGGTTGCATCCAATGTATGTTCAGAAAAACTCATCGAAAGTTTTATAATTTTGTCATGCCATCATTATTTTCTTAGTTTTTAACTATCCGATATCCGAAGTTCATTTGTGCGGCTAATTCAGATTGTTGCCAGGCAAACGCACAGAGAGGGGTGCAAAGCATTGTCCTGCTACCATTATTTATCATTAGAGATAAAGAAATCCTACTCAGAAATATCTATGCATCAGGTGGTAGTCAATTGCATATGAAAATGATAGAAAGCAGACAAATTAACAAAATCTAAGGTCCACAATTTTGGCTAGCTTGTACTTTATATTCTGAAGTCTAAATATATGATGAGATGATTGAATGTTTTTCCCCAATACTAATTTTTTAAGCAACATTTTTATTACAGCAACTAGGTTGTTGTTATAGTTACAAGTTACAACTACCTCCATTACTCAACTGCTGAAATTGACAAATTCTCCCAAGAAGAAACGAAAAAAGGAAAAAGAATATAAAATTACAAATGTACAGTATACTCCTCTGCCGATTCCCTTCTTTTGGTTAATGAGGCTTTGTTCTACTGCCTAGGAGAATACAGGCCAGTACGTAATGTTTTGTACAGAGCTGTATCAGAATATACAGCTCTAGATCTCAGTGACTTAATTCGCCGTCTATGGCTCCGACCCTTTTTGTGACTATTACTACTCTTTTCTTTAATTTTCACTTCCTTTTCTTCACATGATTTGTTGTTTCCATCTTTTACTTCCTCATTTACATCACTTTGTTTTTCTTTTTCTTTTCTCTTTTCACTGTTACTTTCTTTCTTCTCCGATTCACTTGAAACAACATAGACAAAAGGTCCAACTGGTATGTCATTTAATTCCAACAGTGGCTCTAAGATCTTAACCACGGCACTCATAGTAGGTCTAGACTTGCAGTGGTGGCTCAGGCATTGATAAGCCAATGCAGCTGCCTTTCTTGCCCCTTCTGTCGAGTACTGACCTTCAAGTCTTGGGTCCATTATTTGGTCAAGCTTATGATGATCCCTTAAAAATGGTCTTGCCCATTTTACTAGGTTTTGCTCTCTTGATGGACGGTTCTTGTCCAAAGATCGCCTACCGGTCAGTAATTCCAAAAGCACAACTCCAAAACTGAATACATCGCTCATAGTTGTCAAGTGACCTACAAGAATTAATTAATTGATTACTTAATATCGGTATTATCCAAATATTGATAACCCAGATTGCGAAATATTAATTACCAGTCATTATATATTCAGGAGCAGCATAGCCTTCAGTGCCCATAACACGAGTAGTTATGTGTGTGTCATCTCCTTGTGGACCATCTGTTGCTAGTCCAAAATCTGAAAGCTTGGCATTATAGTCCTAAAAAAGGAAAAGAAAACATCTTATACCATTTTTTTTGTGTGTGAATATTTTGGTGGATACAAAAAAATAATATACTTACTGAGTCCAGAAGAACATTTGAAGCCTTAAAATCGCGGTATATGACTGTTTTCTCTTCTTCATGAAGGAAAGCAAGGCCTTTTGCAGCTTCAATGGCAATTTTTAGTCTTGTTAACCAAGGCAAGGCTGCAGAATACCCTGCATTGATCAAGAAAATCAAGAAACAGTTTTTAGTATAATTTTTATTTGAAGAAATTTAATTCCAAAAAAAGAAATTTTGTTTTTGCATTAAAATGTTTACTTTTAAATAGCTGGGTTTCCAGGTTGCCTCTCTCCATGTATTCATACACTAAAAGCCTATGCTCATCTTCACAACAGTATCCAATCAAGTTTACAACATGGGGATGCTTTAATTGCCCAAGAAAGATCACTTCAGCCTGTAGGAAAAAGAAATCAATTTACAGTTCAATTTTCATCAAAAAATTAAAAGAAGAAACGATGAATTCTTGAAATGATTATGGGTAATAGCTTACTAGCCACTCTCTATGGCCTTGAGAGCCATCCAAATCCAGAACCTTAACAGCTACAGACTGAGCTTTCAAACCAGGCCTAAGCTTGTCAGTAATAAACCCTTTATAAACAGTTCCAAATCCTCCTTCACCAAGAACATTACTTCTGGAGAATTGATGGGTTATCTTTTCTAATTCTTTGAGAGTAAAAACATGGAGATTAAAGATGGAATTATTTGATAAATCACTAAGTGATAATGGTGAACCAGGGTAACTAAATTCTGATAGAGATAGTCTTTGAGATGTTAATTGATTGGAAGCTTGAACCTTTGGTTCTTGAAATAATGGTTGCTCGATCTTGAAACAAGAAGACAGTAGTAATTTGAAACTGAACTTGTTAGAAGCCATGACTTCAAGAACTTCTGTAAGGTATATGCAGCTTGAACCTTTGGTTCTTGAAATAATGGTTGCTCGATCTTGAAACAAGAAGACAGTAGTAATTTGAAACTGAACTTGTTAGAAGCCATGACTTCAAGAACTTCTGTAAGGTATATGCAAGGCTTCGAGCTTGTCAGCTTGAGTTTGTTATTATATATATATGTAGAGGAGAGGGAAGAAAATGTCGGCTCAGGTAATGAGAAAAGGGAAGGAAGAAAAGAGGATTGGTGCTTCAAAAGTGTGCAGATTTTCAAAAGTTATAAAAAGACAAATAAGGAAGAAGTCTATGGTTTTATGATAACCAACCGATCACCTGTTTTTCCTCACATGGCAAAAAAAATTACCAGGAAATATTCTGATTCCAGAAGAAAGGTACACACACACACACACACACACACACATATATATATATATATATATATATATTAATTAGTTATATTCAGGTTGTATTATTTTAAATTCCCAGGTCGTCCCTGCACTGGCTAGAAACTAGACGAGTTAGAATCTTCCTCTTCACGGTGGCCACTGCTTGACTTTGAACGAAGGAAAAATAACTGTTCATATTCATGACAACGAAAACTAAATTATTTTTAGGGTAAAAATTAATTATTAATTTCTACTGTTTGATAATAAAATTTATTGGTCCTTGAAATTTAGAGACGTTAAATTATTTAGTCCTTCTTTAAAAAAAAAAACATGTTATTTTTGTCAGTAAGTAAGAAGTTAAATATTAATCCAAATAAACATGAAAGATCAAATAGTAATTTTATATTTAATATTAAATGTGGAAAATCAAAAGTGGAAAAATTCAAATGGCAAAAATAATATTGAATATTTAAGGGAAAAAAACTTTTTGAAAGAAATGATTTAAAATAAAAAATACTTCCTCGGTGCTCATTTTGTTTGGCTTATTATTATTTTTTTGAATGTCCTAAAATACAAGGTTTCGAATTTAGACATGTAAATAATTATTTTTTTCCATGATAACTTTTATAATATTCAAATTAAGCAAAGGGACTTTTATTAATATTTTCAATGAGTTAAGGGACAAAAATGGAATAAAATAACTTTTGTTTGGATTAATGTGTCTTATCAAACCATTTGCAAACAACAAATGGGACGAAGAAAAGTATATTAAATTAGTAAAGAATCAGTAAATTTATCAAATACTACAAAATGTAAGAGAGTAATTTTCCACCGTGAACTCAAAGCTAAAACAAATTAAATTACCTATTAATTCTACCTATTAATCCCTTTGTGATATGTCCACGAATATATAATATTTTTGTCTATAAATACAAGTCGCTTTGAATATACATAAGAGTAATTAATGAAATTTTCTTAGAATTAATGGAATTTTCTTAATTATACCTATACTTATATTATAAGCAATAACTATTTCCATAATTTTTAAAAGATAATTTAATTAAATCAATAAATATTTTATTATAATTTAAAAGAATTAATTATTTTCCCTTCGTAGTCTAGGAAGCGCTGTATTTCTTGGTAGCTTGGTTTGCAAGTCCTTTGGGGAGTTTGAAAAAAAAAAAAACAAAGAAGGGCCATCGTCATCGCACGCATAGCCTACTTGTATGGAAAAATATGAGTTGCTAGTCCTTTGTGTAAAGCCAGAGTGTGGTGGGCACGTGCCTACCATCCCTATAGTCCAACAACTTGATATTACATTTTTAGAATTTGAACTCAACTTCCATATTCATAATTGTTCTAATTGAAATTCATATTTTTATAATTTTAATATCCTATCAGTCATGATGGGTTGTCTTAAATTCTGAATAACGATAGGGCTTAGGTTTGATCTCATCTGGCGGAATTGCAAGAATTCATGTGGTTTGATCTCATCTGGCGGAATTGCAAGAATTCATGTGGTGAATTTGCCAATGAGCAAAGACATAAGTGATATTGTTTCAGTTTTTCTGTGTTGAAATGGAGGTTTGGTCAAGCGAGAGAGGATGCGATCGATGAATATAATGATGAGAGTTAGATTTTGTGGCTGCCACTCAATTCTTTGATCATGGAATTCAAGTTTAGAACATTATAATTGACCGTCTGTTTAAAAAAAATTGGCCTATTTATATCATGATTAATTCCATATTTTTCATAATTAATATGTGAGTGGCGAATTGGATTCATCAAATAGGGAATGTATAAAATTTATAAATCTCTTCATTATAATACAAAATGCTTTTAAAGGATAATACAACTAATGATTTCAATTCTATTATTAATATAAAAAAATTATAGAAATTAACCAATTTTTTTAAAAATGGTAGAATTAATACTACGATGAAATTTATCAATTATATGATTTATTTTTAAAATTAGTAAAATCTTGAAAATTTTAAATTCTATTAATTAAATTCCATCAATTTAAATAATTTCTTTTTTTTATACTTTATTTTGGTATAGGCGAACTACCGAGCCACGGAATTAAACTTTAAAAAAAGAAATTTCGTCATCAATAATTATATTTTAACCTTCTAAGAAATTATCTATTTCACTCCAAAATCAAAATTTTTTTAAAAAAATTGCATTTTGTCCTCGTATTCCATTTCTAATTTGGATGGACAACATAAATAAGAGAGAAAATTCCCTAAAATAAAATAAAGAGAGAAGAAAAGGAAATCCTTACATTTCCCACAATCAAAAGATAACGTTAATTTCTTGGAAAGCATGCATCAATCCTATCATCTATCAGCAAATTTAATTAATTGGTCATCACCAATAACTTTTAGGTATAAGAGCAATTGTAATAATAGGTATAAGAGCAATTGTAATAATAATAATAATAATAATAATAATAATAGTAAGGTCGGTCCTTGGCCTACTTACATGGATTTGAAGCCAACGGAAACTTCCTTCAGTTCATATTTCAAGTCTGTTGAACTTTCTTCTAAACCTTATACAAAAGGTAAAGAAGTCAATTCCTATTGACCCAAAAATCAAATCGCTAAACTTTAATTTTGAGCTTCTAAAATCATTTTCTATACATGAGGATTCTAATATCTCATAAACTGAAGAACAATAATATATCATATATATATATATAATATATATATATATATATATATTGTAATGACATCATATATATGTAATGACATCACACGTGCTATTAAACTCAAATTGTATAGAATCATTCGATGGTTCCATGTTCTTGTTATTAATTAATTATTGTAAAATTGTGGGATTTTTTTTTTTTAGTTGAATTTTTGGGCACAGTGACTCGTAAAAGAAAGGGACAAATTGAGAATGCTTGGGGATAAAGTAAAGGGAAAAGCATAACTTTATATGTATCTCTGGCATGAAAAATAAACATTCTTGCTTGACGGGTTATGGGCAAACAGTGTATTTTTTATTTTATATTTACGTTTTTTCTTTATCCTTTATAAATTATTCTAATCAAAGTCTTCCATTGATGCAACTTCAGGTAACAAACAGCCACACTTGTGACAATTCTTCCATATTGGAACTGGATTTTGCTGACGATGATTCTATACCTAAGCATGATGTAATAATTATAAAGTATGAATTACCCAGTGGAAATGAACCCAAAAAAATTGAAATGGTAGCCCATACTATATATGGCCATGTCTAGGTTTACTTGTTTTCCTTTCTTTTTCTTTTTTTAATAATTATGTTTTTCTAATTTTGGTTCATATAAAATCTTGAACTTATATAGTAAATTTAAACGTATTTGAGCCATTTTTTATGAGTTGATAATAAAAGTGGAAATTAATAGTAATAGGTTTTTGTAATTTATGAGAAATATTAAAATTTTAAAAAGATAATAATTGATGCATAAGGAATTTTCTTGTCTCTTTCTCTTGACAGTAACCTTTTTTTTTTTTTTTCCTTTTTTTTTTTTTTAAACGTTTTTTGGGTGGTAAAGGAAGAAGGAGGGGTGGTGAGGGGCCAATAGATTATATCATCAAAAAGATAATAATTGATGCATAAGGAATTTTCTTGTCTCTTTCTCTTGACAGTAACCTTTTTTTTTTTTTTTAAACGTTTTTTGGGTGGTAAAGGAAGAAGGAGGTGGTGGGAGGGGCCAATAGATTATATCATCAAACAAAATTAAGTGGGTAGATTAGATGTTTGATAAGGACCATTTCAAAGTCTACCATAACGTGTGATGAATCCATTCTATTACTTTCTATGCTTTCAAATGAAATCATTTGATTTTATTACAATCTATATTTTATTTTTCCATGTGAAACCGTGGAAATAAGCACCATGCGAAAGAGGCATTGCCATTTTTAGACTAGAAAAAGATCTGTCTTTCACTGCAGAGAAAAATGAAGAGATCAATCAATTACAATGGCCAAAAAGCATAGCTTTCCTGCTTTATTGAGCCAAATTCATTGGATTGCTTATTCGGGTCAGTGGTCAGGTGTTTCAGGATCCTCCAACAGGCTTAGCCTAGCAATAAAAAGATCCAACCTTCTCAATGAACTAAAAAAGGAAATGGATGCAACAGAACATTAATTGCCCTTAAAAGCATAATTATTATGATAGAAAAAAGCACAATGTAATTCGGAGACAAAACTTGTATTTTGCTTTCTACATATTTTATTATCCAAGATATGGCCCAACAAAAACTCCAGCCATTTTCATCAAATACCCTCATCACTACATTGAATATTTGATTACATAAATAAATTACTTTGAAAAACCAAAAAAAAAAATAGTAGCTGCTTTCACAAATCAACTTTTTCGCAATAAAGAAACTTGTTGCCGTCAATATACACCTTGCAAAAAAGTAATTCAGAAACAAATCAGTCATCATACATGAATCAATTAATTCGAAGAAATCCAACTACAATTTGGATTTGAAGTAAAAGAGGAGTGCAGTACACAAATACCTCATTTAAACATGATATTTACACGGGAAATCCTGCAAAATTGATTTGTATAAGTATAATAAATACACAAAAAAAGGATATGTTCCCACAAGATGACAAGAGGCTCGCAAGTTCTTACACACCTTGGCTCAACCTGACTCGATTGCCACATAAAACAAAAAGAACACAGCACTTTTCCGTGTAACAATCGCATGCTTTTGCAAAAAACGCAACATGGTTTATCTTTGGTGCTGCTATCTGAAAACAAGACTTCCGTTCTGTTGGAGCCTTAGATTTTCAATGAGTGATTGGTAGAATGATTTCAATGCCTTAAAATCACTACCCTGCATAAATAAACATCAAAAGCATAGAGCACAAATTAGAATAGTTGAGAAAACCAATCATATATAGATGAAGCACATTAGAGCTAGGATTTTCCACAACACAGACTCTATCTGAAGCCCTCCATAATCACTCAATTCAATATCTAACCCAAGTCATCCAAGAAGAACAGAGGATTATATATGGCATCCATGACATTTGACAACAAAATTAGCCTTCCATACAATTATGTATAGAGTAAGATCTCTAGGAACAAACTGAGAGAACTTTTTGGTTATCACGAGCATGAAAGTTCCAATAACACAGACTATAAGAAGAGCCAATGAGTAACTCTTACAAAAACTGGCACTTAAATGTGAAGTAAAAGCAGAGTCCACAATTTATGTCTGGAAAGTCACAAATACAACTACTTGATAATACATGAAATAGCTAGAGAGAGTTAGGAAACAATAAATATTGAGCAACAAAATTAGATTCCATAAAATTACCTGCAACTTTTGGCAGTACTGCTGTGCCAATTCTTGAGGGCAATGCGTAGATGGAAGACCTTTTGATACAAAATGAACAAGAAAATCATTACCAAACTTCTCATACATGACCTTCTGTGCCTGTACGATTTCTCCAAACAAAACAAGCTGCCACACAGACCCATTACAGCATCATCAATAGCAAGTACAAAGCACTACACATATGAATACAGATTTTATCTGGTGAACTTATGGGGCTAGCTGGAGTTCTCAGATTAGTATCCCACCCATATTTGCCATAAAAAGAAATTTGAAAACTATGGCAGAAAATGAAGTTGTCAACGGCATCATTAAGCAGGTGATAAATCAGTCTAGTTCCCTTGCAGGGATTAACATATAAAAAGGGGAGGAATAAAGAGGAAGGGGTACCAAAGATAGAATACACAGGGGCCTGGGGAAAGGCAATTAATATCTAAGATTAAAGTGGCAATTAATATCTGGGATTAAATGTATCAGATGCAAATGAAGGAGGACAATGTAATGTACATCATTCTGAGGACAAATATTATTTGACAAAGCGAAGAATACGCAAACTGTTTGCTTTCATTTTCCCAATAAAGAGAATAAAAAAATCTATAGCATAATACTCACAGTATTTGCGTCTTGGAACTCAAAGGATTTGTCAAGCACACTATACAGACAACAGTTTGTTGCAAAGGCCTCAATTATGAAACTTTGAAAACCAGGCACCTGAACGTATTTAGACACATTAAAGCAATAAAACCCTCAACATAAATAGAACTAACAACTAGAAATTAAAGAGACAGAGATACAAACCTTTTCTTCAACATGAGGTTTGGAACACCAATCTTTAATTAATCTAATGAATATCTGTACACATGCCTGAATTACAGAGGGATCAAAATATCACATCAAGTTCACAATAGTTGTAATATTTAGAAGGCCTAATCCTTAAACTCATTAAAATAAAATGGTAGACCCACCTTTCTTACAAGAATATCCTTGTGATTACAAGCTGTACGCAGTAGTAATTGCATCAGTGGATCCAAGTAGCCCCTACTTTGAGGTGAAATGAAGACTGAAGACAGATCATGTGTAGCTATCACATGAAGAAAAGTATACAGTGTTTTCTGAAGTTCTTGTAGTTCACGCATTTCCTGCAAGAGAGTCAAAGGGCCATGATAGAAATTATTAGTTACTTAAGAATTAATATCGGAAAACAGCATGCTTCATATCACAACATATGTCCTTGGAATAACAGATAGATAATAATGTGAAAGCAACAACTCAAGTTTTAAGTACCAAAACTTTAAAAACCATTTATGCGATACAAATGCTGCTGGCAAGAGATCTTAGTCAACTATAACTTACGGATTAAGAAATATTGCTGGGGTATTATTTCCATACCTCAGTATTGGTTCCAGGTCCTGAAGGAAATGCATCTTTTGGAATAACATTAAATATTCTGCCAGCAACGGCTGGAAAAACTTCGTCCACTATGTCACGAACTGAGGTGTTGAATTTGCAAATAAGTTGATTGAGTAGTACAAGAAAACTAACCATTTCCTTTGGCTGCAATACAAAATATTATAAAATCAGGTCTTCACATTGTCACGTTATCACTTGTGAGAGAAGGTGTAATTAGCATGGTTATTGTGATTCACACGTCCATGAAAATTTTCATCAAGTTTCCACACCCTGACTTGGGCAAAAGGAAAACACTTCCTTATCATGTGAAATATATCGTAAAGACATTAACTAGATTAAAAGCTGCATATCAAAAAAGGATGATATCACAGAAAGGAGACATAAAGAGGTCGATCTTAGATAACTAAACTGCATCTAGATGGTCCATCACAGTACAACATTGTCCAAGACTTGATGAGAGTTTCTTTATGAGGAACACATTCACCCTATTCAAGTGCCCTGACCACCACACCATGTAAGGCCAGCGCAAGGCAGATCATTAATCCCATCCAATCCCATTGTCATGCCAATGGCAACTGAATATTACTTAAAAAATAAGAAGGGCGTTAATTATGACCAAGAAAATGTTAAAAGTAGAAGCTGACATTGTAAACAAATTTCATAGACTCGTAATAGTTTCAATTATACCTCACATTCCGCAAGCAATTGCTCCAATGCCTTTGGCAGGTATGGAAATACAGAAGCCCCTAAAGTGTCCACCATCCTATGTATAAAGGATGTCACCTGCATGCATGAATATTAGTTTAGGCTTTATTTATAGTCCAGGAAATTTAAAAGAAAGCACTCCCATTGTTCCATATCTTATTCTTACCTTAATCCGGAGAGGCTCTACCTTTGGGAAAACAACAAGAATTTGTAGAAGAATATCCAAAGTCTGGAACACATGGAAACCAGAATTTTAACACAGAAAATGAAGAGCAATAACAAAGCATAGTATCATATATGCTTTCTACTAGAAACTAGCATCTATATTTACAATAATAAACTAGGAAACAAACATGAACCACTTTCTTGATCATAAAAAGATGAAATGATGAAAAATTGAGCCAATATTCATGAACTCTTTGGGTTTTACAAATTGAAGCAGGCTTAGCATGTAGTGCACAGAATGTAATAAACAATATAAATCAGAATACCTACCTGCTTAAACATGAGACCTATTGCAGGACGACTAGCATTTACAAGACGCTCACTGAAACCCTGGATTACAAATTGAAACTGTGAGGACAAACTGCATATCTAAGAAACAAATTTCCCATGAAAAATTAAAGAACTTAACAAGAAGCTTCAAAACATGCTTGAGATGTTCTGTGTAACTGACTAAATTAATGAAAAAATTCACACAACCTAAAACATCTTAGATTAAAATGATTAAGCTGCCATGAAGATCCATCATATCATAATTTATTTACTTTATCTAATTTAATAAATAATTGATTTCATCTTAAGTAGAAATAATAGTATAAAAAGGAAGTTTCTGAACCAAAGTCAAATAGCATTTTTTAAGGCTAAAGAATAAGAAAGAACCTTGCTAAGTGCATTGATTGCCATGATTATTTGCTGAATATTTATGATTTTTGCAGGACACTCTTCTGAATTTAGCACTTTGGCATTCATAAGCAAAATCTCAACCTGTATTAAACAAAAAATTCAAAATGAAACAGGAATGGTTGCACAATTAGGCATGTGTAACATATATATGAGCAGACCACTTCAGATACCAAATTACACGTTCTCTGTTTATCAACAATGCACGTGAAGCAGTAAGCATTTTTCTTTACAAAACTAACATAAAGAATTAGCTGGTATAATTAAGGAATACAAAGTTAAATATGCAGTGGGAAGGCAATGCTAAAAATAAAATTTTCAAGCTGCTGCAAAGTTAGTTATAACCTGGTGACATAGAGGCGTGAGCAATGAAGAGAGATAGTCAGCTTGTTTTTGCAGTGGTACATCTTCCATACCAATCAACAAGCCAATCGCCTGTGAATAATTAGCAATTAAACTTTCTACCAATTAAAACAAAAATCAATATTTGCATATCTGTATTTTGAAAATGAGGCTCCACGTTTCTGTGTGGTTTGTGCATGTGTATCTAATCCAGAAAAATAAGACGAAAGAGTGAGAGAAGGATGAAGCAGGAACCTCAAAAATGTGGCTACCATCTTCAGGTCCGGAAAATTCATTAGCTGTATATTCCATACTTGTACACCGAGTAACTGTATCTTGGAGACTCTATCCATTCATAGTAACAAATCAAAAACTGTTCAAGTCAAGACGATATATATAGGAACGAAAAGAGTGAGAGAAGGATGAAGCAGCGAAACCTCAAAAATGCGTGGCTACCATCTTTCAGGTCCGGAAAATTCATAGCTGTATATTCCATACTTGCTACATCCGAGTAACTGTATCTTGGGCAGCTCTTATTCCATTCAATAGTAACAAAATCAAAAAAACTGTTCAAGTCAAGACGATATATATATAAATATATAATATATATATATATATATATATATAATATTATATATACTATATATATATATATATATATATATATAGAGAGGAGAGAGACGAGAGGAGAAGACGAGAGAGAGAGAGAGAGTTTAATAGAGGAGATTGATTGTCAGAAGAAAGTAGATGATTAGAGAGAGAGAGAGAGAGAGAGTTTAATAGAGGAGATTGATTGTCAGAAGAAAGTAGATGATTTAATTAGTACCTGTAAGATTGTCTCTATGAAAGGCACAAGCTTTGATTTCAACAGTTTCACCACCCTCATGAACAAATAACTTGCTCTACGACTTACATGGATGTTTGGATGGTGTATTCCTCTCTCATCTAGAAAGGCAGCCAGAACCATGGGGATATATTGTGTATTCTCCTGAACAAACTTCAAATATCTGGTCATTGTCTCCAAATACACAAGAGCAACTAACCTATTAGAATGGCAAGGAAACCTTGCTGAAAGGAGCATTGACACTAATTCACCCAAAAGTCCATTTCCAGTTCTCATGGCTTCATCACTTAATGATTCTCCAAGAGCATACAAAAGAGAAAGAGCAGCTTCCACCTCTTCAGCATTTATTTCGGATGAAGAAGAAACAGCACTAGCTAAAGAATTTCTGATAAATATTTGAGTAACCTCTGGTGCCACACGGCCCACACTACGCAGCAACACAAACAGGTCCTTTCTAAATTCAACCATCCTATCTTCTTCTTCTCTTCCTATCTTATCCAAGAGATCAAGATTACTCCTGTACATAGGATCATAGTGAACTTGCGTACGGATGACTTCTAATATCTGACCCACATAATGTGCTTGTTTCTCCCTTAATGGAGAAAGGCTCTTCATAGTGGCAACATAACCTGAAAGAAATTGAACAATACTAAAGGTAGTGTCCACTTCGCAATTCTGCATTACATAGAAAACTGAGGGCAAAACCTCATCCAAAAGCCCCAGTGAAACCCCCTTGGCATCTTCTGTAGTCACCCGTTTATAGCATTCCAAAACCTCCGCAGCATACCCAGTAATTAATGCAGCTATCTTTGAAACCAACTCTGAGTCGCTATCCCCAGTTGCCAAGGAAAATACCCTATTGATTTGAAGAGAGTGCAATATTCTTAACTTTGATTGTGGATCCATCCTCTTAGAAACCACAGCCAACAGACACCCAGCAGCTGCACCTTGAAGCTGCTCAAATTCTCCATCAACCAGTATCAACTCAAATAACAACGGAATAAAAGCATCATTCACAATCAATCCAATATCAATCCATGAAATATACCTCCTCATCGAATCTAACACACTTGAACAGAGCTCTGGATCAGAACTCCTATACATAGAGACAATGTCATACCATGCTCTAACAATCTGGCTCACACATTGCTGCCTCATTGCATCCTTAACACTCCCTGCCACTCCCAACTCTTCAGGAGTCCGAGGATAATCTAAACTAATTAATTCATCATCCAGTGCATTCAAAACCCGGCAAAACATATCTATAACTGTAGCCCCTTTACTTAAACGGGGCAAAAAATCAATAAACACTGAGGACCAAATTGATGGATACTCAAAATAAATCAAAGTAACCAAAACTTGAGCAAGTTTATTCTTTATAAATGCAGGACCCTCTAAAACCCTAACAGCATTACTGTCATCCATCACATCAAAACAACACATAGAAAAAACTGATTTCCTAACAAAATCCTTCTCTTCTAAACTTAAAAGAGCATACTTTGCACTAATAACCTCATGTAGAGTCTGTAAACACCAAAACTGAACTTGAATAAGATTGCAAAAACACAATTTCTCAACACATATCCTGCATATATTCGGGGTTTCCTTAATTTGCTGACAAAAAGAAACTGCTTGTGATTTTAAAGCCGAATCAACAGTTCCCGATTCATCGAAACTTATAAGTATTGCTTTTTCAAGATCATCCATTGATTATAATAACAGTAGAAACACAAAACCCAATTAATCAATTTTCCGTTGGAGAGGATTTTTATTACTTCTCGTTTCGGGTTCAAAGAGTTCTGAGAAGCTTACCTTGATAGATCTTTTTATATTAATGTATGTAAACTGTAGGAGCAAGGATTTGGACTAGGGCTTTTAGAAGAGAAAGCGAAAACCCTAGAAGCGTATTTTGGATTGTGATTAATTTATAGTTTTGCAAGTTGCCAGGGAAAGAAAACATGCGAAAACAAGGGAACCGTCAGTGACGAGGCAGAGAGAAGGAGAAGAAGAGAAGAGTGCTGCCAGCGACTTAAAATTACTAAATTAACCCTGTCTTCCGTCGAGGAGAAGATGGGCCTTTTTGTTTTATTTTGTTTTGTTTTAAAGGCCCATTATATAGATGCAACGGGCAAGGAAGAATAAGGACTTATTTGGTACAAGGTGACCAAATTAATGAATGTGGTGTGGATACCAAATTTCATGTCACACGTGGACTTTATATTAGGAGATATATTTCACATATTTTCACATGATATGCAAATAAATATAATTATTGAATACTTATTAACTAAAATTTAATGCGAATAAATTAAGCGATAACACATAAATTCACCTATGTATTTATTATGCAAAATTTAATATGAAAAATCTTATCGAATTTTTATTTATATTTTGAAATTAAATATTTTAATTTATAAAATTATATCTATTAAATATTTTAAATTGACATGTTCAATATTATATTTGTAAAATTAAAGTAAATATTAAATAATTAATATGAAAAATCCTTATCGAATTTTTATTTATATTTTTGAAATTAAAATATTTTAATTTTATAAAATTATATCTATTAAACTATTTTAAATTTGACATTGTTCAATATTATATTTGTAAAATTTAAACGTAATATTAAATAATTTAAAAATATAAAAATTAATTATTTAAAAAATTATATTTAAAATATAAAAATTATTATTTAAAAAATTAAATAGGAATTTAGTATTTTTTTATATAAAAATAAAAAAAATTAAAAATTATTATTATTAGTATAATGAATTTTACAATATATCTTCTCAAAAAAAAAATTACAATATAACCAAAATCCTTAACTTTTAAGGATATTTTCGATTCGCGTAAAGTTTAGAGTGCTATAATAATTTTTTTATGAAATGTATAGCGATGGATTTATATAATTGTGTTAAATCATTTTGCAAATGTAAAATCAATTTTTATTTAAAGTTTTTATTTAATATTGAAAGAAGAAAATCATTAAAAAAAAAACCATTAATTGACCAAATATACATCTCCTGTCCAACCTTTTTCTTTCATGAAGCTATGATCACAGGGGGGGAAGAGCACCAAATGTTAGGGCCTTGGTATTTGAGGCTTGTAGCCCAATCTAAATGCATAACCCTTTGGGCCTCATTGCTTGGATCACCAACTTGTGCCCACAACAAGTTCATAGGTCCAGGAAATAAGATTTTGTTTTTTTTATTTAGGGAAATTCAGATCTCGTTGGGCAGTCTGGTATAGTTATATTTGTGTCGTAAGTAGTTGTTGGATCATGAATTTAATAAATGAATTTTGAAATAAGATTAATTTCGTAATTTTAGAAACATTATAAGAATATTTATAATACAAAAAAGGTTATCTAATACGTACGTTTTCTTTCTTAAAATGATAAATATTTTTGTATTAAATTCATTGTAATCAAAGCATTTTACAAATATTATTATGTATAGTAAAATAAAAATTGACAATATATGAAGAAAATGGGAATAAATAATAGTACAAACCAAAATTAAAAAGCAAAAGAAAAATCGAACGGTGGCGTGCCCGCAAAGCACCAAAAAATCATGCGTGGATTTAGCTTGCACGCTTCAAGTACACTCTCTTAGTCCATTTCCCATACGCAAAACTCATTCATTATTGGCTTTTTACAATTGTTAGCTTTGCCTTATTATGCATGTGATTCTTGCCCAAGTTAACCATTTTTTCCTTTCATATTGGAATAATTTAGGTCACATCAAAGTCCCAATCCCTAACTTCTCATTTTTAATTTTATTTTATTTTTTTTTAATTTAACTTAAAATTTAGACGTTTGAAAGATATTTACGTGAATATTATTCATGAAAATATATATTAAAATCAAAAAAAAAAAATTTTATTATAACTCTTAAGAATGATATTAACATAACAATCAATTCAGATAGTGACCTTTTTTTTTAGAGTAAAAACTATAATAATAATAAACCGTTTATACAAATAATAAAAAAATACAATCTTTATTTGAAGTATCTGATTGAGTTGATGGATCGTAATATTTGTGTTGTAGGCGATCATTTGCTCCACTTGGTGACTATTCATAGACACTATTTAAATTTCTTCCTTTCATTGTAGCAGAGATCTATAACTATCCAAATAATAAAAGACGCTAGACAAAATCGCTATAATAGGAATAATAAAAACTCATAACAAAATCTGTGAATAAAATCTCAATAAATCTGCAGCAATAAATCCTAATATTTGAACGATAATAACTCAGTATATAGATATAAGGATTATTTAAAAAAAAATAAATAAATCAAAAGGGAAAAAGCGCTACCCATGAGAATTTACCTGTGGCCACTGTGAAAGAATAAAATAGAACTTTTAAATTTTAAATTGAGAGAGAGGCATTAATTTTAAGAATACCCTATTAGTCCGTGACTATTTGAATGGGGTTAAGGTACTAAAATAGGTAGCTGCTACTCATATTTTTCAGAGAGAGACTTTTCTTATAGGTTGATTTAAATGAATATGACCCAAGATCTACTTCTAGAAATGAGCTTTTTAGTCAACTAATATAAGTTTAATTAATGTTTAATGGTGGACTAATTAAATCATAACTAATGAACTTCTCAGTCCAACTTGTTAATAGCAATTTTTCTATTGAAATGTTCATCAAATTTGATCAGTCATCATATTTAGTTCTTATGAATTGAACATTTCAAACTAGACAAAATGTATTTTGATTGTACTGACTAGGCATGTTTTTCTGTCACTTTCTTTCTTTCCTTCCATTTTCGATACTGGCAAACATGCCCTTAGTAAACATACCCTTTGTATAGTCAGAAAATTTAATCCTATGGACTGTAGAGTCTATATACTTTTCTATAAGATCAAGTAAACATTGCTTTATGTTCTTTTTTTTTTTTTTTAAACCAAATATATAGATTAATTTTGCAGGCTATGATCGATTCTATGTGTAACCTTTACGCGATGGAATTGATGCAAAGTGAACAAATAATATAAGAGAAAGAGGGTCCATGCTTGACGTGGCAAGATGACCTTAATGTGGAAAATGAGGACGTAAATAGTAGAGGAGAGGGAAGAGAATATGACTTTTCTTTTCTACTTTCTTTTTTGTGTTTGGCAATAAAGAAAAGTGGGGAAAAAAGAAAAAAAAAATGGAAAATAGGGGGAATCTGAGGTCGGCTAATACGAACAAGTGGAAATGAGCAGAAAATGTATAGGACAAGGTGAAGATGTGAAATATTAATATTTTTATTTTCTGTAATTTTATGAGTCCCTTTTCACGAGTTTCATACATCTTATTTTAGTTTTATGGATCATATTTTCATTTATCATGAAAATATTATGCATAAATATATTAATTATTATTCGTTAAAAGCATAATTAGAAAGTTTATATACTATTTATCAAAAGATGTATGCATTATTAATTTTTTTATAATATAAATTACTTAAAAACAAAATATTTATTATTTTAATCTCTTTATTTTTTCGTAATTAAACTGGTTTGAAGTTGTAAGCCTCACACGAGTCGAAGAAGCGAAGCTCTAAGCTATTCCACTGAACTCGGCTTTATGTGCAACCTATGTCAACAAACTCGGCTAACCACTTTAGCCTCACCGCAATACATTTGACTTTTGACCAGCCAGGTTCAGAGACCATGTCAATAGAAGACACACAAATCTAAACCATACATATCATTGACTCACGTGGCTCCTACATAGATTCCCAATAATTCAACGGCTAAGATGCGTTTCGTTCTTAATAGTACAGTCAGAGCCTCCACATCATATAAAACAGAGTTGGGAATAGGAGCGGCTCAAGTTGCGGTGCGGATGAGTTGAGTCAGCAGTGCAATAAACTCGTGCAGTGAGCGTGACAGCCCGTGATGGTAGCCAACAAAACCCGCACCTAGCAGCTGTCGGCTGAGGACAAGTGTAGGTGGCGCAAGTTGACCATGTGGCGTTGATGGCTGCTCAAGTCGCACCACGTGGTGCGCACTGTGCTTCACGGAACCTGAAATTAACGTAAAAAGACAATAAAAGAATCAAGAAATTTGAAGGGAGGAGTCCTTATCATGCACTAGCAAAGTTCTACAGCACCTCTCGAAGGTGGTGGAGTGGAGTGAGCTCTCACCCTTTTCCCTGCTAATTCTCAATACTACCCTTTTATTTCAACTATTAAAAAAAAAGGTTGGTCGAGTGAAATATTTTGAAATAATAATTCTATTTGAAATTACAAAATCACAAAATTTATTATTAATCTTATGTTTTCTATTTAATGAAACTACAAATTTTAATTATTCTCTGTGATTGAAATTAAGATAAAAAATAATGCATAAATTACAACAATGGGCAAACTTGGATGTATTTTTACAACTTTAAATAATTATTTTAACCGCAATTTAAGTTTTATATTTACATTATAAGATTTCCTATTTTTTATATACTCTCGGTGTTATTATCATCTTCCCAAAGTATATAAAAAAATTGTTTTCATATTTTAGCTACACGTAATTTATAATTTATTCTCTAATTTATTGAAAATAATAATTCAGTAATAAGAATTTTAAACGTGTCAAATTGAATACATAAAGGAAAAATGAAAGGCCTAAATATTTACAACCAATGAGAGGGACTTTTGGGAGATGGAAGTTAAGAGTTAGGACCATATAATAAGGTTAGATAATACAACTACTTAAACGTAATTACATTTCTTTTTTTTTTTTTTTTTAACAATTACATTTCTAGTTACATAAACATTATTTTATTAGCTTTATATTAATTTTAAAATTTTAAATTCTATGAAAATTATAATTGACATTATTTTATTTATTTGCCAAAAGACAAAATATACAGTAAAATAAAAAATAAAAAAAAAGAAATTTGTAAGGAATGAAAATATTCTTCTACGCGATGCACCAAGATTAAGTGTACCAAAATCCACTGTAACAAAATCCGGGATTTTTATAAAGATTCAAACCCAGAGGATTCCTCATCCTCAAATTGATTCTTGCAGCACCATAGAGAAAATAAAAATTAGAAAAAAAAAAAATATCAGCATATGTGGACCCCAATCCAGGTTGGATGTCATCTAGAAGCAAATTGCCTCGGGAGACAAATCCTTCAAATGGAAAACAACAATCCAATTGAGTTCCAATGCTATTGCCATTCCAACAACAATCCAATTGGGTATTAAAATAATAATAAACACAGGATTAAGAAAATTGTTTACTAAATTTTAAAATAGGATTAAAGGGATAAGGTCATCATAATTATGGCAAGATAAAGTAAATTAGGGATGATGATTCAATTTGATGCATTGAAATTAGCCATAAAACAATAATTAATTAATTAATTAATAGAATATGGTGAACCCCAAAAGCCTCTTTGCTGACTTTATATATCATAGTATTTGTTTAATGAAGTTTGTTTGTCATCTTTTATTTATTTATTAATTCTTCTTACTATTTGTTGTCTTCCTTCCTAGAAAGACTGTGTCATATCCAAAACCAATAATTAATTAGTATTTTAGTTAATTTTTCATTAGTTAGAAATTAAATTTTCTCCATGTTTGCTATAAATGATTAGTCTCTCGTCAAACAGTTAAATTGAAATAAAAAAATATTACGTATTTTTATTATTACTTATTTTGCGTATTTTTATTTGTCATTATTAGAAGTTATTTTATTCAAATTTATCCATTATTTTTTATGATATATTAATTAATTTTTCTAAATCGGTTGTTGTTTCTATTAATTGTAAAATCTGTATTATTATCTTAAATAATAATTTAGTCAAATTAAAAAATATTTTATCTATAACAATGTACAAATAATTTATCAGACAACATATGAAAAACCAAACATTTAATTTATTGGATTAATATTAATATTTAATAAAAATATGGAGCCACTAAATTATAAATCAAAATTTGATATATATTATATAATTGTCCAGAATTTAATATTTATTGTCTTTTATTCATTTTACAGAGTACTAATTATGTTGTATTTGCTATTTTTGAAATGCAAGAAAGGTGGTTTTAAGTAATGACAGACTATTTTAGGTTAAAGATTTTCTATAGAAAGGAAAAAAAAAAAATTGAAATTGACTAATATTTCATATTATCATTATTTCTATTTTGAGATGGACAGATATTAATTCCTTAATCACAGCTTAATATAATGAAATTTGAAGGTGCATTTGGCTTCCACAGTTGTAATTTACATATAATTCTATTTAATTACCTAAGAAATTGGAAAATATTGGGCTTTGTCTTGCAATTATAAAACAAGAAAGCTGTTTTAGTAAGAACTTACTTTAAATAAACATGGAAAAAATGGAAAATTGATAAAAATAAGGAAAAAATAGGATAGGAGTATTATGATATTATTCTAATAATAAAAATAAAATAAATAAATGATAAAATCCAGTTGCACAATGCCGTTATTTGTGTTGATCACTGAGGGCAATCCCGTACTTTCACTGTTCCTTTCCATGGACGCTAAGCAATTAAAGAGCAGAGGAAGAGAGGAATGAAATTGTCACATAAAATCAAAGAAAAAGAAGCTCTTTTCATTACTGTTTCTCTCTCTCTCTGTGTACAAAATCCAACCTTTTTTGACTCTTATTTGCTTTCAATTTTAGGGTTAATTTCTGTAAATTCTCTCTAGTTCACTTCTCTTTCTGTGTTCATTCCTAAAGTCAAAAGCAAAAATCTTTATAAATTTGCGTATACAGTAGCTCTTGTTCTTATTCTTCTTCTTTATATCTCCAGAACAAGAAACTTCCTCTCCAATTTTTCATTGTTTTGTTGCTTGTCTAGATATTAAACTATAAAACAGTGTTGCTTTTCCTGGGTTTTCACCCATCAAGATCCAATTTGATGTATAGAAAAAATAGTGGCTCCTTATTAAAAAGAGAGAATCTTTGATAAAATTGTATGTTTCGGACGAAAATAGTGGGTCTTTGTTAAAATTCGATTTAAGTGAACAATTTGCTTGATTTGGGTTCTTTTGGGTTTGTGATCTAAACCAAAACCATGGCCGTTTCAACAATAGCTTTATATGCGAGCCCACCTAGCAGTGTCTGTTCAGCTCCGCACCCATGCCAAATCAACGCTCATGCGACTTATGATTTTGATTTGAACTCAAGATCTTCATCAACAGCTTCGTCTAGTGCATCTTCTTCGCAGAAATCTGTGGTCGGAGGCCTGTCGTGTTTGTTTTCTTCTTCAACTGCAAAACATTCGTCGTTTTCAGCTGACAGAGAGGAGTTAGGGTCTTTGTGGCGTGATAGAGCAGAGGATTTGAAGGAATTGAGCGGTTCATTTCGCTTTTCACCCAGCAAATATATAGGTGGGTCTTCTTTGAAGAGGGATCAGAGTCCAATTTCGGTGTTGCAAGGTCCAGTCTCGTGTTCTAGTAGTCCTCCTATGAGGATTGCTCGTGAAAGGAGTACTGATGTGGGTTTCCAGAGCTCAATTCATGGCTCATTTCGCAGTGGGGCTAATGGGTTGTTTGATGGGTTTGTGGGACATGCCTTGGGATCCTGCGTTGATTATGATTCGCCAGCGCCAACTTTTGAGGTTCCTAATACTGTAAATGATATGGGTTCTTCATCTGTTGCTGTGGATGAATTGACATTTAACATGGAAGATACTTTTGTGGAAGCTAATAACGAGCCCTATGCAAAAGATTTGCTGTTAGGTGCACAACTGAGGCACAAAATATTTTGTGAAGACTTTGTAATTAAGGCTTTTTATGAGGCTGAGAAAGCACATAGAGGACAGGTAAAGTAGAGTTTGAATTTTAATTGGATTTTATCGTTTCATAGTAGTCTTGTGGGCTTGAGAATATATGTTTGTTGTTTTCTCATAGGTGCGAGCAAGTGGAGATCCATATTTGCAGCATTGTGTGGAGACTGCAGTTTTGCTCGCAACGATTGGGGCTAACTCTACAGTGGTTGCTGCAGGGCTTTTACATGACACTGTTGATGATTCTTTTTTAAGTTATGACTATATATTTAGGACATTTGGAGCAGGGGTAGCCGATTTGGTGGAAGGGGTAAGAGGCTGGGCTCTTGATATTTAATTCGTCATGAAAGATGTTAATTTATGTTTTTCTTGCATCGAGTATAAATAGATGATTCACAATCATTAATCATGTGCATTGCTTAATGTCTTCTTTAGTTGGGTCCAAAAATTTACTGCTAACAAATATAAAAGAAGTTTACTATGTCATATTTAGGCTTGATTCTTGTCTTTCAGGATTGTTAGTGGATGGAAGAGCTCTTTTATATCCTTCCTACCAATGAAAGTTTGTATAAACTGGGATGGTTTTGGCTGTCATATTGTGCCTTGAAATTTTCTTTACTCTAAATTTCTATTTTTATTTATTAATTTGACATCATAAAAACGTCTTGCTAACTTGTTTTTGAAACTCTTGTTACCCTTAAAAATGAACTAGACTCGGGCTTCTGTTAACTTTTCCTTTTCACTTGCTGCTTGATGTTTATAAGCATTATAGACACTAACATTTCTATGCCAACATGTAGAAAGTGATCTAAATTGTGCATTTTAATGGGATCTCTGATAGCTTTCTAGGCAGTCACATTATCCTAGAGCAGCTATATTGATAAAATCTTGAAGCTCATGCTTGTCTTGTCGATTAAGGTTCCATCAAATGAAGCATCAAAAAAATATTTGAAAGAACTACTTCCTTTTGTATTGTTGTTAATGCAAGGATTGAGCTAATATAGTCAAAGCATCTAATATGGTTCTTTTTGGCATTCAATCAGGTCTCCAAGCTAAGTCACTTGAGTAAGCTTGCACGCGAGAACAATACGGCAAACAAGACAGTTGAAGCAGATCGCTTGCATACCATGTTCCTTGCGATGGCTGATGCCAGGGCTGTTCTGATAAAGTTAGCGGATCGATTACATAATATGATGACATTAGATGCATTGCCTTTGATCAAGCAACAGAGATTTGCTAAGGAGACTCTGGAGATATTTGCACCATTGGCAAATCGTTTAGGGATCTCTAGTTGGAAAGAGCAACTAGAAAATCTATGTTTTAAGTATCTCAATCCAGATCAACATAGAGATTTGTCCTCTAGACTTGTGGAGTCCTTTGATGAGGCCATGATTACTTCTGCAACAGAGAAATTAGAGCATGCTCTTAAGGATGAAAACATTTCGTACCATGTTCTGTCTGGACGGCATAAAAGCTTGTATAGCATTTATTGCAAAATGTTGAAGTATGCTCTCTCTCTCCATCTATCTATTTGCACACACACGCTTCCATTTGCTTGTAATGGGAAACATGTCTTTTAAGCAAAGATCTTCAGACAATGTGTGATAAAAATAAAAATGGAAATTATGGTGCTTGGAAGACTCACAATGCTTACTTTCTGACATTTATACTCAACCAAGATTGACTTGAGTTGATCTCCACCTTACTAGGCATTATTGCTGTTGCTGCAGCTTTTGCATTTAGAATCTACGAATTATAGGCCTCTTGATTTTTTTGATTGCCGCAGATTCATGTACCAAAGCATGCTTGAAATGTTGTTAAAAAATAATGAAGATGAAAATAAAATTTTGCACCATTGACTTTGGAAAGTCTTATGTACTTAAATATTATTAAGTGTAATTTTCCATAATGTTGTATGGTTTTCAATTTTGTATAGGAAGAAGCTGAATGTGGATGAGATTCATGATATTCATGGACTTCGACTGATTGTTGAAAACAAGGAAGATTGTTATAAGGCATTAGGAGTTGTTCACCAGCTATGGTCTGAAGTACCTGGAAAATTTAAAGACTACATAAGTCACCCCAAGTTCAATGGGTATGTTTTGGCTTATTAGTTCATGTGATACAGATTATATTATTTTTTCTTACTAACTTTAATTTTAATATGTAGGTATCAATCTCTCCATACTGTAGTAAGAGCTGAAGGCATGGTGCCAATTGAAGTTCAAATTCGGACAAAGGAGATGCATTTGCAGGCTGAGTTTGGTTTTGCGGCTCATTGGAGATACAAGGAAGGTGATTGCGAGCACTCCTCATTTGTGCTTCAGATGGTTGAATGGGCACGATGGGTTGTCACATGGCACTGTGAGACAATGAGCAAAGATCGATCTTGCATTAGCTATGCTGATTCCATAAAGCCTCCCTGTGCATTTCCTACACATTCTGATGATTGTCCATATTCTTACATGCCGCAATGCAGCGAGGGTGGACCTCTCTTTGTCATTATGATTGATAATGATAAGGTTTGTTTCCTTCTTTTCCATGGGTTTACTCATAGTAGTTCAACACAGGTTTTGTATTGGAGTGTAAATTATTTAGTACAGGTCCATGCAACCTCATTAAAGTGAGTATAGTGAGCATACAAGTCAATCTTCTCTTCACACTTAATAGTGCTTTGGGTAGTAATTAGAGTTTTTGGTATCTAAAATTGAATGATAATGTTTAATGTGCTTGGCAATGCAAAATAAAAGAGCACTGACATGTTTTATTAGGATTTTCTTTTTTCAACCAATTGCGTTTCGTTTATTCTTAAGAGAGGTAATGGACGCCAAACAGTCGTGTGTCCAAACCAATTTGTGTGAATGGTGATGCACAGAGTTAACGAAATTATACTGACGTAGGTGCTTATTGAAGATGTGTACTTCTGTGAATGTTGCAGATGTCAGTTCAAGAATTTCCTGCAAACTCAACTGTGATGGATTTGCTGCAAAGGGCTGGTCGGGGAAGCTCAAGATGGTCTCCTTATCGGTTCCCTGTGAAGGAAGAGTTGAGGCCTAGGTTGAATCACAAGCCATTAAATGATCCTACATGCAAGCTGAAGATGGGGGATGTGGTGGAGCTGACTCCAGCCATACCCGACAAATCTTTGACAGAGTGCAGGGAAGAGTTCCAGCGCATGTATGACCGAGGATTGACCACTGTCTCAAGCACAGCAGCTGCTAGTGGGGTGGCTGGGTTGAGAAGTTGACCATTAAGTGATTGGCCCTCAAGTAGTATACCATTTAATGACGATTGGTTATTCTTGTATGTACATATGTTTGTATAGAACAGCTACATGTTTCTGGTGATGAAGACACAGTGACTAACTGTATTCAAAAATAGAGCCAAAAAAGATTGATTTTGAAGTTCTCAAAATGAATGCTGGCTTCTGTTCTTTTTTATTTTAAGCTTTGTAATTTGCATATTGATCAATGGAATTGAACTATTTTCAGTTTCTAAAAGAAAATGCTGAAGTAAACGTGCTGTAGTTTCATGGCCTTAAAAGAAAAAGTAATAATAGCGTAGAAATCATCCAGAAATTATTCATCGACTGTCTGAATCAAACCGTTCCCCTCGCCTTTCTTGGTAGTCACAGCTGACCCCCTTTGTTTTAATATCGTGTTTGAAAGCTCTTGAATGCTTCAATTATTTCAAACCAAGCAAACAAAGACAGAAGACATGATCAAACAATTTGTGCCAAAAAGGGAACGAGAAAATACACTGACTGCTGTATATCAACTAAATTTTCATAAAAGCGAGAATGGTTGAATACACAAACCGATTACATGAAGAAAAAAGGACAAATTACTGAGTTCCCCTTCAACATTTCTTTCTTAATTGGTACACCACTCAATTCCTCTTGGTATACATCTAGGACATCCTTCTCAATACCGGTCATGATGCTATAAACCTCTAAACTGGGAGGGTGTGAAATTCTCACTTGGAACGTTTGGTAAGAGGAAAAGATACTCTTTGAGGATTATTGTGTGGGACATCTGTCTTTGGTTCTTGAGATGGGTTAGGATCAGCACTTTCTTCATCATCCTCAGTTTCTTCTACTGCCTGGGCAGGCTGCTTCTTTGGGATAGCCAGTTGGTAGTTTGGACTAATCAAGGTGTCCTGCTCTGGTGGAAGTGGGATACCAGGTCCAGCTATTGACTTGGGCAATGGGATTTTGTTTCTGTTTCTAGCCAATTCTAGTAAAACCTGATGAATTGCAGTGCAAAGATGTTAGGCATACCCATAATTCATCAGAGAGAAACAAAGAAACAAACACGATACATCCAAGCAAATATAATGTCTTCTACAATGCATTTTAATTCAAGTTCAGGGATCAAAGAATCCTATGATATGAATGACAATGTAAAGATAATTCAGCCACTTTCCTCCAATTTCAACACCACAACATGTAAAACTGAGGATGGTTGGGTAAGTGAAAAGCCTCTAGTATAGTGGATAACCAAAAAATGAAGAACAAGATTTCTAGTACTACAGATCACTACTTACTTCTCTTGGTGGCGGTTGTGAGAAGCTGAAATTAACTTTTGACTGAATAGCAAGCTTAACATCATCACAATCAATTGAAGATTTGCCAGCATGCTCCGAGTAAACCTGGGCATCTGTCAATACATCAACAACATAACGATACCATAGCTCCAAAAACTGGTGTATAACACGAGGTTCATAATCCTCCACACCCATTGATTTGAGTAGGGACTTTACGATCTTTGCATCTCTTGGCAAGTCCTCATCTCCCTCTGCCATTCTCTGCACAAGATCCAAAAGCCAAGCAATCAACAAAAGAAATATAGCAGAAGACCTATGTCCATAAATACCAAGCTCTAACATAAATTGAGAGGTCATCTACAGATTCAATTCCATATTCAACAGATATAAAAAAAGGGCAAAAATTACAATAGAAATTTCGTTAAATTAGCATCATTATAAAAGAAAAGAGCAAACTTTTTAGCTGTTCAATTCGAACAACTCTATTTTCAAAGGTATTTAGACAAAAAAAATAAAAAAGAAACACCGAGTATTACCTGGTCTTCGATTTAAAAAGTGGGAATCAGAGACCTCACCTTCTGAGGAGAAACAGTGAGTGATGGCTCCGGTGTTTTTTTTTTTTTTTTCCGGAAATCGGTCAGAGAACAGAAATGATTTTACGAAGTACCTCCGGCAAGAGCTCCGATTACACGTGAGAGAGAAGTTGCTCGAAGAGAGAGAAGGGATGATAAGAATTTGGGTATTGGCCTTTAGGGCTAAACTACTACAAATTATACAATTCAACAGAAAACTCTCTCTGTCGGACCATGACCAGTCCAAAACGTATAGCCCATGACCGGTCGTTTATGTTGTTTGAATAATGTGATTAAGAGATAAGAAGCCCAGAGAAAGGCCCAAGCGGACCATAAAAAAAAAGTAATATACGTCGTCGTTTCCATAGTGGGAGGGCGACGACAGGGAAAAGTTCCTGTCGTTCCAAAAGACCAAAAGTTTTCCTTGGTTGTTAAATGACAAATATTTGTTACAAGCAGCAGCGAGGAGGAGATTAAGTAGAAGTAAAATTTTGCATTTCCTAAACTCCTGATTGTTAAATTGGAAGAATTTTACATTATCATTTCATTCGTAAAGGCAATTTTCTCTGCACTTTTACACTACCAGGTAATACACAAGGACAAAAATCATGATGAACATGAATTTCAATTCAATTTGTTGAAGTTTAGACTTCAATTGTATGAACAAGAAAACTAATATTAGTATGCTCAATAACAGCTTTATTCAGATATTGGAATGTTACCGCATACATCCACCCTTCTCAGAGTCCAGACACGCTGGATATTTCGTGCACTGTATCGCAAAAAAAAAAAAGAACATTACTGCAGGTATTACAATCTCCAGCAGCTGTAGCAAAAACACTCACATACATACAACACATATATAGCCTCATTAAAATAAATATATTATCTATCTCCAAAAGAATTCTTGGACAGATTCTTGCCATGAGAGCACAAGCATTAGCATAACTAAAATTCCAGCAAGTCCCCAAGAAGAGCTTCCAATTCTAAGAACCCAGGAAGGATCTGGACAAGGGATTAATGATTCTCGTCTTTGAACTGATGATGTTGAAGTAGTTCTAATGGCTATAATTAATCCACCAAGAACCATTGGAAGAACAAATCCAGAGCTCCATTTTGTCTCATAAAACCGCAGCGAATCTGTTTTTCGATTCACATACAATGGTGATAGTACTACTGCTGAAACTAGAGCCAACACCAAAGCTAGTCCTCTTTGTGATGAATTTTGGCTGCTGTAATTATTGTAGATAGCCATTGGTGAGACTCAAATTGCAGGTTGGTTTTTTTCTAATAGAAGAAACCAACTGAATGTTGAATTTATAGGAAGGAGAAGGAAGGAAGGAGTGAAGGAATCTATGTGGAAAGATGATAATCCGATGACCAAAAAGTAATTAGCAAACAGACAGCCGTCCAAAAAGTGAAGGTATAAAGAAGCTAAAATCTTGAAAGAATGTGAAGGTAGCGGTAAAAGAAATGGTAAAGAAAGAGATAGGATAGCCTTGGAAGTAAGGTATCTTTCAATTATTTGACGTTGTGTTCATATGTAAAAGAAAATGGTGACGGAAAGATTTGAAAAAAAATAAATAATAAAAAGCAATATTTTTTAAATTTTCTAATCATTCATGTTTAGGCTCTTAAGTAAGAAATTTTTATTCTTAAATGGAGTACAAATAATAAATTTGATCGAGTTTAAAGAGACATTTTACTATATAGTCTTCACGCTGTTGTCTTTATTATTATTTAATTTTTATTTGAAATGCTTGATACATATAAAATCATTAACATAAAACATTTTATTCAGTATTTCACCTTAAAAAATGACTGTAATGAATTTTTTAAATCTCTTATCCAACAAAATTACTAATTAAAGGATGAGCAATACTATAATTTTCACCTTGAAAACATGATTTTTTTTTCACATGAATAAAAAATAATTGATAATTATAGATAATTAATTGAATCAAACTATTCGCCATTAATGTTTGAACTAAAAGCAGTTTGTTGTCATTATTAATAGGAGCCTTTTTCTTTGGTGAATAGTATAATAATAGGAGCCACTAATTATATGCAGAAAAACTTAAAACTTCCATTTAAAAAACAAACCAAACTTTCAACAATCCAATTCATGCTGTTGTTAGGTTTTTAGCAGGCTGTTGTAGTTGAAACAATTTTCAATTTCGCTCTCTTCCATTTCCATTCCTAAATGGAACCTAAATTTCTTTTGCAAATTATCTCATTCTGCTATTCTTCAACCATTTCATTTCTCAAATTCTTATCCTTCTGGATTCTTAACTTCTCCAGAATTTTCCCAACAATTTCAGGGAAAATTCTATCTTTGTATTTCCTATCATGTGGCATATCAGAATGCACAATTGATTTAGACGACCAAACGACAGTCAATTTCTGGGTCACCAACCATAGGAAATTTAACAAACCCAATTTAGTACTAATTCATGGCTACGGTGGTGATTCACGGTGGCAATTTCTTGGCCAAGTCCAACTTCTATCTCAAGCCTTTAATTTATATATGCCTGACTTATTATTTTTCGGCAAGTCCTTCACGAAACGGAGAGGTCGGTCTGATGCTTTTCAAGCAGAGTGTGTGAGGGAAGGGTTGAAAAAATTAGGTTTAAAAAGGTATAATTTGATAGGGTTAAGCTATGGCGGGTATGTGGCGTACCGGTTGGCGGCGAATTATGCAGACGAGGTGGAGAAGTTGGTGATTATGAGTAGTGGGATTTGTTACACGGAGGAGCAAAAAGAGGAGCATTTCAGGAAAATTGGGAATCTCTCTGATCTTCTTTTGCCACAGAAACCAGAAGATGTAAGGGCTATGATTAAGCTATCTATGCACAAGACTAATCCGATGAAATGGATGCCAGATTTTATTATTTCGGAGTTCATCAATGTAAGTTGCTCTCTTCCTTCTGCTTTTATATATACCTGACGCAGAAATTTACAAATTACTATGATTTAACCATTAATGGGTGTGAGATTCAACCTAGGATTAAGGGTATTAAGCGGGGCATAAACGAACCGAGCCGAGTTTAAATCTGCCATGCTCGAAACTTAATTTGATAAGATTTAGCTCGGTTCGAAAATCAACGAGTCTAAATATTTTAGAGAATGAACTTGACTTGAGACTCGAATTCAACTTAAAAAATTTTAAACTTAGGCTTGATTCGGAAATTTTATTCGAGCTCGAATAACTTGTAAGCCTACTCGACTCATTTACATCTCTATTCTTAAAATCTTTTTCGGAGCCATGTGATACACACCTAGTCTTAAGATCTTTTGATGAACTAATAGTTGCAACTATTGTTATTCACGTCAAATTCATTTTACTTAGGCAAAGAGACAAATTGAATTTCCACCCATTTCTCTGAAATGTCACATTTCACTACCATAATTACAAGCAATATTAAATTTGCTGAATATGACTTTGAATAGAAAGGAAACAATGACCTATCCGAATATGAAATTATTTTATGTTACTTTATTTATTTTTCATTATTTTGATAAATGGACGTGTATTTAAGTCTATTTAGGACTGAAAAATTTGAATAAAATAATTAATGTATTTTTTGAAAATGTCATCTAAACGGAAAAAAAATAAAAAAATAAAAAACTGTTAAATTTAATGAACATACTCATTTATGCTCTTTTTTTTTTTTTTTAAACCTACTTATTTTATTATTTTGTTTGATCATATAGTATATTTTATTTATTATGTTCCCAATGCAGTGCGCATGAATCTCATTCATCCAATTCATCACTGTATATTTTTGTCCGGTATATTACGATCACTTACTAATTTAATTCTCAGAGCTAATTCATCCTCCGTAATCATGACCTCCTCAAAGCTTTTACATGCCTTTATCTTCTACCTTTCAACCACACTGGCCATCCTTAGATTCTCCATAGATGGTTTCTTCAAGTTAAATCGAGCTTCGATCCTTTTCAATCTAGTTGATATAATTTTTTCAATTTATTATAGGTTATGTGGTCTCACATCATTTACCGTTGATTTAGATGATCAAACCACCGTGCATTTCTGGACCTCCAATTACAGGAGGATTGATAGGCCAAATCTAGTCATGATCCATGGCTACGGCGGCGATGCACGGTGGCAATTTCTCTATCACGTCGGTTTCCTTTCCCGGAAATTTAATCTTTACATGCCGGATTTAGTATTTTTCGGTAAGTCTTATTCGAACCGGGCGGACCGGACCGATGCGTTTCAAGCTAGGTGTTTGTTGCAAGGGTTGAAAGGATTAGGTTTGGAGAGGTTTTCGGTGTACTCGATTAGTTATGGAGGTTACGTGGCGTATCGGATGGCTGAAATGTGCGGAAAAGAAATGGAGAAGCTTGTGATTGTTAGTACCGGTATAGGGTGGAGTGATGATGAAAAGAGAGAGCATATCAGAAAGATCGGAAGAGATCCAAAAGACTTGCTCGTACCTACAAATCCACATGATCTGCGTACGTTAGTGGAGCTATCGATGTACAAAGGCAAGCCTTTGAGATGGCTTCCTGACTTTTTCCTTCAAGAGTTCATCAATGTGAGTTTAGTTTATCACTTTCAAGAGTTCAAGCAAAGTGAAATAAAATAAAATAAAGACAAGAAATATTTGAGGTCAGTCCCTTTATCAAATTTATTAAGTTCAGGTTCGAAATTCTACACCTGCTTTGTTTTCAAAATCAATTCAATCTGCCCCTTGGATTTGATTTTGATTTTTATGTTCAAAAGTTTTTTAATGATGGACAAAAACTCTTAGACATCCTCGTATCCACTGCCCGTATAAATTCTGGCATTTCCACGTTTTTTCGCTTTTGTTTCCATGCAATATAATTTTTTCGTCTCTATTTTCATGCAACACAGCATAAGTATAAAGTTCTAATTTTTTTCTGATTTGAGTGTTCGCTCAATCAAAGATAATTAGAACCAGCATTCTGTTGATATGTAAAGATTTCTGGCTCTCACCCTTGTAAAGTTCGAGGTCACTTATCATCTCTGATAAGCAAATTATTGGTTAGATGAAGTTGTAAATTTTATTGCTTTACAGGTGATGGGTAATAATCACAGGAAGGAGAAGTTGGAGTTGGTGGAGCACTTGTTGGCTAAAAAAGCAGATACAAATCCTCCCGTTCTAACCCAGGTATCAGAGGATTATTTGTTTAAACCTCATTTTTTTTTTATCTAAATGTTGTAAATTTGTCTTATTAATACGATGATGGTATTATTAGCAATGATTGTATATATTTAATTCAATTTGAACGTCACTTTCAAAGTGTCTAAATAGGTGGCATTGCATTAGGCTTGAATGATTATCACTAATTAAAGATTAACAACCTGTGAAATCTTTTTTAGATATTAATTAATTATTAAATTCTGTTAGCTATTTTTGTATATATTAAATATTGCTCCATTTGGGTGAAGGAAACACTCTTAATATGGGGCGATCAAGATAAAGTTTTTCCAGTATCGCTGGCTCATCAATTGCAAAGGTAAATTATTATCTTTTCCATTAATTTCAAGTAATTACTGTATACATTTTGCAGTAAATAACAGTTTTATTGTTGTTAAACACAGGCATCTGGGGCCAAAATCAAGAGTGGAAATAATCAAGGACGCAGGTCATGCTGTTAATATGGAATCTCCTGATGCTGTGAATAGTCTGTTAACATCATTTCTTTTAGGTCACTCTTAATCTAATAATTATGTATTAATAATTTTCAAGTATATGTAATTTCAAGTTTTAGGGTTCATGTATCAAGCAAATCATTCTAATTTGCCAAATTAAGAAAGTTAACAAGTCAATCAAACAAGTTATTCTGAGAGATATGAAGTTGTGAATACGAATCCAAACTCTAATCAAAGTTTAAATAACCAAAAAAAAAAAAAAAATCATAAAAATAACATTCCGTGTTAAATTGATCAAGTTGAAATTAAATTGGTGATACGATATTATGTTTTTACCCAGATTATGATTGCATAATACTTACCGTCACTAATATTAAGTAAAAAATATCCTCATAATTTATTATCATTATTTTTTTAAATGAAAATATATTAATATTCTTTTTTTAGTATTTCGTGTTATTTTACCTTTGTTTTTCAGTGATTTTAATCCAACAAAAATAGTTAAAACACATTTATTAAGAAATAGATTTGACGTCTTAATTTTAGATATGATAAAGAAATACTCATTCATAATGTTTATACATAAATATCTATACTAAATATAATTTAATTTATAATTATAGGTAATTAATTTATAATTATGGAAGAGACAATATCTATATAAATATTTTACATTAGAAGAACAATATTGAAAATGTGACCCCACCTAGAAACTCTTGCAAGCACAACATCAAGTTGAAATTGACATGAACTGGGCCAAGATAATTTAGGCTGCACTTTAACCAAGAGTTATAATCTTTTTTGTTTTTAGCACAAACAAAGGGCACTTTGACCCAAAGGAACCGGAAAAGCCGAGGATCCTAAAAAACGATACCGTATTAATCGTCAAAAACTACCAAAACCGCCACACTTCGTACGAGTCTACACAGTTACAAACCTCCGTTTTCATAATCCTTCCCGAAACAAAGTATTATACCCTCCCTCAGTCCACTACCTCCCTCGAGCTCTTTCCACCACCACCACCACGAAGCCGCCGTGCCACCGACGCGCGCCCCTGCCAAATGCTCGAAAGGCGAAAAAATTAAATTCCGTAAAATCAAATGTCTTCTCACGAACAAGCCCTAGCCTCTTTAGTCTCCCAGCTTGCCCTCTCCTTCGACGGAGCAATTCTCGGCGTCGCACTCGCATACGCCGCTGTACGTTCCTTTCTAAAGTTCACGTCAAATTCTAAAGCCCTCCGCAAAATTCGCAGTGCCCCTACCGTCAAAGTCTCTGATCTCCGCTCCATCCTCGATCTTTCCCAGCGGGCTGATGAAAACCAAAACCAAAACAATCAGAAGCTCGTGATTGTTCAGGGGCAGGTGGAGGCGAAATCCAACGTTGATAGTAACTGGAAGAGCTATAGGCCTAATGTTTTGATCGCTCATGAATCTGGTGATAAGGCCGTTATTGTGCAGAGAACTCAAACTGTATGTATGTTTTTCATATTTTAAATATGATTATCAGATTGATAATTTGGAATTTAATTTATACTTGTAGTGGTTATTGTAGTTTGTTACTGAAATAATGTGTTCAACCTTTTGCTCCTATAATTGTGTTTAAGTAAATATTTATATTAAGAATCATGCAATAGCTCATGTTTTACTAGTAACTTTAGGTGCTATGTGCGTGAGGAGGCTTCACTTGCTGAATTGTTGGGTGGTGTATTAAAAATGTTAACTTTCTTTAAGACCATAATGTATTTTAAAATTATGACAATTTGTTCAGTTAGAAATAGCTTTGATTGAATGGGTAGAATTGGTTTTTCTTTTGAAATTATTATTGCTTTGCTATTAATTCTCGTGTATTAAATTGATCTAATATGAATCTCGTCGTTTTATTTTGTTGAAGTGTTTATACAATGAATGGAAGGGCTTCTTTGGGTGGACTTCTGATCTTCGAGCAATCTTTGGTAGATCTTGGAGGGAACAAGAATCAACCTCGTTGCGAACGGTGATTCAATTATCTTTTTTTTTTTAGTTTGAATTTGATAGTGGATATTCTTACTCTCTATTTTATTCTCAGCCAGAGAAATGCTATGAAATTAGATTTAACCTCACTGTCTCAGTATTTACATGCACTGCTAGTTCTAACTATCAGAACTGTCCTTGTTATTGAAATTGATATTTGATCTTTCTTTTTTTTTTTTTTTTTAACTTTCTTTGTGGTGAAATGACTGTTGGTATGTTAAAGAACCTCAATCTACCAAGTTTATGCTGAATTTTTACCATCAATTCATACAATAGGTATTGGAATATGAATTGTTGCAATTTGATTGCGAATTTTTAGGTCCATATTCCACAGTTCCCTCCAAAAGCTGAACAAAAACATCGGCTTCTACATTATCTAATTTTAACTTTATTTGGCCTGCCTCATTTAAAATCTAACTTTCACTCGCCAATGTGCAAGATTCTAGGCGTTGTCTATGTTTTGAAGAACTTTGTCTATGTTATATCTTTTCAATATGTAAATTGGGTTCATTGCAAAAGACTTCTTTGTTCTTATCTCAAGAATAGGCTTCTGTTTTGTAACTCGTTTTTTTTGTTTAGATGGAATATGGACCAGGTTTTTTCACTTATCATTCTCTAGCTAGGTTGGGTGTATTGGGAGAGTCTATTGACATGGGATTATTGCTGGAGTTTGATAAGTTTTTCCTAGATTTCTAATAAAATTATTTTATTTTGCTGATAAAAAAAAAATGTGCAAGATTCCAGTCCCATGCCTGACCACTGAAGTTATGCATGGTGTGGCCAGGAACTTGAAAGATGATCTGCATCAGTTAAAATTTTTACTATGTTTGGTTGGGTACTTTCATGGTTTATGATTGTCAATTAGTCATTAATGCTTTTGGTTTCTTCTATTAATATACTGTAAGCTTATATCTCACCATTGTGTAGAAAAGAGCTTTTCTACTCGCCTTAAAGCTGCATGCTAAATATTTCTCATACCTTTAAAATGTACCAGACATATTTTTTTGCTTGAATGTGCAATAGAATAGGAAGTATGTGTGTAAAATAGGAGGTAAGATAATTATGAAAGGGACTTGGACTCTTTTGCTTGGCTTTTTTCCTTCCTGTATGGACTAGGGATAATTGGTCTTGCTCTCTCTCTCCTTGTTCTTTTCCTACCTTTTTCTCTGAAGTGAAACCATCCAACTGTGTGGATTGTCTTACATGCACCATTCTAGACTTTATTGATTGAATTACTTAAAACAAATTTAATAAAGGCAGCATCGCATCCATTTCAGGTGCTACTTTGTTAGATGCTATTATTTTTCCAAGTTGCCAATGTTATTCTCCTCAAACATTAATGTTTCTAATGTTTTTGTGGAGATTGTTATAACCATTTGATTTGTTTGATAAAGCTGAGTGCCTTTCATTGATAAATGTGATAACAAGGACTTAACTCATTTATTTTTTACCCATTTGAAAGGTCCCTTTTGTTCTTGTTGAAAGTGGTCGATGGCAACATTCAAATTATGTTATTGTGAATATGGATGGTTCAAGACATCCTCTGCCTCTTACGACAGTGTATCATCAATTGCAACCCATTGATGCTTCTCCATATACATTCCTTCAGGCACTTTTTGGTCATGAATACCCAGTAAGTTCCAAAGTATTTAAGCCTAAGTGTGCTGCAGTGCTTTAGTTGTCCTTAAATTAATTTGGCACATGGTAACATGTTGCAATTGGGGATATTTGGGGCCTGACATCTTTATTTTTCTTTGTTTTTAAAGGTTGGTCTGCTTGATGAGGAGAAAATCCTCCCATTAGGGAAGGAGATAAACATTGTGGGCATTGTCAGCTTTAAAAATGGAATTTCTGAGATAAAATCTTGCAAGGATCTCCCATATTTTCTGTAAGAAGACTCATTCTTGAGAATTCTATAGGTCTTGTAGTCAGACATGCAAAATTTTAAATTTGATGTGTGTCTTCACTCCTGCATCTAGATTTGCATTGACATTGCTTGAAATTTTTTATGCTCTTATCAGTCCTCATGACAGTTTAATGGTTGGGTAATTGATAATATTTTGTCCTATTGTCGTACGGCACCAAGCTGAGTTCATCAACTTTTGGCTTCTCATGTTTTTTTGGCTCATGCGATTTGACATGTTATTCTGCTTGAATGTGGACCTGTACCTACGAATATTGGAATATATACTTCTTAAGCCATTGTCCTCTTGACTTCATGTGACTGTAGTATAAAGTAGTAATCTCCACTGATGTGTTGACTGGAAAATTTGGGTTAGTTTTTTTGGGAGATGAACATAGAATATTATGCAGAATTGACCCTCTGATAATTCATACTTGGACCATGTACATAGTACAAAATTTTATAATATTTTTTTTGAAGAACGCTGTTTAGTTTATGATTTACATTTCATGTAGTACAAATTTTTTAATTCGTTAATCTGTGTATTGCCAGTTAGCCACATTATATTTTTTTCAAAATCTTTTTATTTAGATATCTATTACTCATTTTTATTTGCTTTTGAAATTTTTCTATATCATTTCTTGGAAGTTGATTGCTTCCATAGAATAATTACATATATAATTCTACCAAGGATAAACATTGTTGAACTATCAAGTAGCTGGTTTTCTACAATTTCAGAAGCATAATTTTTGTGCATATGAATTTAAAAAATATATCCACAATGAGCTCATTTGTCATCTGGATTGCTACAGGTCAGATATGACTAAAGATCAGATGGTAGTAGATCTTGCCTTCAAGACAAAAGTTCTGTTGTGGAGTGGTATTGTTCTTGGTTCGCTGTCAATTGGTATTCTTGGCTATGCTGTTGTGAGGTATTCCCTCCTCTCTCTCATGCCCTAATTCATTTGTTGGATGTTGTGAATTAGATAGGCTCCTGAATTAGCTAGAAAGTTCAGACAAGTCTGGCAATAAAAAGTTGGTTTACTTGAATCCTATCTAAACTTATTATGGAAGAGAGAATGAATCAGCTTAAACCGCGAATATTAATTAGTGTATTGAATGAGAACAATTTTATTTGGTTTCATATCCTCTAATCGAAAATTGTATTCAGGAACTGGAATAAATGGAAAGAGTGGAGGCAACAGAGACAGTCTCAGCAACAAAGCCATGCTCTTAGTGATGGGGATGCCCCTCAGATTGATGCAGATGTGGAGACAGGAGATGTACCGGATGGACAATTATGTGTGATTTGCTTGATGAGGAGAAGACGATCTGCATTCGTTCCATGCGGGCATCTTGTTTGTTGCCAACTCTGTGCGATATCAGTTGAACGGGAGATATCACCAAAGTGTCCTCTCTGTCGGCAGGCAATCCGGAGTTCTATGAGGATATTTGATTGTTGAGGAACCAATAATAACTTTATTAGAGGACAGTGTTGGACAGATATCTCGAAGAAGAACCAAAATTATATTTGTATATAGATGTAGGAATTTTACAGATTACTGATTGATAATCACTAATTATGCAGGTTGATGTTGCTTATTAGAATTTCCATTCTCTCGTGTCTTCTCTTCCCTTGGTACTATCTAACTAACGATTCCAAAATTTGGCGTAGTTAACTAAAGCTATCGGCTTCACTTGCTCAGCAGCTTCTTTTGGTTTTTATCTATAGCAAACTGAAAATTTATTGTCTTTAGTCAGATCTCTGCTCCATGGGCAAGTGGAACTCAACATTGGGAATGTCTTTTCTATGAAATTAAAGCTAAAAAGTGGATGTAATATTTACTATTTCAAACAAAATGATCCATCAAACAAAATCAATCATTTAACTAAAACAGGGCTGCAAAAACCAGCCTCTACACATTTAACTCACTTTAATTTACATGAAAAAAGAAAGAAAAAATGAAAAAAGAAGCTAAAACGGGGGAGCTACAAGTATCTTTTTAACTGCCATTTCCTTTGACATCCAATTTCCACAATGAACAGAAAGAAACAGGATGCCCTTTCCACCATAACCCTACACACTCACCTTTTTCTTCAATTCTCATTTCCCAGTTGCTATCATACTTCCTTAACAAAGCTCGACCTCCATCAATGGCATCTTCCCCAAACATCTCACCTACAAACCCCACCCTTGTCATCCTTTCACACCATTTCTCTTTCCCTTCGTTCATCTCTCCGCGATTTGTTAATGCCTTGGCTGCCTCTCCTTCCATCACTCTTCTCTCTTCGCTTTCCCGGCCTTTAAAAGCTGAGCTTGTTGAGTCCAAAAACTTCCATAAGTAATCAACTCTTCTTGAAAATCCCGTTGCAAAATCCCCACAACTATTGCAACTACAATCCGTGTTGTTTTCACTAAGAATAACGCCTTTTGGTTCCAATTCTCTTAAAACTCTCAAGAACTCAGTTCTCTCATCTGGGGTATTGTGATTTAAATGATTGAGTCTAAATTGAGCACAAACTATTAAGGTTTCATCAGAATTTGACTTAATGACTTGTGCATTTAGATTTTTTAATGGGTAGTTATGAAGTCTATTGATTTGCAAATTAATGTTCATAGACTTGGCAAAACTGAGTAGTCTTGGAGAAAAGTTGTCTCCTGGCGGACCAACTAAAAATGGGGTCTCAGTGTCTTGATCATTTTCAATAGTGGCAGTGATGACAGTGATGCGTACCAAAGGAGGAAGTCCTCCGGACCGGCGAGTCAATGCCTCAAGAAGTGTAGGCCATTGCACACCATGAGAAACACCGATATCAAGAATATGAAGGTTACGCTTATGATCCTGTTCTTTAGCAAGAACTTGAAGTATTGAAGAATTTGCAATATTATTTGGAAATGCAAACCAAGGACTAACTTCATAAAATTTTAGCAAAGATCGTTGAAAGAACTTAGGCTCAGTAGACGCGAAAGATATAGGCGCTATAGAAGCAGTGGTTGTGGAAGATGATAAATGGTGAGTTAAGGCTCTAAGACCATAAAAAGCTAGCCTATGATTAGCATCACCAGTTGATGAGGCAAGTTCATGAAGAACATAAAGAAGGTGTTGGACACGTGACAAATTACCTGTGGTAATAGCAGCTGCACAAGGGTTAAGCAAATGCTCTGCCCATCTTCCTTCCTTGCTGTTTCCATTATTACTATTATTTCCTGTGCTTTTACTATTGCTTTTCTTGGTTCCATTTGATCTTTTTCCTGTTACTACTGCTCCTCCATCTTTCTCTTCATTGCTGACCGCCCGATGACTCTGTTTCTTTCTCTGTTGATGATTTTGTACTGAGTCATCTGGCGATCCCCGTTTTCTCGACGAATTTGAAGGTTGTGGACTACTGGTAATGGTGGGATTGCTTTCTTCTGTTAGTTTATCGTTGGTGGTGGTGATGGTTATGGCAGTGAGATTAGTATCAGTGTTGATTGGATCTTGACAAAGTTCTTCTGTTTGATTCCACCATTGATGATAGCTATTGATGTCGTCTGAGCTATACGGATCATCCAAGAATGATGGTAGGAATGGTACTGTATCTTCTATCCAATCCAATATGTGATCTGAAATGTGATTTGCCTCTGTTTCTTCAATAGTCATTTCTTTTCTGTATGTTCTTGAAAGAAAGAAAGAAGTACAAAAATGTTTATACTACTTATTTTTTGACCAAAAAGATAAAGGATGAACAAACAACTTAGATTAGACTTATGTTCTTAAAATAATGCATGTTAGGAAACAGACGGTAGAGAGCATATTTTAAGGTTTTGATGTGGTGTGTGTTTGGAGGATTTGATGTTTTTGTTTAAGACTTTTATTTGGGCTGTAAGAGATGAAGACATTTAGGCTATGGCTCCTCTTTGTTTTTGGTGATTAACTTATTTCTCTTGTATGTCAAAGTTGTTGAGATCCACAAATAAGGTTTAGAGAGAGAAGTTGGGGATTGTGATGGGGTTGAATTTGAAGTAAGAAGAGCCGGCATGCTTTGTTTTACAATTGAAAATCATATTTTTTTTGTATGCTTGTGCTTTGTGCCACTCAAGACTATGTGTGTATTGAAATAGACCTATCTACTACCAAATTTCATTTCAAGTTTCCATGTATAGAGATTGAAATTTTTAAAAGGGAATACTATCCAATAGCTTTGTGTTCTTGTTTATTTTATTGAGGTTCTTGTTTTAGTCCCTAAAATGCAATCAACCCGCAAAGCCAATCCATTCTTGGTTTGACTTGTCCTCTGTTTGTTTTGTTGTTTTCTTGCCAAGAAACAATTTGGTATGTTGTGCTGGCCTCACATGTGCATCCTGTTTTTTTTTTTTTTTTTGGGTATTCTTTTATTGGCAATAACTCCTTTGTAGCATTTTATTAAATGTATATTTGTAACCGGATCAAAATGGAAATAATATTCAAATAAAGTCCTCTCGCGTTTTCGCAGTGACAACTTTAGGTTTTGATGAAATATACATTTCACGAGAAAATGCAACCTTGAAAAAGTTTTTATAATCTACTGTCAATAAAGAAGGATTCAATTGTCTAAAAATTTAATTTCAAAGATTAAATAAGTAATAAATCAGGTGTGTTCTGTTTATTCATACTATAGAATTTATAATATTATACCGGTTCATTAGCCTCTCAGCCTCTCATATATCGGAAAAAAAAGATTGAACAACCATGACTCCCTCGACTTGGTATATATTTTACTCTTACCTCAGCCATCAAGATTGTCTTGTTAGCACTTAGCACCATAAAAATTTGGACTTAGATTTTAATTTAAGCTGTCGGTTGCCAAGTGCATGGTTCACATAAGTAGAATTATTAATTTAATAAAAAATATAAAATTAAATAATTTATAAATTAAATATGAAATCTTAACATGTATTTGAGAAAATATGAAAACAATTGTGTTCTTTAATAGATGTGACTTCTGAGATATATATATATATTTTTCTAATCATAATTTAGTATTTTATGGTTGTGGCTATTAGTCACTTTTAAGTTTATCCAGTCATATATCTACGCGATCCTATTATTATTTTTAGGAATTCAAACAATATTGCATGGATTTATAATTAATTTATTTTATTGCATTCTAAGGTTTTAAGATATAAACTTTAATTACTTGTGTGTATTAATTGAATTCCAATGTTGTTCGAAATTCATTATAAACTTTATTAATTACTTGTGTGTATTACTTGTGTGTAAATCATTCAACATTATAAAATTGAGATGAATAAATATTTTGACACAATGCTATACTTGTATAAAGATTCAATTGCAAGGTTACCAATTCATTCTAGTTCTCTTACAGGATATAATATCACAAATTTATCAAAAAGATTAAAAATGATAACTTTGTCCCTGTCCTGCCCCATTAAAGGTCCAATCCAAAGTTTGTACCAAAAAAGAAAAAAAAAGAAAATAGCAGACCTCTTCTTTAAGTTCATGGCTATCAGAATCAAACCTTCAGGGGCCAATATTGGGATCTCCTTTACTCACCGAACAAATTAAAAGTACTCTCTTGGAATTGCGTCAGATGAGCTTCTTTAAATTGATCACTTAAACCAAAATGAGCCATCAGAATACAAACATGAGTTAGTAAATCTCCACCCTTTCTAAGTTTTTGAGCATGTTCCTTCCAATCACAATGACTCGCAGCATAAGCAACCATTTCTATCCAAACTTCACTTACCACATCCCATTTCTCCTCAAATTCCGTTGACTTCAATTGTTTTGCAAGAAGATATCCACCAACTAGCATAAAGCTCTTCATCTGTTCTGTACTAAAAATTTGTTTCTCGAGATCGTCTTCTGCAAAGTTGGCTTCAAGTATTTTCAAGCAAGCTTCTTTTTCACTATAGCTCGTCTTCTTGCCAATATCACCTTTAAAAAGAAAATCTTGAATTGCTTCCTTTGTATCTTGAAAAGCATGCCCGCTCTGATTCTCTTTAGACAACAAATTTGGATTCATCACAAGATTATGCAACATGTAATCAGACAAGGTTTTGCTAAGTGTGTGCTTAGAATAGTCTTTATTTTGATGAGTCTGATCATCGAGATCGCTATAATAACAAATATCAGTAGCCAAGTGCCAAATGACTACGCTATTGCTAAATGATATAGCTTCAAAGAACACATCGGCATCTTCAAGAAATACTGTAATGGCTTGTTGAAGCGCTCCATTTCCTCTCAGAGCCAATAGGGTACTACGAAACATTTGTGTGTCCAACATTTTATTAACTTTTAAATCACCATGCTGATAAAGTTGATCGCCTTTCTTACGAATATGATTGAAGATTGCATCTTTAACGTCAGCATTCACTTCTACCCTCTTTATGTCCATGTCTTTGATCAGTTCATCAATTCCAAAGTACTTTAGCCACTCAGGCGGATCATTTTTCAGGCAAGAACTAATCAGATTGTATTGTCCCATCAATCCTGACCATCTTTTTCCACTTCTGTAATGCAAATGGAGAAAATACACAGTTCTTAAGATAGAATTAGTTGGTGGACTTCCAGATTTGCTTAACCAAATCATTGTCTGGTCAGAGAAAATGAGACGCACTAATCCATATGCTTCTAAAACAAAAGCTCCAACTAGCAATAAGTAAGTTAGAGCAATGTCAACTGTTGAGTACTGGGGGTGACCATCAATGGTGATTGAGAAGACAACTAATGCAATAAATGAGGATAAAAGACTAATAGAGCGAAGAAGGAGACCTAATTTAGAATAAACAATAGGCGCTTTTGTGTAAAGCTCATCATAGATCAATCCGAGTTCAACTTCTACAAGCTTAAAGGCTTCTTCTGATGAACTTACAGAAGATATGACAGAGTGGCTGTCGTTTGATTCAGAAAACCCAAGTATAAGATCTTCAAATAAAGGTAAAGACATTTTGAACAAGTAATGAGCTCGATGAAAAAAATTGGTAGAAGGAGAAGGACAAGGTCCTCGCGGAAGAATCTTCTTGTTTCCGTTACTTGTGTTAGAAGGAACCGAAGATAACGAGGATAAAGATTCTTGAAGTTGATTGGTGCTTGAATATCTAAGCACCCAAGTTCTCTCCCCATACTTAACAAGTCCAGCAATAAAAACTGGAATGGCTATAAATGTGAGAGGAGAGTTATCCAAATACATTAAGTAGACATAAAAGGCAACACCAACTTCAATTAACAATCCAAGAAAATGCCTTAAACAAAGCTCATTATCCTCTAAAGAATAAGAAGTGATGGCATCTGGGCCGCCAAGGTGCAGGAGAAGGAAAGGTGCCCAAAATGCATGGATTGAATAGTTTGGATTGGTAGAAAAATCATCATTTTGGCTGCTAGCAAGTATTCCTAATGCGACAGTTGCTAGCCAGTCTGCTGATAAATAGGCTAACCATACAATAAATGAAATCCACATTCCAGCAATGTACTTTCTTCGAGCACCGAGCTCGATAAGTGTGATTTGTAGCAAGAGACTCGATAAAACGAGCACACGGATCTCCCATCCATTCCAGAGTCTTATGAGACTTTCTGGAAAAATTTGCATCTTTTTTTGCTTCTTCTCCTTCTTCTGTAGGAACTAATAAAGAAAAATTCATATTTAATGAATAGCTGATTTATATCAATAAATATATTAACAAAATAGACCAAGATTACTCGTTCCTCAAAAGCTAACTTCAGGAGATGATTTTCCAAATATTATATATTGATTAAAGACCTTATCCCGAACTAACATAGCATATATAGCACCCCACATCTATATATAATTTCTGGAGTGTGAAGTTTGTAAGCAAACATATCTAGACTCTGATACCATGTTCATAAAATAGACTGTATATCTCAAATTCATAACTTTATTTCACAAGTTTTTCAATATACATTTTCATTTAATTTAGTCATAGTCACAAGTCACAACCGGTTGCACTATGCTATATTAAATTATGAATACAACAAAAGACGGAAAATTGTTGCAATTAACCATAAAAGTACCTGTATTTATAGGTGAGATCACTGGCCGACTGGTCAACTTGTGAGAGCTTGAATATATAGCCGGTCATCCAATTTTTGAGTGTGTGTCTGGTTACTTCATATTGGTAACCTATTTCTAACATGATTTCACATTTGTTTATATGAGGGAATAGTACTTTACCTCATGGCTTGGGAAGGTATGATGGAATTGCGTGTGGAAACCATTCCAACTAGCCGAGTCATACTCAATTTTGAGTGTGTGTCTGTGTGTGAACTTTCATATTGGTACCTAACTCTTCATAACATGATTTTTCACATTTGTTTATTTGTGAGGGCCATAGTAGCTACGTTTACCTCATGGGCTTGGGGAAGGTATGAAATGGAATTGCGTTGTGGAACCATTTCAACTTTTTTTTTTTTTTTTTTTTTAAAGAGTTAAAAACAATCAATTCACTTCAAGGAAAAGATCCGAAGACAATCAGGTACTCAAGCGATATTAATGAATTGCGTGTGGAAACCATTCAACTTGATTATTTAATTCAGGAATTGCGTGTGGAAACCATTCCAACTTTGATTATAATTATCATCATCTCATGATTGCCGGATTAATTTATTAGCAAATACTAGAGAAATTAAAGTAAAAAAAAAGCAGAAGGGCGACTAGCAAGTAATTAATCATATAAATTATGTTTATATGCTTTACTCTTGCTTGGGGAATTGTTTATGATTTTTACGTGAGAAATTGACATTTAACTTAAAAAAAAAAAAAATGGTCGGTAAGTGTTATCCCATACATAGGAGTATTAAAACCCACGTGATGTGTAAAGGAATATCAGAGAATGAATTAATCTTTTATAACATCATTCAAAAATAATAAAATTATTAGGAGCGTCAAAATGGATTGGCATATCGGATTTGACACAAATTCGCCTAACATATGATACGATTAGGGTCAACACGAACGTGACCATTTAATAATCGTGTCAAATTTGTTAACACGAACACGATAAGTGACATGAACACGATACGTGTAATCCGCCTAATATCATAAGCATATCAAGTGAGTTTTGTACACGACCTGTGTAACCCATCTAGTGATCCATCTAATATCATAAATAGGTTAAGTGAATCATGTTGACCTATATATAGCTCGCTTAACTTTCTTATGATATTTTTAGTTAGAGTATTTATATCTAACATTAAAATTACCTCTTTACTCTTAAATAAATGGGTCATTCTCCTAACTTGTGTGTCAACCTGTAACACGATACGTTTATATTCGTGTCATAAACGAGCGACTTATTTATTACATGAACCTGTTTAACCTCAACCATAACCCATTTATTTCATGTTTTAGGCGAATTGTGTTTACGTGTTATGATCCATTTTGATGCCTCTAATATGACCTATATAAAAAAATACATACACACACTAGTAATGTATTTTTAATAGTGATAATAAGTTTGAGAATTTAACTAATTATATTGAAATAAGAAAGTAAGTCTTTTTTATTTTATATTTATGATTTATTATAAATGATTGTTTATTTATTTGAAATATTAATGTATTATACTTATTTAGTGTAGTGTGTCCTAAATTATACTTATTTAGTGTAGTGTGTCCTAAGAGTATGAATGTCTTATATTTTTAAAATTGTCGTGTCCTACATATTCCCGTATCTCACGTCACATATCTGCAATTTAGCTCTTGGTACATGAGACTACTTCATATACCAAGCTAATCAACCAATGTTTTTTTGTATTACCAAGAAAAATGAAGTATTTTTTTAAAAATTTTTTTGTGTGTTTTTTTATTAATGAATGATCAGAAAAAATAAGTAAGAACTAAATTTTTTTTTCGAAAAAACTTATATTGCTTTTTTTTATATAAAAGAAAATAAAATTAACAGAAAAAGAAACGTAAAGAGTAAAGAGTTGGGATTAGAAGTCAATTTTTCAAATGATAAATTTTCGTCAAACCGAAACTCTAAATAGGAGGGAGAGTGTATTGAATTAAACAACTCATGAAAAGGGAATAGAAAAAATTAAGCCTAGCAGTTGAATACTGACATTTTTCGAAACTAATTTAAAAAAGAAATTTATATTACTTATTTTTTTATGATATAAAAGAAAAATAAAATTAATTTTTCTCGACAAATTTATTTTTATAGTTTTTTTTTATTTTCCTTCTAGTATGAAGAGATATTATTAATTAAAAAACTCATAAAAAGGGAAAAAAAAAAAGGCATGACCAATTGGTTGAATACCAATTTTTTTTGGAAGTAAATTTAAGAAAAAAAATCTTATGTTACTTTTTTTTGGATATAAAAGAAAAATAAAATTAATTTTTCTCTAGAAATTTATTTTTATACTTTTTTATTTTCCTTCTAATTTGAAGAAATAATTATAGTTTATTGGATAAAAAACTCATGAAAAGGGAATAAAAAAAACTTAGTCTTGGCTAATTCGTTGACTATTGACATTTTTCGAACTAATTTAAGAAAGAAACTTATGTTAATTATTTTTTTTCTTTTAATTTTTCTCTACAAATTTATTTTTATAGTTTTTTTATTCTCCTTCTAATTTGAAGAAATACTTATGGTTTATTGGATTAAAAAAATCATAAAAGGGAACAAAAAAATTAGGTCTAACCAATTCGTTATACTGACGTTTTTCAGAACCAAATTTAAGAAAAAAACTTATGTTACTTATTTTTTTAATATAAAAAAAATAAAATTAGTTTTTCCCTACAAATTTATTTTTATAGTTTTTTATTTTATCTTCTAACTTGAAGAGATAATTATAGTTAATTGGATTTAAAAACTCATGAAAAGGGAACAAAAAAAAACTTGGCCTGGCCAATTCATTGAATACTGACATTTTTCGGAACTAAATTTAAGAAAAAAAAACTTATATTACTTATTTATTTTGGATATAAAAGAAAAATAAAATTTTAATTTTTCTCTATAAATTTATTTTTATAATTTTTTATTTTCCTTCTAACTTAAAGAGATAATTATAGTTTATTGGATTAAAAACTCATGAAAAGGGAACAAAAGAAATTAGGCCTGACCAATTCGTTCACACTGATATTTTTCAAAACTAAATTTGAGAAAAAAAACTTTTGTTACTTATTTTTTTTATATAAAAGAAAAATTTTTTCTCTAATTTGAAGAGATAATTATAGTTTGTTGGATTAAAAAACTCATGAAAAGGGAATAAAAAAATTAGGCTTGGGCCAATTCGTTGAATACTGACATTTTTAGGAACTAAATTTAAAAAAAAAAAAAACTTATGTTACTTATTCTTTTTGAATATAAAAGGAAAATAAAATTAATTTTTCTCTAAAAATTTATTTTTATAATTTTTTATTTTTCTTCTAATTTGAGGAGATAATTATAGTTTATTGGGTTAAAAAACTCATGAAAAGAGAATAAAAAAATTAGGCCTAGCCAATTCGTTGAATACTAGTATTTTTCGGAACCAAATTTAAGAAAAAAACTTAAGTTATTATTTTTTTTTGATATAAAAGAAAAATTTTCCTTCTAATTTGAAGAGATAATTATAGTTTATTGGATTAAAAAACTTATAAAAAGAGAACAAAAGAATTAGGCCTGACCAATTCGTTGAATACTAATATTTTCTGGAACCAAATTTAAGAAAAAACTTATGTTACTTTTTTTTGGATATAAAAGAAAAATAAAATTATTTTTTCTCTACAAATTTATTTTTATATATATTTTTTATTTTCCTTCTAATTTGAAGCTTTTTTGGATATAAAAGAAAAATAAAATTATTTTTTCTCTACAAATTTATTTTTATATATATTTTTTATTTTCCTTCTAATTTGAAGAGATAATTATGAGAATTTTTTCCCTTATATTCCTTTCTTATTTCCAAATAAAATAGTTTTTGCTTATTAATATTAGTTTTCTTTTCTTTTTTTTTCTTTTTTGCTCCTATATGACCCCATCTGAAAATATAAAATAACTTATTATCTTATAATTTATGTTATTACAACTTATTTTCTTACAATTGAATAATGAAGTACTGTTTGTGATTTGTTTTGTGTATAGGTGGATCTATAAATCTGGTGTAGATAAGTCTTTCTCTACATATTAAGCACTATAAAATTATTATTTTATATTTATAAAATAATGAAGGCATATCAAAAGTTATTGTCTACCTTAATTGCCTTTAGATGTTTTATTGTAATATGCAGATCACTCCTTTTTCTTATTTGTGAATGAAAATAGATAAGAAACCATTTCTTTTATTCATCTTCTCTTCAATTCTTTAAGATAAGAACATTTTTTGAGTTACAATGTTATGGTATCTAAAATTTATCAATGAAATCTTTTGATTTTTATTTTCTCCCTTTAATGTTGATTCAATCCAAGTAAAAGTAATTAGCAAGAGAGGAATCGAGATTTCCAGTTTCAGTTTGTCATAACTGTTTTGTTTTTCTTACTCAGTTTCATTAATAAAGCCACGACAAGTTTACATAAATGAAACAAACATATACACAAAGTACATGACAATATATACTAAAAATTTTATATATCAAAACAAAACTCAAACAATATTACACAGTGCATAGCTTATTGTAAAATGAAAATCAGAATCAATCTGCAGGGACCAATTCTCCAATATACTCTAATTATCATCATATATAAAAATTAACTTAAGGGGAATTCAAATGGACGAGCTTCTTTCAATTGTCTATTTAAACCAAAATGAGCCATAAGCAGACAAACATGAGTGAGTAAATCTCCCCCAGTTCTAAGTTTTTGAGCATGTTCTTTCCTTTCACAATGACTTGCAGCATAAGCAATCATTTCTATCCAAACTTCACTCAACACATCCCATTTCTCCTCAAATTCCTTTGTCTGCAATTCTTCTGCAAGAAGAAATCCACTAAATAGCATAGAGTTCTTATTCTCACCTGCAATTATCTGTCTCTCCACATCTTCATCTGTAAAGTTGGCTTCAAGTATTTTCAAGCAAGCTTCCTTTTCACTATAGCTCGTCTTCTTGCCAATATCACCTTTAAAGAGAAAATCTTCAATTGCTTTCTTTGTATCTCGATATGCGTACCTGTTTCGATTCTCTTTAGACAGTGAATTTGGATTGAAGACAAGAATATGCAACATGTAATCAGACAAGGTTTTGCTGAGTTTGTGCTTAGAATAATCTTTATTGCGATGAGTTTGATCATCAAGATCTCTATAATAGCAAATATCAGTAGCTATGTGCCAAATGAGTATGCTATTGCTAAATGGAACTACTTGAGTGAACCTTTCAGGTCCTTCAAGAAACTCCCTCTTGGCTTGAAGCGGTCCAATCCCTCTCAAAAACAAAAGAGAATCACGCAACATTTGTGCACTGAACATTTCATCAGCCACTTTAATTTCATCAAGCTCTCTTGGATTGGCTATCTCATCAACAATTTGATTGCCTTTCTTACGAATATGATTGAAGATTGCATCCTTAACATCAGCATTCACATTGACCAAGTTTATGTCGAAGTGTTTGATCATTTCATCAATTCCAAAATACTTTAACCACTCGGGTGGGTCATTTTTGAGGCAAGAATTTATCAGATTGTATTGTCCCATCAATCCCGACCATCTTTTTCCACTTCTGCAATTCATGTGGAGAAAGTTAACAGTTCTTGAGATAGAATTAGTTGGTGGACTCCCAGATTTGCTTAACCAAATCATTGTCTGATCAGAGAAAATGAGATGCACCATTGCATGTACTTCTAAAACAATAGCTCCAACTAGCAATAAGTAAGTTAGAGCAATGTCGACTGTTGAATACTCCTGATGACCATCAATGGTGATTGAGAAGACAACTAATGCAGTAAATGAGGATAAAAGACTAACAGAACGAAGAAGGAGACCTAATTTAGAATAAACAATAGGAGCCTTTGTGTAAAGCTGATCATAGATCAATCCGAGCTCAACTTCTACAAGCTTAAAGGCTTCTTCTGATGAATTTACAGAGGATATGAGCGAGTGACTATCTTTTAATTCGGAAAATCTTAGTGTAAGATCTTCGAATAAATACAAGGACATTTTGAATAAGTAATGAGCTCGATGAAAGAAATTGGCAGAAGGAGGAGGACATGGTCCTCGCGGAAGAATCTTCTTATCTTTAGCTCCTCCATTAGTTGTGTTAGAAGGAACAGAAGATAATAATGAGAGTAAAGATTCTTGAAGACGCTTGGTGCTTGAACACCTAAGCACCCAAGTTCTCTCCCCATACTTAACAAGTCCAGCAATAAAAACTGGCATTGCTATGAATGTAAGTGCAGAGTTAGACCAAGACCTTAAATATACAAAAAAGGCAACACTGACCTCAATCAACAATCCAAGCAAATGTCTTAACCACAGCTCATTATCCTCTAAAGAATAAGAAGTGATAGTGTCTGGACCACCAAGATGCAAGAGAAGGAAAGGTGCCCAAAATGCATGGATTAAATAATTTGGATTGGTAGAAAAATTATTTGGATCATTATCCTGGCTGCTAGCAAGTACTCCTAATGCAACAGTTGCTAGCCAATCTGCTGATAAATAGGCTAACCAAACAATGAATGAAATCCACATTCCAGCAATGTACTTTCTTCGAGCACCGAACACGATAAGTGTAATTTGCAGCAACAGACTTGATAAAACCAGCGCACGAATCTCCCATCCATTCCAGAGTTTTACCAGACTTCCTGGGAAAATTTGCATCTTTCTTTGCTTCTTGATTTGGAGGAAAAAAAGAGAACAGGAAACCGCAAATAAAAGGAAGTTTAATATAGACAGTCAAATTTTAAATTGTCAAATAAATGTAAATAATCATAATGCACCTCTCAATTATAACTTTGGAAGAACTTGCGCTCCCTATGAACCAAAGAACATAAAAGAAGAGATCAACTATAGTATTTAGCTTGTGACTGAGGTTTTTGAGAATGCTTCCTATTGTCATCCTATTTATAATATGATATGATCATTTGTTTATAATCATATTGAGGAATAATACTTGCCTTGTGGCTTAGGAAGTTTTTACCAGCTTTGATTATTAATTATCATTGTGTCATGATTGTAGGACTATTTAATTAGCAGATACTGTCAGAAGATGCAAAAGCAAAAAGGAGAGCAGCAAATAATTAATCATACAAATTATCCGGATATGCTTTACTCTTGCTCAGTTCATTCTTTATGATTTAAATGAGAAATTTACATTTAACTTTCAAGAAAATAGAGAAGAAAAAACAATGGTTAGCCATGGCCATGTCTCTCCCCAAATTCTGCAAGTTTCCTTTTTTTTATTGCAAGTATCAGATCAGAAATCCAATAACTCATTTGTTTTGAGGCTTTTAAGCTTTTACTATGCCTCATAGAAATCAGGCCAGGCCGCCTCTAGCCAAACTGGGCCTCAGTGTGATGAGGAAAGTTGAGTCTAAGTAGCAAACAAAAGCTTTTGTCAACTTGGCTTGAAGGTTGATTTTTTTTTTTTAAATTTAACAAAAAATAATTTTTAGAACTTATTGTTATAGCACCTGATGTGAACTGAAATTCTAATAATTTAAGACTTAATGTTTTCGATATCTTAAAATCAAATTAGTAAATTGTTCTGTAGAGAGCTATAATTGTAAGTAGAAGATTCATCAATGGGGATGTCAATGCCAATATCATTTGCATAATTATCATTTACGCTTGTTAAAACCAGATGAGATCACCCTTTAGGAAATGCAAGCCATAGTTGTCCCCTTGACTGGTAACAATTGATCAGAAAAGTTTGTAGGGACGAAGATCAATGCAATTATACAAGGAAATAAAGTACCATCTTATCATTAAGAAAAGTAATAAAGCAAAATCAAGGTTAGTTTTATGCTTGCTTGACGTAATGGTTTTCATGATTCTGGCCTTTTCTTTTCTTTATTAATTAAGCAGAGAGTTTTCAATTTCAACCATTGGATCAATGGATAAGATAGGAGATAAAGAGTGGATAAAGTTGTCTCTTTTAGCATTTGCCGCTACTTAAAAATATAGATACTGTGTATGTTTCCCTTTTCTTTTCTTCATTTGCATAATAATATTTCCCTTTTGAATTCACCTAGTGAAGTTTCACAGTTTCTGGGAATTGAAATTGATAAAAAAAGAAAAAAGTAGAAGAAAAGCTCATTTTTCTCTTGAAAATGGTAATGAGATTCAGCTTTTGAGCTCTAACTTTAATATATAATGTAATAATTGCACGAACACTGAGGAAAGCTGGCATTATGAATCGAAACAAATAATTGCATAAATCACTTAACATTAATCAGAAAAATACATATCTCGAAGAACAAATCACAATTATCCAACTACAACACACCAAACAAGGGATAATGAGCAAGAAACTGATCTTATCAACCCTAGCCAGTACCACCAAGAACACTCTTGAGCTTCTTCACTTGAGCATCATCAAGGAAAGTGGTTTTCTCTATCAAAGCAGAGGACAAGCTATTGCCAAACAATGCGAAATCAAGAATTTGCAGACCAGGTTCAGGGCTATTGAAACTAACAATAGCAAGTGCTGGTTTCCCACCTGCATTTATCTGGAAATGAAGCAGCCCTTGTGGAAACACCATAACCTCACCTGTCTTTAGAGTGTTGACATAAGGAGTATTTGCAGAGGAAATAAACCCAGCAGTTATTTTTCCATAGACCACGTAGAGAATTTCAGTGGCAGCTGGGTGGGTGTGCATTGGTACGACACCTCCTGGTGCAAGGTCTAGCCGAGCAGTGGATATGCCAAGACCATTTAGACCTGGAAATTGCTGCACAAACGCTGGAGTCACAGCAGCACTGATAATATTTGTAGTATTACCGGCTGCGGCTAGACCTTTGAACACGAAATCATCAGCTGTGACATTAGCGGGGCTCCTGCAGGCATACCCTGAAGGATTGCCTGCACCTCTTAATTTGGCGACGCAGAAATCTGCTGCATGAGAGGATGAGGAGAATAGGAGAGCAACCAGAAACAGAATGTGAAGCATTTTTTAAAGGATGATATTCAGCTAGAGGTTTTCCCGTGTAAAGTTTTGAGGGTATTGTTTGCTTTTTATATAAACGCTATAAAAGGTGTGTTGCTGCAATTTAATGTCTAGACCACGCGGAGAAGGACCACAGCTTTTGATGCTGATAAGCATAATGGCCATTGGTGAACCCCTCCACCCTTTAGATTTTGCATAACAACAAGAACCCTCTTTTGTAGCTAATGATGATAATTGACAACTCTAATGACTGGACTTGAAAAACCCTTTATGGGGCTTAAGATTTGGGACCGTGTAGATTAAGAAACTAAGTTTTTCATCTTAATGTTTCAACTTTCAGCACTTTATGCCAAAAATTCTGCATTGGGATATGAATCTTCGATTTTCGACCGTTTGATCAAATCCTTCAAAAACCGAGTAAAAGCAAGTTAAAACAGTAAGTCCTGTCATGTAACAGCAAGGAGAGCATCTTTGCAATCAAAACCCAAAATACCTGACCAGCAACCGGCATCACTGGTTAATTAAGATTTGGTAAATTAAGATTTTTCATCAGAGGTACACCATTAATCCAACACAAACTCTGTATTGCCCCTTGATGGTTTCTAAAGTACAATGCTTGATTGACGGAGAGGAGGGGAAGAGATGATTGGACAATAGTCAATTTAGTGGTCCAATAGGAGCACATGGGAAGAAAGAAAGGAGGGATCTAACAAAACAATCTGACAGCTAAGAGCACAAATGGTAAATGTATCAATCGAAACCTTGCTGTCCTTAAAATTCTCTCACCTACTGGACACTTGGGGTTCAAACAAGAAAATATTATGACTACAGGCGTGAGCCTCAGATTCATTACCGCAATCGACAATAAGCAAACACAGGGAGGTAAATTGCAACAACAGATAAGGTTTCCAAACTTTATTGTTAATTAAGTCCATAAATCTGATATCCAAAGCAATATATAGTACAGCTTTTACAACAGGTTAATTCCTTTCGTTAACTTTAGCTACCGAAAGTAACTTTTGCCCGTGATACTTTACTGTCACAATAAGCCTTGAACAATATTGATCTAAAAAGAACTCAAGGCAGCTCTTGTACCAACCTACTACGTGAAACCCATTGTTTCTTGCGGGTATCGCATTACAAATTCTTGAGTCTCCCTTAATGAAATTAACTTTATTTACCTATTATTAAGCACCATCTCACGAATTATAAGCATAAGAAAATCTAAACCACTTATTTTTATTTCTTCCAGAAGCAAGCAGCGCAATGTTACCAAAATTTACAACATATTTGGTGACTTTTCTCCGACGAGAAGGCATCAATTTGAGTAAATGTGAATGTGAGCCACTGTATAACCAGCAACTGATCAGAAAGGACGAAATGGAAAAAGATTAAACAAGAAAACCAAGCGATAAAGGTCAAAACTTTGTAGCACTAAATGAAAGAAAAGAGACCGATCCTTCCACGAATCCCAAGAATACAACACCATTCTTACAGATGCCAACACGCCATTCTCGTCGACCGTTAATGGGCTTCTGGATTTGGGTCAGAAACCAAGACCCTTGGAGTTCTGGCAAAGATTTAAATATCAGCATCATTTTCAACTGCAACACCCACCTGTCCTACCCTCTTTCGAATGTCGGAGAAACAGAAACGTTACTCTCAGAATTGGCGGTGGGATTGATAAAACCGAAAGATCAGATGGAATAAATTACTGCTGAGCGATCAACTGGACAACCACTGGCCGTGGCTTAGGCTGACATGGAACTATTGGTGACATAGCACGCAAATTGCTGATGTTGACTGGACGACACGGCACCAGCAGATGACATGGCACGTACTGACATGGGCATCCATTTGGTGGCATCGTTGGCTAACATGTCAAGTCTTGATATGTATCGTCAAGTAGCTGATGTGGATGCATGATGTGAGCCTTTATGACAAGTGGACGTGCTTCTCCGAGCTGGCATGTACCGACATGGCACATTCAATGATGTGGCCATTGCTCTTTCGATGTGGTCAATGATGACATGGCTCACTTGGTCACATAGCATGTGAGTTGCTGATGTGGATGAATGACATGGCGATGATTGATGACATGGATCATATATAACCTGATTCCCCTACGTGGCAGCCACTTTGCCAACACGTCAAATAAGAGCAGGCAGGTTAGACATCACTGCGATTGTGATAACATGGCGCTCTAAGACAAGTTAGACGTGTTTCTCTGACGTGGCATGTGCTGACATGTCCCTCCATGACATGGCAGTCTGCCACTGATGACATGGCAATATTTGGTGATGCAGCATCAAATTGCAGATGTGGCATCGATGACCTTGGACTGAATGATGACGTGGCTCTCTTTGATGTTGCGCTGTTATAACAAGTGGACTGCTTTCTCTGACGTGGCATGTGGTTTGCCATGTGACTTGTGATGACGTGGCAGTCATTCTGCTGATGTGGTCAACGACGACATGGCAATACTTGGTGCGTAGCTTTTTGTTCCCGATATGGTATCATTGGTATGTGTTGACAAGGCAGTAGATGTTGACCTTGGCAACGCAGCTGACATGGTGACATATAATGACGTGGCCCCAACTCTGCTGGCGTGGCATCATGTCGTGGCTTTGAGTGACATCGAAACGCCTCTCCGACTCCCACGCTGTCGAAGTAACTGCAAGGCACTGCCACATCTTCTCCGTCAAGTGAATTCATAAATCAGATTTGAGATACTTACAGTCATAGGCTCAAAGGCAAGAGACGAATAACAATTCCGATTTCAGAGAACGCAAGAACAAGGAGTTTTCTTCACTTTCAACGACAAGAAGAAACCATTTTCTTTATTCTCGCAAGATTAACTGCAATATCGCAAAGCAAAGAAGATTGTAGTTTATTTTGAAACCGCCTCTTAAAACGGCCTGTCAATATAACCCTGTAAGCCTCGTCTTCGACTATGGTTAAATGGGCTGAGGGCTTGAGTTTGTTCAATGTTGGGCCACTAAACTCGAAAGAAAATAACTTGTCGACCCATTGGACCATGCAACCTGGAAATTTACAATTTTTCTGATAATGGGAACAGTAACAATGGAGTTTTGTTTATTTAATTAATTAATCCAAAGAAAGATGCCAGTGGTTTATTCAGGCATGGAAGTTGTAACGTGGGGAAGTGATTCAGTATTTAGCCTGCAAAGCTCTCTGTCAAAACAATCTCAGGTGAGAAGTTGAGACCTATAACTGTGAAACTGAAATGACTCTGCCAACAAATGGTTTTACAGTGAAAGAAGACTGTGACTACTATGGAAAGAGATGTTTTCAAGAAAATACAAATGAGCAAATATTGGGTTAATCAATGAGAAGAGAAAGGGCATGTGTTGTAGGGTAGATAAAAAGTGTGAACCGCCCTAATCTTACCTCACCTCATCAGAGTACACTTCTTCTGACACATTTTGCAGCCAACTTTCAACAAAAGAGGAAACAAAGCTTTTTAATTGCTACAAGACAAGTCTTGACCTCCTTCCTCTAACCAATAGTTCTTCTGTTGCAATATTATCCCATCGAGATCTCAATCTTTTTCATTTTCTCAAGACAAATATTTTTGAGTATTTTGCAACTTTTGTTTTAGCATATCCAGTGATTTTAATGGAGAAAATATAATAAAAAAAAAGTTGATTGTTTATTTTTCTTAATATAATAGATTAAATATTTTGTAATAAAAAACAAGTGTCCACCTTCTGTATTGATCTCTAGCGATAGCTCCAAAATCATGGCTAATAGTAAATATTTTAATAGTATTGTTTGTTCTGACTTGATCAAACATGTCAGTATCACAAATCCACATATCGAAGGCAATTTTATTATAGGCAACCCCTTTTTGTAATTGTTCCTTTAGTATATACATAGTTAATAATTTTTCAATCAAGAAACCCAAATGAATGTCGCTTATATGGTATTTATTGAAACTTGGAGAAAATAATAGAAATCAAACTGAAATTCACACATGATTTAGAAATTCTAATATATAAAGATGCCAAAAAAAATTACATCCACTTCCATTCCATGTATTTGCAGCTTCACATAATGACATGGCACTCATTTCCATGTCCATAATTTGGAGCCAATGGTGCAAACAAGACTAACCCCAGTGGTTTTTGTATTAAAGTTTTCTTTTTCAGTTTTTCACTACTTTATTTGTACAGTAGCTTATGGATATATGTAAAGATGTCAGAGACAATAGCAGCAAGTAGCAGAAGAAGCAGAAGCAACAGAGGTGCAGTCATTATAAGAGCAGACTCACTCAGTACAACTCTCTAGACAAAGATAAAAGAAAGGAAAATATCAGAGTAGCCATTTTATTTTGATTTTTCTGCATGCACACAAATGGATTCTGCAAGTTCAATATAAACTCAAGCTCTACAAACAAGAAACCCTCCTCTTTTTCTCTACAAGAACTAGATAGGCCATTTTAATTAGTCTCCATCAATGATGTTGAATTCAAATAGTGCAAGAAGTAGGTCTCCTTTTACACCAACTCAATGGCAAGAACTTGAACACCAAGCTCTCATCTACAAATACATGGTATCAGGTGTCCCAATTCCACCTGAACTTATCTATTCTATTAAAAGAAGCTTAGAGTCTTCTTTGGCTTCGAGACTCTTCCCTCACCAAACGAGTAATTGATCATCTTTTAATCTCATCTTAATGTTTCTTTTTATTGCTTATATATTTCGAGGGGACTCTTCCCTCACCAACGATGTAATTTCGATCATTCTTTTAATCTTCATCTTATGTTTCTTTTTATTGCTATATATATATATATATTATATATATATATATATATATATATATATATATATTATTATAAATTTTTAAGGTCAGAAAGGAAACAAACATTGAGGACTGTTTTTTATGGGTTTATGCAGTAGGGTGTATATAAATTTTTAAGGTCAGAAAGGAAACAAACAATTGAGACTTGTTTTTATGGGGTTTTGCAGTAGGGTGGGGTTGCTTGCAGATGGGTTTTGGCAGAAAAGCAGACCCGGAGCCAGGGAGGTGCAGAAGAACAGATGGAAAGAAATGGAGATGCTCAAAAGAAGCATACCCAGACTCTAAGTACTGTGAAAGACACATGCACAGAGGCAGAAATCGTTCAAGAAAGCCTGTGGAACTTACTTCAACTACTACGACAACCGCTACTACTACGGCTGCTACAATAACAATGCCTTCAACAACCATGAATAATAGAAACCTCTCCACCGCCACTTCACCTAATTCTAGCTCCAGCTCTTACTCTTTCTCTCATCTTTCTTCGCCTGTAGAACCTGAATTCCATACTAGCCATGGAAGCAGCCTTAATCCCTTTCTTTATACTCACTCTTCATCTTCTAGACCTATGAATTCTGGTTTTTCCTCCCAAAATAACACTGCCCATCATTTGTTTTTGGATTCTGGTTCTTCTTCCTCTCATGCTGATAAGGGCTATAGGTTTGTGCGAAATTAGAACATGTACAATAATTTTTCTTCTCTTTTCTTTTTTGCTTGATGGTTTGAGATTAATTTTTAGGTATCTTTATGGAATGAAAGAAGATGTGGATGAAAGAACTTTCTTTCCAGAAACTTCAGGAAGTGAAAGAGGATTACAAGATTCATATCAGCAGTTGACAATGAGTTCCTATAAAGGTTACTCACAATCACAGTTTGAAAACTTAGCAGATACTTCGAACCAACAACAAGATCAGCAGCAACATTGCTTTGTCTTAGGTACTGATTTTAAGTCATCAACTACAAGGCCAATCAAGTTAGAAAAAGAAACTGAAACCCAAAAACCATTGCACCTTTTCTTTGGCGAGTGGCCACCAAAGAACTCAGATTCATAACTGGATCTTGCATCGATCCTGCAGTACTTCAAGACACCATTCCGGTAGTTAATTAATACTATATTATATCATTTGTTTTTCTTGCTTTTGCGATGATTATATTAGTACAAAATTAACTTATTATTTTCTTGAATTGCAGAAGGTTAAAGAGTCTCAATAATAGATGTTGGTATTGTAGCCAAAAGAGTACTGGGTACATGTTGCTGGGTCAATTTGCGTTGCGTTGGACGTTGAACTTGTGGGACTAATAATGTATGAAAACAGGACGGATTCCTTGTCTTTAGCTTTCTTGATTATTAAGTTTTTTTTCTATTCCCCTTCGAAGAAACATGTTTTTGAATTTGCTTCTTTGACCGCAGCCATTTTCAGTATACATGCTTGTCGGCTTAGCTCTCCATATATTAATAAAATAATAATTTCATGAACTAGCAAGATCTTAGTTATGTATTTAACTATTTGCCTTACGTAAAAACAAAGCGAAATGCACAAATTTGCCATATACTTTACATGAGCCACTTATATCCATGAGATTTTGGTAATATTACAAATTTTTATATATTAATAATTTACTTTTATATGTAAAATATTAATTTGACATGTCTTTATATAGATTTTGGAGCAATAAATTTTATAATTTTCAATTATTCAATCAGTATTAATTAATGAGATATATTAATTGAAATATATATGAATGTATAGTTATGGAAGCTGGTCCATACATTTTGGGACCCAGCAACCTAATTGTAAGCAAAAACAGTAGTCTCATTTACCAGTCTCAGTAATCCTGCCAAGTTTAAGCTGAGAGGAACCCTTTTTGTGTTCATCAAAGTGGGCAGACAAGTTGATATTTGATTGTCTGTCATTTGTATTAGCAATATGTTCATAAAGTTAATTTTTTTATTAATGCTTTTCTGAATTAAAAAATAGTACAGTTCCATGACAGCTTTCACAGTTCCACTACATACATACAGGTAATCATAAGGCTTTTCAGATTCTGATTCTGGCTGGCTTTGAATTGTCTGCTGAAACTCACTCCATTTCTATATTGTTGCTCTGTTTTTGAGTAATCAAATTAAAATTGAATATCGGTGACTAAGACTGGAACTATTAATTCTGGTGATGGGCCAAAGGGAAAAAAAGAACATTAATACGAAATGCGTTCTAAAAAGAACAAGGTTACATGGAAAATTGGCGGGCGCGAGAGCTAGAGCGAGGTTGGACATATATTTTAGTGCCGATGCGACAATTCTTTTTCTTTTAGTCCATGAAGCTTCCCTCTTATCTATTCAGATCGCATGCCGTAGACGCATCGTCAATCGTACACATGACACATGAGATGGAGGGTTTGATCATATATAAATATTCATTAGAAGCACTTTTATCAGCCATAAATCATTATAAATATGTGTAAATTGGACACCAATCAACGATCAAGTTGGAGAGTAGACAGTTCACTGAACAAGGAGACCAGATCTCAGCCCTCCACTGAATAGACCTTTTTTTTTTTTTTTTTTTTTTTTTTTCTGAATAGACCTTTTTTTTTTTTTTTTGGTCATTTGCCTGACAAAACAGCAAGAGAATCCTTTCAGCTTGGTTTCAGTTCAGGTGGGTCGAGGAGAATCCTGTAGTTGGTCAATGGCTTGATTGAACTATCTTTCAGATATGGTAAAAAAAAGAAACAGTGTTGGATTGGATCAGTCTTAAGACAAGATAGTGGGATAATCAGGGAAAGGACACAGTTAAGAATTGGTAGGGTTACTTTTAAGAGAGTCTGAGAAAAAAGAGACAATACAGTTCTAAAATCGAGATCCGTAGTAGTATAATTGATCAAACCCTAGGGACTAAATAGATAAGATATTAACCCTAAAAAAATATACCATACAGAAATTAGACAAGAACAACAGCCTCCCAGAGCAACTGCCAAAACCATCGCCACCTTTCAGGTCTTCTCAAAGCCATGCTGAAGAAGCCTGGCCAAGACAGGGCAATATTTCATTGGCCGGAAATGAAACTACCAATCAGAAGTCTGGTTAGAATGCTCAACAATGGATCTGTTACAACTGTAAGGGCAATTTATTTATGACATTCAGCTCCGAGATTCAAGAATATCTAACGAATTGTAACTCTCTTAAGATATTCAAGAGAAACATATTAAGGAAAGATTTTGTTGAAACTAAAATTTAGCAGTAGATTCTGCAGAAACAGAATTCATTCATGGAAGGCACTACTGCCTCTGTCTAGAGTCTCTATAATTTTCCATCACAAATAAATTCAAATGATATCTCATTATCTGCCAAGAATAAAGATTCAAATCTTTCAATTCAACTGCACTACATATTATTTAAATAATAAACACAGCTATCATCTGAATATAAGCTTTCTTTTCTCATATTCAAATTATAAATTCCATGAACACATTAAGATTCATAATTATTTTAAATCATGAAACAAATCCCATCAGAAATAGTTTAAGGAAACAAATCCTATCCGGAATAATTTTGATTTCAAAAGCATCAGACAATTATAGATTACTCATTTGATATTTTTTGAACAATTTCAGTATGTTAAAAATGCATATTTTATCACCAATTCCCTAAGTATTCATGGTCACCAAGATATACTTGCCTAACCACAAGCAAAAATGACCAATTTCAAACCAACCTAACTAAAAGAACTTCATTGCAAACTTTGCGCAAGTTCTATAGCAATCGATTTTGAAGCTGCAAATTCAATAATAATGTATAATTTAAATAGATTTCCATACCAGTGCCTTCAAAATCAACAAATCATTGTTCAAAACTTACCATGTATCTAATAGAAAACACACTTCAAGCTGCATAGTTTTCTACAAAAAGAGTACTGTAACTCAAGAAGCAAAAAACATGGGAGCAAAGAAGCATGACAAATGGCTATGGATGAGCTTTAACCTCCAAGTACATTCAATAGTAAGCTACAGAACTAATAACAGAACCAATGAAGGGTAGCAAACACCTAAGGTAGAAGAACACAGTTAAGCAATGTATGAAAGAACAGTCAGACTAAAAAGACATATCATGAGGGATAAAAGGATTCTACAAAGGAGGCAACACCTCATTTTTCTGTTAAAGGAAAAAAGAAACTTTTAACAGTATCTTTTGTAGTCAATCAACTCATATATTGGCTACTCTAATTTATGTTTCTAATTTATTGCCTAGTTCCTACCCTGGTAAGTGAAACAAAAGCTAAATCCATAACACAGAACGAACTCAATAACAAATTTAAATTTAACAAATCATTAAATGTACATAAACGAATGTGAAGTAGAAATTGTCATTGCAATCCTTCCAAATTTTCCATGATTCCAGAATCTGTTTACATGTATGTTAGCACAATCTGTGTCATGACAAATGGGTTGACTCTTCTCTGGGTTATAAGCCGTATGGATAGAACTATACTAGAAAGAAATCCAAGACCAAGAGAAAAAGATGAATAAAATGTCAATCAACAAAATACCCCTTTACAGAAGATCACAAGGACCCGAATGAGAGGAACCAACACTCCACTTGCTATCCATCAATCTTCCAATTGTGTTCATAAACCAATCCTCCCACTAGCCACCAAAGAATCTGACAAAGAATTTCAATTCGAACAATAAAAAAAAAAGACCTCCTTTAGATATGAACTTGACATTACTGAAATTCATGAAGAGCAAGTTTCATATCTATCTTGGATCCTCCAAAGCTGCCTTCTTTTGAAAACCACATTTACTGAAATTCATGAAGAGCAAGTTTCATATGCTATCTTTGGATCCTCCAAAGCTGCCTTTTTGAAACAAGGAATCCAAACAACCCCCAATCGCCAAACCAATTGTGTTCATAAACCAATCCTCCCACTAGCCACCAAAGAATCTGACAAAGAATTTCAATTCGAACAATAAAAAAAAAAGACCTCCTTTAGATATGAACTTGACATTACTGAAATTCATGAAGAGCAAGTTTCATATCTATCTTGGATCCTCCAAAGCTGCCTTCTTTTGAAAACCAAGAATCCAACAACCCCAATCTGCAAAATTGCAGCAATACCCACAAACAGCAATCCTATCTTCTTCCCTGTGTTCATTTCCTGATCTTTTTGCGTTGGCGGTGGCGATGCTTGATGGCTCTTTGAGGCGCTGGTGCGCAAGGCATGCCTTGGTGGCGGCGGAGGACTGCTTATTGGAGGTGATGATGGAGGTTGAGGTGAAGGTAGAGACCGAGACCGAGACCAAGACTGAGACCGAGGTGTAGGTGGAGGTGGAGATGGAGGCACAGGCGGCGGGGGTGATGATGGCGGAGGAGTTGCAGATTTTAAGGACTTTGGAGGTGGTGATGGTGAAGGCGGTGGCGGTGACGGCGGCGGCGGCGAAGATGGTGGGGGTGGGGATGTTGATGGCGGAGGAGGTGGTGGCGGCGGCGGCGGCGGCGGCGGCGGTGGTTTTATCAACGGCGATGATGCCGGTTCATTTTGTATCTGTTGTGATGCGACAAGTAGATCAGAGAAGTTGCACAGAAGCCCTAAAATCAGAAAGATGAGTGTTGATAACTGTGTTTCCATTAAACGAGAGAAATTCAAGGGAAATTATGGGATTGTTCAGAGAATTTAAGGGGTTTGTACATCTGGGTTTGAACCCAAATTCCTGAATTCCTAACTCTCAGCTCCTTAAATTCAAGAATTTGGGTTCTTCAAGATTAGTCGCCAAAGAAATACGGTTTGATCCCCAGAATTTGTATGTGTTAAAGATCAAATCAAACAACTTGGTCATGTGAGTTTGTCCAAATCCTTGTTTTCCGGATTCGGTACCAAAGCTCTAGGGTCTGGCATTTGGCATAAGGGGCTATTTACTGATTTCAATCTTTCTTTTCTGAATGGGTAATCAAGAAAATGGCAAGTTCCCAAAATGGTCGAGTTGGGACTCAAAATGGCTTTCTTGATTTTCATTCATCAGACTCGCTAAAGATCCCACATTTCCATTCTCGATTTTGCTGTGTCTCAAAATCAAAGGAAAAAAGACCGAGTCAAAAGTGATATTGGGAAAGATCCATCCGTAAGAAAGCGTGTCTGATTTAAAGTTGGTCTGTGTTCTTTCTCAGAAATTGCAGAATAAGAGACACGGATAAATGGAAACAGAGAAAGAAAGAGGGAGGCCGAGGGGAAGAGAGTCAGGGTACGCGGGCTTCAACGGTTGGTACAGGCTAATTTGGGTGATTGATTGCCTAGAAACAGAATCTAAGGAAAGAGCTGTTAGCTGATAAGTTCAGATGTGAGAGAAAGAGAAGGAAGGAGGTTTTGTGACCTGTGCTGTCAATAAGATCATGTGGGCCCTCATGTTGGGTTCTCATGGGATTGGACTTTTGGGTGTGAAATGGAATGATAGTGAAATTGCAATTTGGGCCCATTATCAATTGTATTACTTACAGTTTCATAAATTAGCGATTAGCCCACATTGTTCATAGGGCCCACAAAAGATAGAGTAATGGTGAGTAGAGGTCAGTCGATGACTATTATGGTACCCTAATCATTTTTTACCCCCTTACGAGCTTTTAATTTGGAAAGCTCATGTTCCTTACACACTACTTCCTTTTCATTGTTTTCAATAGTTGCATTTTTAATTTATGCTTAGTTGACAAACAATAACATTTTCTTTGTGCACGATGCATATGACAAATTCGATTAATCCACACTTACTTTTAGAGGTAAAGGAGCTTATTAGAGAAATTTACATCGTAGAATATGAACCCTGTAAGTATTTTTTACTGTGAAGTTATTCCATTCGGATTATAAGCCATATATGTTGATTTCATTCGTTAAGGAATTTTGCATATTTTCTTTTTGCCATGAGATTCATATGTAGATGTTGATTCTCCTTCCAAACTCTAAGGAGTCTACTTTAAGGTATCCACTGTTGAACTCTACTACTAAATATTAACTTTAATTTAAATTTACTGCTAAAAAGAATTATATCGACAAACTTATTTTACCTATAAAATCAGGGTTTCGATCCGAAACTTCGAATTGCCAACTCGTTTTAACCTGGACCCACATAATGAAACCAACAAGAATCATGATATATAGAATATTATTCAGAAGTTGTAAACATTTTTAATCAAGTTTTATAGTTGATAAATTGATTTGTGAAGGTCTTGATAGCAGTAAGTAGGTAATTATATACTTAGATTGGAAAAAAATAAAAGAAGGGAAGAAGGAAGGGGATAGGTAGTAGCTAGGAGAGGCCAAGGAAAGATCACATGGTGTGAGAGAAAAGCAGAGGGGAGGGGGTTATGGGTGGGCAGTGGGCAGTAGGCAGTAGCAGTGCAGCTAGAGCAAGAAGCATGTTTGGCTTGATCCAGGTCACCCCTTCAAACTCCTTTACTCCCCTTTTAACACTGTCCAAAATTTTTGTCAGCAAATAACTGTCTTTTAGCCGCAGAGGCTTAAAAAAGGATTGAAAGACTAAACCCCAAGTCTTCTTTCCTCTTGTCCCGTCATCAATATTAGATATCATTATTTTTATAAAAAAAAAATTACCTTCTGAATTGAATTATTGAATTTTTTTCACTAAAGTTTTATTTGAGAATGAGAGAAAGAGAGATGGATGCTGAAGGAACAGCAAAGACAGAAAGAGAATAAATGGAGGGATGGGCCATTGAAGGCAGTCTTACACCTTAGTTTAATACAACAAGTAAATGTATATAAATAAATAAATAAATCTTAGTAATATGATGTAATATAGCCTTGGAAATTGTTGCCATTTCCTTTTACTGGTGAAAACTCATGGCCTGTATTAAGGCACGCGAGATACCCACTGGAAGGTGCCTCTGTCCAAAACACATACTGAGAATTGCTTTATTCAAAAGCGTGGAAGATTTATCTGTGCCTACTGTATAGATTATCTATAATACAGTTCGTCTATCATTTTTTTTCCCGTTTAATATCAATTTTTCTTTTCAAAACCATCCGGTTTCAAAGTTCAGGGACGCAATATTCCAATTTGAGAATTCTGATTAAAAGAATAGTTACTTCTATTATTTCAACTTCTACCTGGTCTGGTGTGTATCTGCTTTTAAATTTTGATTTTTATTTCAAAAATATTTTAAAGAATAATCAAAATATTAGACAACTAAGTACGACATAAACTGTTGAAAATTCAAACGTGAAGATAAGTTGAAGATCTGGTAAATAAATATCTGTCTATGATCCAAATTTTGAATGATTAAACCATGAAAGTCAAATGAGAAAAATGAGTACAAGATCTACGTAACCCTGCCTGCAGCAACAGAGAAAGGAAGTAATACCCATAGCTAGTAAAGCCATTATAGTAAGACCAGACCAGACCAGACCAGAATCCCAAACCATGCAACAAACCTCAGAAACACTAATATCCTATGTGTCTACAAATCTATACACCTAAACCCTAAAGCATTGCTGTACTCTACAATCATATAGTGTAGAGTTTAATTTCTTTGATGGAGAAACGTGTTTGCGTGTATTATCTTTGTGCTGTGGATAATATTTTGGACTTGTGGTACACAGTTTTTGCTGCAGATTTATAGAGTATATTATTAGATCCTTTGCTCTTCTCTTTTCTGCTCCGAATCTGTCTCTAAATTTTCTCACTGCCAATATATTCCTTTGGCAGCTATGAGTTGATAAAAATCTCACCGTAAAATGACCAAATCCAAATGCCTTTCTCTTTTGTTGTTTTTTTGGAAAACAAGATTTTTTCTTTCTCTGGTATTTAATTAGTTTAACTCCAACACATTCTCATCCTTCAAATGGAAGATGAGATTCATTTCATACATTTACATTACAAGTTACTGTTATTATTATTTTTAGCATTGAACAGAGAAATTGGAACTGAATCTATTGCTAAGTACGCACGGAACTTATCTACCTTCAGTGTGATCCGTACACAAAACCAAATCAAATTAATTCCCATAAAGAATAAAATAGATCCTTTTTTGTTCTGAAATAGATCATCATCCATAATAGACCATTGAAACTAACACTTATTGCTTAATTTCAAAGGGCGAGTGTACAAAACGAGCCATGAAAGGAGTTGGCAAAGCACTAAGTAAAAGCCATAAAATGTCTGAGAGAGAGAGAGACAGAGAGAGGCACATAAAGCTAAATGGGCACGCAATTTAAGACACCCCTTCACTAGGGCAGGCTTAGATTCTCTCTGTAAAGCACTGGTCATTTCCTCTACCGTAGAGTCAAAGGTTTGACTTTTTCGCATTGAGAGTGCATGTTCGTGTTGTATTACCATTCATATTATATCATAATTTTGGCGGTGTAGACAATGAATCAAAGATCTGTCGCTCTAAGGGTAGCAATGTGAATTTGCTCCTCGGCTCTGGCACTCCACGGGAATCTGATGGTCCCTTATTTGGTAGGAAGATAGAGCCAATTCCTTTAATTTTCTTGATGGGATATGATGTCGATGTGAAGTTTTGCCACGTCTTATGTCTCTCAGGTGCTGCCTTTGCATGCAAACACATTAGTCGGTCTAATACATAAAATTATCTCAACTTCATGTTTTTTTTTTTTTTTTTTGAAAAATTTTGCATCTCTTCTTCTCTACTCGAGAGATTTTCCTGATCCCATTATATTATTTCTGCCAAATTTATATTAATTTTTAACTCGGAGAAAGAGGTTTTTATCCTGATCCTATTAGACTGAAGTAGATTTATTTAACATTTTCAGACTAATTTTAGATATATTAAGAGATTTCTGAAAATGTTAAACTTTTTCTAATATCTTTAATACTAATAAAAAAATTGTATTGCTGATAAAGAAAAAGTTTTGGAGACTTAGAATTTTCGAAATAATTTTATACTGAAGAAAAAAATTAATTATAGCGACAATTTTTCACTTTAGAAAAAAAAAATCCACTAAAGCCCTAAAGATAAATAAATTTGTAATTTCAAAAACATATCGGGGCACTCAAACTTTCTGATGCCATGTAGGTAAAACTTTAAGGTTTAAAAGCAATTTAACGGCAACAAGTCTCATAAAATTATTTTTCCTTACCACCAAACAGGTCTCGTTTATTATATCTCCATATATATCACCAGCAAGGTGACAAGTATTTTCAAATAAATTTTACCTGTAAAAATTAAACATTTGAAACAATAGATCAAAACCTAGAGGTGGTGCAAGTGAAATATATATTTCCATATACTTCTTGGAAAAAGACAAACTTAAACTGTAACAACCGAATTTTAACGCTAATAAATCCTCACATTTCAAATTCCGTGACATTTGCTACCATCTACCATTTTTTTTTTATCTTGCTGTAACTAATAACTAATTAACCTCCCTATTTCAAACCTACTCAAATAACTCGTATTTTCCTTCTACTCGTTCCATAATGCAAACATCGGGACTTGATGAACCAACCCTAAATTTCCAATCCTGTTGTTACTTCCATTATTACCATCTTCATACTTTGAGTCCTGCAATGAGTAACCTTGACTGTAATCTCCAATGCCATCGCTAAAATCAGTACCTAAACCGACCGAACATTTCAGATTTACGGGATTAGAGGAATTCCTGCTACTTGAACCCACCAATGTTACATCATTGTTAATGTTGTTATCATCTTGTTGTTGTTGATGTTCATTTCCATTTGCATTACTCCACACAATATCGGCCAATTCATCGGAAACAGAGGCTTCTCCACTTGTCATGGCAAGAAGGGGTTTAGGAGATGTTGATGAAGCACAAGAATTATCATCTTCAAGAGTGGATGCTGGAGCCAAGTGTTTCGGTGACCGTTTAGCAAGATCACTGGCAATTAGTGTAGAGCTTGAACAAATTCTCTTCACATCGTACCTACTTATATCAAAATTGGTAACAGCACTTGTACCCCTAAACTTAATCGCAGCGATATCATAGGCCTCTGCAGCTTCTTCTTGAGTGCCTATATACGTGTAAGGTAATGAGTGGTTACACAAATTATTAGCTCTCAAGTCTCAGCCACAATCATTAATGACCTTAATTATTCTGCTAGAGCAATTCAAACTTTGTAAATTAACCTGTCTATAAACTAGAGCAAGTTTGGATAGAAAAAGGTTGCCCTGGCTTACACCCCCTAAGCTATATTAGAAGATAGACACTAGAGATTGCATCTTCCAATGGGAGATTTTTCTTGTGTAGCTTTAGATATCTAAAAAGCTATTATAAAAAAATATAGGACATGCATGCATATAAATGAAGAAAAGAAAAAAAGAAGAAGAAGTAGTAGAAAAAGGCTTACTAAATGTGCCGAGGTACAAGTCCTTGTTTCCAGCAACCCTTCCTATTCTAGCTTGCCATCTTCCATGCTGATGGTGCCTGCGAGAAAAAAGAAAAAAAAAAAAACAACTTAGCAAATAAAAGGAAAGAAGGATGGATATGTTTCATGGATGACCTTTTTAATTTATATATAAATTAAATCTTGATAAGCAAGGAAATTTAATTAGTATTTACAGACTTGGTAATGGAATGCATAATAATGTTTGCCTATGATAACTGAAAAAGCCTGCAAGAAAAACAGTAAATAAAATAATGGGAAACTTTATCATTGAGGTCGCTTTCTGCCATCACCTTGTCACTCCTCTGTATACAGAAGCTCCTCTCGAAAACCCACTACTTTTCCTGCCAAATTTTGAAGAAAGCAATCAATCTTTAATTTTCTTTCCTAGCTTCTTCTAATTTTAATTTAAATTTAAACTAATTAAAGAGAGTAACATAGCCTCTAGAGAGAGAGAAAGAAAGAAAGAGTCTAAACCTCCTCAAGTTGGCTACAAATTCTTGCCTAGTCATGTGCTTCATCTCTTCAAGTTCCTTCTCATAAGTGCTCAACTACAAGCATTTAATAAAAGATCAATAGTTAGAAAAAAGATTAATTATCATATTCAAGAAACTAATAGTTTTGAATCTTTTTGCAGACTCAAACATAAGATCACTTACAGGGAAATTTATATGAGTTGTTGGTCCCCAATATTTCAAGGCAGCTAAATCATACGCCCTCGCTGCTTTCTCTTCTTTATCATATCCACCTGATAAAACAAAACAATTTAACAAAAAGAATGAAGAAGAAAGAACATGCACGCTGTCCAAAGTTGTTAAAAAATTGTAATTTTTTTTGTTTTGAAGAAAAAAGTAATGCTAACCAAAAATAAAAACAAGAAGTTGGATGTAAGAGTTTCACCTACCAAGATAAACTGCACAGTATTCAGACAGTGAAAGGAGAGGACCCCAAAAAAGTGCACGAAAAACCCAACCGTTAGTATATTCTTTTGGAGCAAAAAATAAAAAATATATATACAAATAAATATCAAAAGATTATTTCTCCTACCTTGCCTTCCTTTCCTTGTTTGTCCTTCTTTTCTGCAGCTGTTGTCCCACAAATGGGCCTCATATCTCCCCGTCCATCTATGCCTATATATAATAAACGATACCATAAAAAACTTATACTTCATATTTATAATTATTCAAGCCAATATAACAATAATTTCACCTAAAATTAAAATGGCAAATAGAAAGGAATGTTACTACCTTGTGACTCCTCTATATTGAGACGTTCTTTGTCCAAAAGTGTCAATGGATTTACGAGGAACTGGTTCTCTAACGAGAGATTTGCCGACGGTAGTAGGCCTTTGACGATTATCAATCACTTGCAATGGAGAAACTGCAACCAATCCATTCTGAGAACTCGGACTCATTGTCAGTGATAATGGTTGAAAATTACAATTGTTGACTTCATTTGAAGATTTATCACTTGAAAATGGATTCTGCTTTAGCCAAGACTTGAACCCAGAAACACAAGTACCATTACTTTCAAATGGTACATGGTAAATGCTATTGTTATGGCTAAGACTAGGGTTTGGATCACAGTGTTGGAGATTATCATTAGGAATTAGGGTTTGTGGGTTGTCATTGTAATGGTGATTATAGGATTGGACTAAAGAAGACGCGTTTGTGAGATTTTCTCCACTACTAGTGTCTATATCTCCATTATTAGTAGTGGTGAAGGCTGGTGCTACGTTAACATTGATTCTATTAATATGGTTTTGGGTTGGGATTTGGTCTTCTTGGCAATAAACTTTGGTTTCATCAGAAGGAGAGTTTGAGTAACAACCTAAAAAATCTTCAAGCTTTGGACCTTCTTCACTTGCACTAGTTGCGTCCAAGGTGTTCTCGTATCTCCAATCTAGAAATCACCATTAAAGAAAATATTATGAGGACAAAAAAACAGTAAAGAATCAAGAATACGTTAAAAAAGAACAAGAAAAAAGAAAAACCCTATCTTTAAAATGGAAGAGGGAGTGCATGCAGTCATACCTTGAGTGCCATTAGAGCTGCGTCTAAAGGGATCAACAACACAAAGAGAGCCATCAGAATGTAAAGGCATACCAGAAATATCATGATGAGAAGAGAAAGCAGCAGCTTGTTCTTCTCTACCAAACCCTTCATCGATTCGCAAGTGTGGACTCAAAGAAAACCCCAACCAGTTACTCATTATTCTTATTATTATTGCTACTGTTATCTCAAAAACTGTGTTGCGGGTTTGATATATCTTGTTAATTTTCTCTTTCAACAGTGACTTTTGGGTTTTTGGATTTACAGCTCAAACTTCAAAATTTTTGAAACTTCATGATCTTCATCTCTCTCTCTCTCTCTCTCTCTCTCTCTCTCTCTCGTGTATATCCTCAGTATCTGCATATCTCTATCTGCTTCGCTAATGCTGCTTTGGGTTCTGTGCCCTTTCTTTCATTTCCTCATTCCACCTTTTAGCAGAGGTAGCCATTAGTTCATGTATATCACTCACACCGTCACTCGCATATATATAAACCGTACACGTCAAAATTTGGTGAATTTATTTATGGTGATAAAAAAGCCTGGATTTATTTTTATTTTTCTCAATTTTATTATTTTTTTCAAAAATTTAATTTATTTAACAATTAATAAAATCAAATGAGTTTGCTAAAATTTAAAAAATAAAAAGATTCAGACTTTTGTATCATTAAACCTTTATTTATTTTATTTATAAGGTGTAAGTGATTATTATGGATTTCATTTATTTATGAAATAGTTTTAGTGATGTTTAAAATATAACAAAATGAAATGCAATTGCATAGTTTTAAAATTTAATCAAAATTTGTGATTGACTGAAGAATTATTTTTGATAATAATAATTATTTAAAAATAATTTAAATCATTTATTTATTATTCTTTATTAATAAAAAAATACTTAATATAATGTATTTCATCTAATATTAATACCTTAATTCATATGTATACTAAACTAGGAAGTTTGTTTATGGGAACCCAATAGTTTTGATTAAAAAAATAAAAAAAAAAACTGCTTTTCTTCGATTAAAAATAATTTTATTAGGTGTTAAATGAATGCAATTAACAAATAAATATTTGAGCGGTGGCAGTGGATCTCGCTTTTCTTCGATTAGACCACTTGATAGCTACTGAATCACCAGATTCACAGATATTAATCTTGATGTGCTTTCAAAGGTCAAGATTTTGCAGGCAGTTTTCTGCTATCATACAACATGATGCAGCAAATACTGGCTCTAATTATGACACGGTCACACATCTTGTCCAATTTCACACTTGAGGCATGCAGAGGTGGGAAACTATACTCGCTGAGCGTACATTCAAAACAACACTCGCTACCTGTGATTAACACTGTATACTGAGCTGTATTAACCCATAAAGAGGTATTATTGTAATTTAAGAAAATGGCATTGAAATCTCCGCTGGACAGATTAAATTAAACGAAATGACTCGCTCTTAATGCATGGACTCACCCCTACATCAAAGCGATAAAAATAAAATTTTAATTTTACCGAGGGTATTTTTTTTATTTATAACAACTAACATCCGAAAATTCCATGGATTTTCACATATTACAGTTTATAATTTCCATATTCAATACTCAAATTCGAAATGCTTTGTTAACGAAAATATTTTATTTTATTGAAAAAAAATAATAATAAAATAATAATACTATTTTATATACCATTTACGAGGATGTACAAGTATATGATTAGTGTCGAATTATTGGACTTGGGTTGTACAAATAGAAATGAGTTGGGCCATAATTTTTCTTTTGGTCCAACTTTGAAATACTATTATTATAGTCCTTTCATACATTTTGCGTCTCTCTCTTTTGGGCTTTTAATGTACTCTGTAATGAATAAATCTTGAAGGGAAAGATTGAAGTAGTACATTTCTTTCATCCTGTAAAAATATTATTTTTTGAACTCAATTTGTAGTTGTTGGTGACAAAATAGATTACTCTTCGTATACACTAATTAAAATTTTGATCGATGACAATAGATGGTTGGATCAGCATAAGTAGACTGCATCTCCAAATGAATTTTATCTGTAAAATTAGGATTCGAATTTGAGAGCGTTATTATTAGGAAGGTGAGGACATGCCCAAAAAAAAAAAAAAAAAACTTCGTAATACACTAATTAATTTTGAATCGATGACCAATAGATGGTTGGATCAGCATAAGTTAGACTGATCTCCAATTGAATTTTATCTAGTAAAATTAGGATTCGATTTGAGAGCGTTTATTATTAGGAAGGTTGAGGACATGCCCAAAAAAAAAAAAAAAAATTCATTATTTGAATCTCAGCAGATTTAAATAAAAAAAAAAAAAAAAAAAATCATTATTTGAATCTCAGCAGTTAAAAAGTGTATGTTTGAAAGTTTTTATAATGGTCAAATAATGAAAGGAAGAAACTTTTTTTTGCAGAAGTACGCATATTTGCTGAAACTGTCAGCTAATTCTTACAAAAAACAAAAGGTGAATCATTCTGGTGGTTTTGGGCCTGCTTGGCTGAGGCTTAGAATTACTGAGCCCATCAGCATTCGAATGTCATTTGGGCTTTGACATTTTTATTGATTGGGGCCACCATACTTCACTTTAATAAAATTCCATTTTACTCCTCCTATTTCATTTCATTCCATTGTAGTTGGTAAAATTGGGTCAACAGATAATTATATAGAAAGTCTAGTTACCGCAACAAATTAAGAAAACAATATTATCCAGACCGAATCTATGGTTATGCCTACGAAACAAACCAATTAAAAACAAAAAATTTTAAAAAATCATTTTTACTTTACTCTTTTTGTTTTCATGTGATTGAATTAATATATATTAAGAGCAATATAATGACAAAAACGAGTCCGTTATTATCATGTTATTGTAAAAATAAACAGACAGATACCAACTACCAACATGTGATTGAATCCGTTAAAATATATTATATACATAAACAAATTTTACTTTCTAAAAATTACATAAATATAAGTGTAAAAATAAGTAACAATTAGTTTTTAATTTTTATCAGAGACTAAATAATTAAATTCTCGTGTTCGTTTTAACATCAATAGATCTAACTAATGATTGAATTTTCATGTCCGTTTTAATTGTCAATAGATTTAAGCCGTGATGATTAACTCCAAAAGTGGTCTTGACACTGAACTGAGCTAGTCGATTCGCGTTTTACTTTTGATTGTTGCTTTAATTAGTGGTCCACATATTTTGAAATGAACCCGTGATCGCTAATTGCTAAGTATTTGAAAAGCAAGTGGCTACAGAAGATCATTTGGAAGGACTTGAAAACAAAAATGGGGCCGTAAAGGGTATCGGTTTCGCCCTATTATTTTTGGATAGCCAACAGAAGCAGTAGAAGCCTTCCTACCTTCAACTTTCCCACCCTACATAATAAGGTATGTGTGCCTTAATTTTGTCCCAACACTCTATGGAATCTATTCCAAGATACATATATAGCACCAATGATTCTTCAATTCCTCTATTACAATACATTCTATATGTAAATATATTTTCTAAATTCCCCTCCCTGTAATCTAGGTCTCAAAGTTAGGGTTATTCCTTAACTTTTATTACATGTGAATCAATCAATTCTTTGTTTCCTTGCCCATAAACCTTAACATTTTTCATTTATTCCTATGATTATTAGGGTTCAAGTTGTATTCTTGTTATGGAATAACATTCTTCATTTTTTCTAGTAATGAAGCTTCTGTTAAAACTCCAAGTTGATATTCATAATACATTAATGGAGCCAAAACTCATTTTTCTTGTTTGCTCAATCGATGTATATTTACATATATTTAAGGTTTATCGATCGTTTTTTATAATTCAAAATCTTCTACCACCGGTCATTGACATTCATTGGTTTTAACTCTTCTCCATAAGTTTTCCTGAAAGAAGATAAATATTTCCGTTGATAGATGGAATTAATGTTGTACGGTTGGTTTGGTTGGAGGGTTAGGGTAGGATTTATGAAGACGAAGACGGAACAGGAAACAAATGAATATTAATTTCTGAGTAAGGAATTTCAATTTGATGCTGCTTAGTAGGAGTTTCATACGTTTTGGTCCACAGAATTAAATATACATTAAAGAAAAGTAGTAGGTGGCAATAGCTTGTGTCGACGTGTATCACTTTCATCCTTTTGCTTCAGCAAAATTCCAGTAATCAAAATATAGTCTTCTTTAACTCTTGAAATTGATATATTAATTAATTGAATATAAGAGATTACGTGATTATTAATATAATACATCAACATCAAAGAATAAAATTATTGTTATTGAACAATCTGCTTAAATTACAGCACAGCTTTAGATGATTAGTGATTAGAGCAATAATCCATTAAGTATTATTACATAATATAAAAAAAATTATTAAAATATTCAAACCATGGGGTTCAATTTTTCATTTTTGAGATTAAAATAAGAAAAAAGAAAAAGAAACAAGAAAGAAAATCTCCAGCAAATCCTTGTCCCAATCAGGTGGGGAATTAGAGCAAAAATCTTAAACAATCAAGTATTCTCACTAATCACATTTGTAATAGCAATTAGTAATATAATTAAAGGTTAACAACATAAAAAGTGATATAATCATAGGATTTTGCAATTGGCCTTATGCAAACTCTACTTTCAAAAAACTTTGTCCTTTCCTCTTTAATCAAATCTTCTGTGCTTAATTACCCATTAACCAATTTGCTTATCATAGTTATTGTTATCTTAAATTTGGAATTTGAGAACGCACATGTCATCTTTCTCTCATTCACCAACTACAAAACAAAATATTTATTATGATTTGTCACTTTACAAAAACAAATCCGACCGTTGGCTCTGCAGGAGAAATTTGTTAAAGTAAATCAGACGGTTTGATGAACATGGACAGGTATATTAAATTGACTCCATTTCAGAAGATCCTTCAGGCCATGCCATTCCAAATTATAAGGACCCATATGTAATAGATGCAATATGGTATAGTCCAATATGTCAGTATCTTTATCTGGCCATTACCTAATCTTTAATTGAAACTAACTTTAAACCTAATTTCCACTTTTACTTTCTCATGTGACTTGGTGTAAAAGATACACACGATTGATTAATTAATTGCAATTGCAATTGCAATGAAAAATAATTCTAGGGTTATACACATACACACGTGAAAACTCTCGTGGATAAGAAAACTTGAACTCAAGACTTTCCACTCTTCACATAAATGAAAAAATCAATTAAACCACACTCGGTCAGTAAATATACACTCTTTTCGATATATGTACTTCACGGAAACAATAAAGAAAAAGTAAGAGAAAAACTGTATATATCAATTATCTCTAGAGCTCATAAATGTAGAATTTTCGTGCATTTGCGTTCTTTTTAATTGGTTAATTTTTATTTTTTTTGTGTAATATAAACACTTTGATAAAAAATTATTTCTGCATGAAAATAAGATTTACAGTAGGTAATGTGAAAAGGACAATTGCCGATTTTGAGATGAGGATAAAGTTTGATAAGATGTGCATATTTGCATTATTAATTGGAAAATAGAAGTTAGTACATAAGGATATATAATAAGATCAAACTGTGCAAATTGGCCAATTAAAAACACATTACGGTTGCTCCTTTTTCATAACACAGAGTAAAAAAATAATTTTCAGTAGACAAAAGAAATTACTGCTTTCATTTCAGCAAACTTTGTCTATAATTCCAGAGGCAATGACCTTTTGTCATCAACTCTTTTAGCTGGCATTATAATAATAATTAAATGAAAACTACTGCATTTGCATGCCTCCAATATAATAATTTGATCATGCAAAAAACAAAATCATCTATTGAAAAAGTAACCAAAAATGACATCAACGACCACTATATCACAAAAATTGTTACTTTATCAGAGCCGTCTGATCTGCCAACCTTTTTGGCCCAAACTTTTGTCACATGCCATTTTTATTTCTTTATTTTAGAGTTTTGGTTTATAATATTTCTCCGGAAAGTGGAAACTAAAGTCTTAGTATTGTTTACCTCTTAAATTTTGTTTATTCATCGCATATTATTGTTAAATTCTAACATCAAATATCAAATGTTAATTAATAATTAAGAGAGAGATAATTTTATATACAAATTAAATGGTGAAATATATAAATTTATTTTTATATTTCAAGTTTTGAGAGTGATAAATTATGTTCCTGAAGTTGCAAATTTTGATAACATTATACCATTCTCCACACTAAAACTGACAGTTTCTTTTTTATATTTTTGATATTTATATATAAAATATTGACTTGGTATAATTTTTGGAACAATAAGGTTTATATTTTTTTAACTATACAATTTATTGATCTCATTTTATAAGTTTGAATGTTTAATAGAATAATTTTCTAAAGTAGAGTATTTCATGAGTGCAATATTATAAGTTAAAATGTTTAATAGGTCAAAATAAAAATAAAATGTTTAATTTTGCAATTTATACACGGTCCAAATTGAATTAATAACAAAATTGTAATTAATTGTGAATTATATTAGATTTGCATTTTTTGTTAATTTTACTAGGGAACAGCATTAAAACCACTTTGTTTTTCAAAACCAGCAGGTATATGCGCACTCAGGATCATAGAAAACTGATTCATTAGCAGCCTTTATAGTAATTAACTTTATAGCACTCTTATGGCACAATCATCAAACCCATGACTAAGATGAGTGTCTCTTTTTACATTTGACCATCTATTTCTCTCTTTATGTATATAGTTTCTCTCGAATTGCTATCCCACATGTGTGTTTGTGTGTACCGTACGTATATATATATATATATATATGTGGTAGTTGAGCTTCTTCCTCTCCCACCAAGAAGGTTAGATGTCACAGAAGCCCTAAACAGCATCCTAGAGAAGAAACACACTCACTCTCTCTCTCTCTCTCTCTCTCTCTCTGTAAAGAAACAGTTAATTATGGCTGCTGTTACAAATGAGTCAAGGATAAAAGAAGCTAATGGTAATGGTAACGAGAACAAGGCTATGGAGACATTGAAAAGTATGAAATCCAAGAAAGAAGCCATCAATAAGGGAGCATGGACAGCAGAAGAAGATAGAAAATTGGCTGAGGTTATTTCAATCCATGGTGCAAAAAGATGGAAGATAATTGCAGCCAAAGCAGGTTAATTTCTTGATTAACTGGATTAACTAAATGACTTGAATTTTGATTTTATGTTTGATGGGCCTTTCTGATATATATTTGCAGGTCTTAATAGGTGTGGTAAGAGTTGCAGGCTAAGGTGGTTGAATTATTTAAGACCAAATATAAAGAGAGGGAACATATCAGACCAAGAAGAAGATTTGATTCTTAGGCTTCATAAACTGCTTGGAAACAGGTTAATTTTCTTATGTTTTACTCTTATTTATAATAAAGATTAATTCTTTTGCATAACTAGTTTGATTGATTTGATCTTTTTGTTCGTTAAAGATGGTCCTTGATTGCTGGAAGATTACCAGGGCGAACAGATAACGAGATAAAAAATTATTGGAATTCTCATTTGAGCAAGAAAATAAATAAGAAAGAGAAATTACAAAGTGGAGCTAATTCAGTAGCAGAAGAATCCAAAAATGAGAATAAGACAACAAAAATTGTTGAAGTGATAAGGGAAGAGAATACCACATCTAGTAATAACAATGGAGGTGAAGACTCCAGTAGCAGTTTTAATGTAGATGATTTCTTTGATTTCTCCAATGAGGATCCTTTAAACTTGGAATGGGTAAGCCAATTCCTTGAAATGAATGACGTGTAAACTTATCTTCTTCCCCCTTTTTCTCAACAATGGACAAACATAATCTAATTGGTTGAATGCATATGTGTCTGAAAGAGTTTTTGAGTACTATATTCATTAATTCAGTTCATGTTTATGGCTGCTAGCTCCGTTAAGGGCTGAATTGATGTTTTTTTTCATGAATCATTAGGATTGATGGAAAGGATTACCTAAGAGATGGGAAAGAATGATTGATATTAAAAAATGAAAATAAGCAAACGATTGGGATATATGATGGGTCATATGTATACAACAAGACAAAGACTGTGTCTTAATATGTAATTAGTACTGGAATTCACTGATTCGATCCACAGAAATGGCTCTGTCAAATTAGAGAGAAGATTGTATGCATCAACTCCAAATGATTTGCTTTAAAATTCACATATATTAAGAATTAATTAATATCAATATGCAACAAACAATATCAATATAATAAATCATCTCGAGCCGGGATTGCTAACTAATATTAATTGAATAAAATTTATATAATTGGTTCGATGTCTCCAACCCTATGTCTCTTATCCCTAGGAGGTTTTTCTCCGCTAATAAGTTTTTCTGGAAAACTCTACAACGTCGAGTTCTCTGTCCATGCGGGAATGGAGTGATGCCAATGTGCTTATAATAAGTCAAAATATGATGTTTTTTCTTGGAAAAATGTGCTCACAAATTCTCCACATACCATCACGCTCTTCTAATATGTGGCAGAAAACAAAACTATCCCATGAAGCAGGAGAGAATATTCTACCCAATTGCTATAACTTACAAGCAGATATATTGACATTTAGGTGAAGCAAGTTGAGGTTTTGAAGAAACAGCCAAACAAGTTATGAACCACTTTCCAAGAAGCAGCCATGCAAGAATTTTTAGCTTGGAGAATCTGGATGATCAGAAGATGATGTTAGGCCCTTAGGCAATGCACAGTGAAGAATCAATGAATGTAAGCTGCTTTCAAAAATACCCAAGGAATAATTTAGAGGCTGATTGAAAACTATTATTTTGTTTTATCAGAAGAGGATTGGACGTTTGCCACTCATTTGATATAGACACCTTGTCTTGTAATTCATTTACCGACTAATTATATATAAAAAAAATAAAAATAAAAACATCATTTTTTTAGTGATTTATAATTTGATCTCAGTAAAGCTAAACCTAAGCTAATTGTTCCTCTTTTTAGCTAATTATTTTCCTAATTATTAGAAGGTTCTGGCTGCTATAAAGAAATGTGGAACCTGCTAAAAAATCAAGAAAGAGGGTGTTTACCTGTTAGGTAAGAAAAACATAAGGGAAGTAAATTCAAATAAACAAGCTAGTGGTCCTGCTAGTCAGATTATAATAAAGAAGAAAGTTATCGTACATACACTTGGATCCAAAAACTGAGTCAGGCCATGTTAGTAGCATCCCCTTTAACTACATCTTCAGACCGTAAATTTTGATGGCTGGCAACATCTTCTCCCGGCAGCGGTATTAGTCGATCAAAACGCTAAATGTTATTTTTTAGAGTGTTTTGGTGATTAATTTTTATGACATTTAACTTTTAGAATTTTGTGAAAAGCTATTCAAACATGTATTAGCTACTGAAATAGTTAGACATTGATCAAACAATTAACAATTACCAAAATAATTAATTTTGTTAAACCAGCCATTTAAATCCTTAATACCGATTTGCCTAATCTCTCAGAATTTTTTGCTTTCTGGACTTGGAAGTACTTGGTACTAACAATTTAGATAGTATTCGATCAAGTTATTTGTTTGCTTTTAACTTTTATTTTTTCGTTTTTTGTTTTTTTTGTCAGTTAGTAAAACACTGAGCATGAACAGCAACAGCACCAGTAAAAGCATATACAGACATTCAATGTCTTCAACAACCAAAATGTTACAAATTGGAGGTGTCAGTTGTCAGTGCATGTCATTGGAGCCCCACAAGCTTAAATACATTCATATGGGTAATGAGAACAACATTGCACAAAACAAGAAACTAATCTGAGTTTCAGAATTTACTCGGGTAATCAATCATCCACAAGATTGAGAACGTAGTCACATCATAAGCTTTTTATGAAATATGATAAAAAAATATGAACATAAATGGATTTTCTACCCCTTTTATTCATTATTAGTTTAATTCTTGAACCATCTAAACAAAATTTCAGATCAATCCATAGACACAACATCTTGAACTAGTTTTGACAAAGAATCTAGCATCACTGCATGTCTAAACAGCCCTAAAAACCGCCTAATGCAAAAATTTGCTCTTGCCCCAATGACCCTGCGTTTCTACATTTTATTTTGACGATCGACAAAGTTATCACTGAAATGTAGAGATTTCTTACAAGATTAAGGGTATCACATAGCAAATCGTGTAAATTTTAATGACAAATCTATGCATTTGACCCCCTAAAAACACCCTTGGTCATTAGAAGTTAAAAAAAAAATTGAACAAACCCGGAAAATTGGCTAACCAGTTCAATTTTCATTTGTGATCCGCTAACCAATTAACTGATGTTATTAGACTGGTTATGGTATGAAGAAAAAAAAAAAAAAAAACAAATATAACCAGTTTCATTTTTAAATTTATACCAATAGTTTAGTTCAGTTAACCCAGAATAAGCTCCCTGCTCCCCTGCTATTCGTGACAAACCCAAAAAACAAAATCATTGGTTCTAGTCAATCATCACAAAGTCATCATTCAAACATTTTCAGATAAGCATAGCATTTAGATTAAACTCATGGTGAGAGGCTTGCTCTGACAGTGACAGTCCTAAGATTCCCCGAGGAAACAAGGATAAGAATTATATGTTAAAGCAGCACACACGTCACAAGCAGCACACAACTTCAAAAGTTGGAGGCCAAATGATGATTTTACTTGAAACATATGAAGATGTACAATTGTTATCTGGTCAAATCATGTGGAATTAAAATTACATTACTCATGTACCCAACCCAGGACAATGAAAGAACTAGAAGTAATGAAATAAGCAATCAAACGAAAGAAATAATCCTTGTCTAAAATACATGTTAGTCATCTGCTATCATCTTCATCTGGGTTATCAAAATCTTCTGGCTATCGACAAATCATTTACCCCTCGTTTGAAGAAATCCACAGAAGTAACAACCGAGAAAATTAGTAATTGGGAAGATATGAAAGAAGAAAGGATAAGGTGAAAATTGCTAAATCAATTCCTTTTTTCCCTAAGTAGAAATAGAGTTATATGTGTGACAGAATGGTTCTTACTTCTTACAGTATGAACACTACATTAACAGCATATTTATGACTGCTAACTAGCCCCATGCCATGGAACAAGCATAATTGACCAGCAGTTTACCATCAACGCCAAAATTCTGCATCATTAAATTGTAAATGTTTATATGATGGAGAAATACATAATTTAACATAAATGCTGAGTCAGGATTAGAGCAATTTATTAAAGGGGAAATAATCCTAACAGCAAATGTTGATCAAATAAATCTATAAAAATACATTTAAGCTTTATGGAAATCAACAAACTTCCAGCATTGTCACAGATCAATTTCACACTCGAATCCTATCAATTCATAAATATTATAACAGAAGGGATAGCTATCTGAATAAAAATTAGGACATATTTGTAACAGGGAAAGACACCAAAGGTGGATAACATAATGTCAGACAGAATCCACTTCCATTCTATGAAACATTTGCAATCAGTACACAGCCCAGCTCATGGGCAGTCAAGTGCAATATCAGAAAAACAACTATTTCATCATGTGAACCACTGCATATTTCCATCTTCTCTGTCTCAATGTCCTAGTAATAAAATACTCCATTTTTAAGGGTGATAATATTAAAGAACAGCGTTTCCTAAATAAAAGACAATGAACAGACATCTAGAAATAAATTAGCTGAGGTGTACCCTTTACATGCCAATAAATAGATTAATGCTAATGCAACCACTGGGCATTCATAATTTATCACTGACAAATTGCTGTAATTGATTAATGCTCTTCTAATGCACTTGAGTTGCATTCATTAAGGAAAATTAGAAGGAAATGCGAAAATAATTGTGTAGAAAACTCATTCAACACATGTCTATATGGTTTTCTAAGACTAAATATGAATGGATATTAACAAAGCAGTGTTTTCAGTATAGCAAAAATACAGACAGACACACCGTCGTATAGGAGACATAAAAGAAAAGGAAAAAGATAAATTAAAAGCACAGAAACTTACATTAAATAGATCAATAACCAATTCATCAGGGTTTGGAGAGAATGCACTGTTGACATATACAAACTAAAAAAGTGATGAAGGAAAAAAGTATCAGTATTCTGAAGCCCATAGTTGTACAGATTACTGTTATCTTTTTTTTTCTTCTTTTTTTTCTTTTTTTCCATTGGCGGTGGAAGGAAAAGCATCAAAGACAACATACCACTGTTTCTCTGTGAAGTTGTCTCCGCAGAAAGTCGATCACCTTAGCAAATTTATCAGTTCCAGCTATCTGCAGAGTTAAGGGATGATCCATAATGAAAGTTTCAGATTTTCAGTTGACAGAAATCAGTCCCATGCAATGTCAAACTAGATGGTATTCATTGAGAAAACATAGACTTCCAATCATTTATGCTTCGAAATACAATTTCCGAAGGCTCTGTCTGGGAGAAGAATGTTGCTAAAGCAAAAATGTCCTCTCCTACTGAACATGCTCCTTTTGGTCAATGTATCCAACAACGTGTATTTTTATTTTTCAGGTCTAACTGTCAAATATTAATAAAGCAGAGGAAACACCATATAATTAACTTGTTTTTTTTTCAATTCAACAAGGTAATTTGCTACACCAACTATTTCCAAGCTTCAATTTTGCTCAATTTACAATTTTCAACATAACATAAGCTGACCAGTTTGCAAGTGTTCTCTGGATTAGCATATATTAAGACACTAATAAGAATCAAATAGTGATCTCTACCAAAACATTGCAATTGATTATATCTACAGCCATCTAGAATGAAATTTAAAATGGGAATCCAAATTCAACCCTATGTCACCAACCCACTTGCATATAAACTTAAAGAACTAAAAAACCCAACCAGAATTTTACTCTCACAATTATAAATAAATAGCTAATCTGCAAAATAGTAATGGAAAAACATGCCTTGAACTTGTTTTGCTTGAGTATAGGAGCATCGGCAGTTGCTTTTAATTGAACAATCACTGCATCAAATTAAAAAACCCAATATTCAAAAACCAAATTAAGAAACCCAGTTAATAACCACAGCTAATACAATAAATCATAACTAAGGATGATTTTCCATGTGTAATCGCTTAATTTACCTTTTCGAACGGAACTCGACGACTCAGCTGCCATTGTTCCCTTGAAAATCGAACCTGTTTCGGGGACCTGCAATTCTGAGAGTATTTTTATTTTTAATTTTTAATGCCTATGCAGTTTTTAGTTTAGGGCCTTATTGGGCCGTAACTGAAATATGAATTTGAATATGACTGGGCTTAGAAGAAATCCACTGCTTAAAACAAAACCCAAGCAGGTCCAATCTAGCCCAGATTAGGCAAGGTTGTCAATAAGTAGAGTCTCCTCAAATTTGGTTTTACTTGGTTTATTAAATTTAAGCTTGATTCATTTAGAAAAAGAATTTCAACCGAGCTAAGTTTGTTCATAAACGGTTTGGTTTATTTGCAGCACTAAACCTAGGTTTGGTTATGAAAAAAATGAGATTTTTAAAATTTTTAAGAAGTTTGACAGGTTGAAAGAATATTATAGACAATATAAGAGTAATCATCTCTTTTAAATAATAATCATCAAATAATTTTTATGATAGAGAAAATTCAAATACTTTCTTTATAGAATTTATCAAATTGGTGAAACTTTTATAATAGAAATGACTGAAAAATTTTTCGCTCTCAACTTACGGGTTGTGATTCAATTGGCGATGCAAATTTGACATATATAAAACATTTTTGAGTTTGATCTCCACTAAATACACTTGCAATGAAGGATAAAAAGCCTTAACGGTGACTCAGCCAAATAATTAAAATCTGATATTCAAATCTATTTTTGATTCGGGATCTACTTATTAGTCATCCAATTATTGATAGAGACCTTATAATATTGAATCCAATGTCAATAAATAAGTACAAAATTAGTTAATTGATAGATACACTGGTGGCCAAATACTTTTCTGCACATGTTGCATAATTAATATATTTATGGTCCACCTGTTGATGTTGCATATGTCATTAACTCTTTCGGTAATTGTTAGTTGTTCATTGGCCATTGTTAGTTGTTCCATACTTCCATTAGCTTTAAGCTGATAACTATTTATATAGTGGTTAAGTGTTTGGTAAAAGTAACAGTTTAATTAATTGTTGAACTTAATGACAAATAATGACATTTGTTCTTTAGTTAGCTGAATTCAAAAGAAAAACAATAGATATGATTGTCAAAAAAATTTAATTAATAACGTTTTATAAAAAGTTCATTCAACCTCAAAAGGCTATTATTATAAAAGCTATATTGACTGAATCACTATAATTAATAGATATAGAGTTTTGACTCGGCCAAAACGCTAAAAGCTATATATGGGTGGGTTTATAAATTAAATCACATTCTTTATTAAAATTATCATTAATTTGATGAATGTTACTTAAAGGCAAAACTACTCTTGATGTACAGCGCATAATATTTTATATATATATATATAATCCATTCTTTAGCAAGGATATTATTATGATCACTGGCTACTAAAATTTTTTCTTTTTTAATTTGAACTTTGATTAGAACTCAAATCCATTACATCACCATTGAGATTAACTCTTGAATATCTAATTAATTTACTTAAATAATTACTTCTTAATTAGATTTAGATCTGAATATGACAGGACAGGAACATAATGATGAAACAACCACTAATACCATGTTACAGTATCAATAATATTAATTACAACAAACATCTACTGATATATCCCATTAGCAAGTTAATTTGGACGTTACTCATTTTTTTCTGATACAGAGACTACAATCTAATGCCACCATACTAATCAACAAGCCAAGTTTCAAATATATATAATTAGCATATATATATATATATATATATATATATGTTGGGTAATTAATTCCCTAACTTTAATACCTGTTATATCCTCTCCTCTCTCCTTTCCAGCAATACTTGATGATCTTCAATCCAATTGAAACTATCTGTATCGAGTAATTCGGATAAAAGACATTCATCCATCTCAAAATCTAAAAATGAATCAGAGGAATTATTATAATTTTCCTCCAGAATGAAGTGAAAATTTTCGTTGTCATCACCGGAGATATTTCCCATTTCGGGTTGATTAATATTTTGTGGTTTAGGGTTATTAGGTATAACCACTTTGGTGCACCTTGAAGCTTTGGTCCAAAATACTTTGTTTGGCTCAGTATTTAGGGTAGATAAGGATTTGTTAACTGTGGGATTGAGAGGTTGTAATTTCTTACAAATAGTGGTGTTCCAGTAGTTTTTTATTTCATTGTCTGTTCGTCCTGGAAGCAGGTATAACCACTTTGGTGCACCTTGAAGCTTTGGTCCAAAATACTTTGTTTGGCTCAGTATTTAGGGTAGATAAGGATTTGTTAACTGTGGGATTGAGAGGTTGTAATTTCTTACAAATAGTGGTGTTCCAGTAGTTTTTTATTTCATTGTCTGTTCGTCCTGGAAGCCTCCCAGCAATCAGGGACCATCTACGTCCACAGTACACCACATTTCAGAATTAGAATAGAAAATGTTGGCTGCTTGGAAGAGTTGAAAATAGATATAAAATGAAAACATATCAGGAAAAGGAACCTGTTTCCAAGAAGCTTGTGAAGCCTGATAATGAGCTCCTCTTCATCATCTGTTATATTTCCTCTCTTAATACCAGGTCTCAGATAATTTAGCCATCTTAATCTGCAACTTTTGCCACATCTGTTGAGACCTGTATGTATATCAAGCAATTTATATTCCATCACTTTAAAGCAACAATAACAAAAATCCCAGAAGAAATAAGTAGATTGTAACCTGCTTTCTTGGGTAGGTTTCTCCATTTTCCTTCACCTTGGATTTGAATATAGTCAGTAAGAATCTTATCTTCCATGGCTGTCCATGCTCCTCTGTTCAGTCCTTCCTTTGGACAACATGGGCACCTTCCCATCTCTCTCTTTTTCATTCTCTTTCTAGAGCACTGTCTTTTCTTGGACAAGTTGCTTTCTGCTTCTCTGTCCCCCTGGGTGCACTCTTATATACAGTTGAGACTTGAGACGTCAAAAGTCTGTTTTATTTCCTCGTACGTACACAATATTGTTCAACCACATAATTTATATTCATTTTTATGGCGGATGGCCTTTGTTCCGCTCCCCTCATATATTTCATTCCTACCACACGATTTTACTAAACTTATAATTTATTTTATTTTAAATTTAATTTCTAACCTATTGGTTAACTGTAAGCAAAATCTCTTTTTATAAAGATGAAAATGTAAATTCAATTTCTGTTTTATTACTCAAAGGAAATTAACACCACTTTATTGTAAAGGAAAATTTTGTTTCCAACAGTTTTCAATTCACCATAATCAACCAAAAAGTATAATTTTTAACAAAATAATTAATTTTTGAAAATGATAGATAAAAAAAACCAACTGAGTAAATACAATGCTCATTAATTATGAGCCTAGATCATTCCCACTGTGTAAGAATAAAATGACATGTATAACCCTCAAGCAATTTGGAGGGAATTTTATCAATGCAGTATAGATATTAGGTGCATTGAAATATACGTGGGGTCAAATTTGTCGTCTAAGTATACATGCATTGAAATACCGTATACTCAGCCATGTACAGGATTGATAATGTGTGTAATAAAGTATAGAGAAAATTACTCTAAATAGTAACATTGGGATACAAGTCAAGTTAAAAAGACAAAAAAACCCTTGGAGTATATGTGGTTTTTCAAGATTGAAACTTAACAATCAAAAAAAGTGACATACAAATATTCTCGGCATTTAATGTACGCGTGTTTCAAAGAGCAACTTATCAATTCACTTTTGTCATTTCATTTTATAGTAACATTGGACATTTTTATAAATTTGGCCTCATAAATGTAGAGTTAATCCTTTTTTGTATATTTAATAAATATATGTCTACTTTTATCATTGTAAATTTAGCCAAAACCATTGACATCAAAAACAAATATATGTTATGCTCAATTAAATTTTGAAAACGACCACCTTTTATTTTTAAAGGTGCGGGTGTGTTTTGATTATTTAAAAAAGGAAAATCAGGAATTTTATTAGACACCATTCTCTTAAAAGTCATGGTCATTTCCGAATATAGTATGACCAATTTAGATGTTATGGAGAAGTGAATAGATTTTATTTGAAGGAGATCTTTAACTGTAATTTTATTTATATGTGGCTAAGGTTTAGAATTGAAGGAGTTTGATTATAAACTCAAAAAATTTGGCTCCAAATTCTATTTCATTTTGGCCGCAATATATTGCATTTGGACATTATTTTTTGAATTTCTTTTAAATTTGGAAAAACCAAATTTCGCTTTTAACTTTGAATTTAAATTGAAAAATTATTCAAGTTTAAACAAGTTAGAGCGAAAATAACTCTCTCATATTTTATGGTATAAAAAGTTTCCAATATCATACCTTTTCTCTTCTTTTTTTTTTTTTTTCATGATTCCTCATTAAATAGGTACGTCGAAAGGAAAATACTTAGCTATTATGTATGCATATTTAGTAAATTAAATAACGACAATTAATGTAAATAATTAATAAAAAATTTATTTTTTCAAATTAACGATTAGCTGTAGGGTTCTTACCAATAATTATATGCATGTCCTGCACGGGGACCATCTTGCCTTGTCGAATTCGAGTGTAACTTTCAACTATTCAACCCCACTAATTAAAGATAAATTTCTGTAATTAATAATTATACAGAGTGCTGTAGCCATCAAGATAGCTCCATAATGAAATTTTCATGGCTAATTCTGAATTTGTGATGGCATTCAGCTGCCCTTCTATGTTTCCGAGCTAACTTTCTTATATGCTTTTGAATGTTTGTTGAAAAATCTATAAATTAAGAGAGAGAGAAATTGAAAATAATCAAAAATAAAAAAAAAAGTCCAACTTAAAATGAAATATAATTGAAAAATAAATAAATTTTTTATTTAAAGTTTTAATTAATTCGAATTATAAATTATTTTCTTTTTGCGGGTATAATAACTTATTAATTATCTACTATTAACTGTTTAATCCGTGTTGTAAAAATATTATTGGCATCAAATAGTATAATGTTAATATTGATATAGAGATGTTAAAAAAGATATTGGTAAATTTACTAATTTATGTGGAAATAAAAATAAGTCCATTTTTTTTTTTTTTTTTTTTATTGGTAAATTTACTAATTTTATGTGGAAAATAAAAATAAGTCCATTTTTTTTTTTTTTTTTTTTTTTTGTTAAAGGATATCTCCACTTGAAGTTTTATCAATTAAATTAAATAAATTAGCTGGTGCTTTCTTTCTCTTTAAGGTTAATATTAATTGCAGGTTTAATTACTAATTGCAGGTTTAACTTAATGGTCCCAAAAATATGAAAGAAATGGTCTTTTGCAATTTTAATCTTTTTAGAGCTTATATTGTCTGAAGTAGCATAAAATGACACAATTAAGGTCGCGATCAAGCTTCTGTTCTTGACACGGAACTAAAAGGTTTGTCAATCTCGAGGATAAACTGACAGTTCAGAAATGTAAGAAAGCTATGTAAGAGGCTGCAATTTCGTCTCTTCCACGACAAAATTTCGATATACATAATGTCTAAATATTAATTCTACTACTTAAAAGCTACGACTCACTGAAAGGACCGTATCTAAATATTAATTCTACTACTTAAAAGCTACGACTCACTGAAAGGACCGTCTTAGACCAAGCTACTTTTGTGGACTGAGCACCGCAACACTAAGATTTCCCTTAATTTTTTTTTTTTTTTTACCCTAACATCAGACATCGTAATAAAGTCACCCACCACCTGCGGATAAGGTTTCAGGGTACGGATTTTACAGTGTTTGTTTCATCTTCTTTAATTATTGGCAACTTTAAGATTAAATTTGTGCACCTGTTTTTATGGTTGATGCTCGTTAATCAACCATTCCATACTAATTAAACACTATTGGGTTTGGCTATAGTCCTCCCTAATCTTAATCAAACAAGTTGGTGCACCACTAACTTTATTTTGCGAAAGATTAATTTCCAAAGCAACTTTAAGATTTTATTTTTATGACAATCTAAAGGTTTCGAGACATCCAATGTAATTTTTAAATTATAGTTTTTAGTAACAATCTTATACCTTGGAGTCGATTGTTGTAATTTTTAGTAATAATTTTAGAAATATATTATGTTCTTAAAGATGCGTAACGTTTTATAATCTGCGGCTCAAACTCTAAATTAGTTCTAAAATCCTGACGTTCTGGAAGAGTTATATGCATTAGGGGTTGGAAAGGCTTAGGGCAGTATTGCATTTGTCAAAGGTAAATAAAATGAGAAATGTCAATTTCAAGTGGGTTTTGTCACATTCGAAAATTTCAAAGGGGCTGCAAATACCAAAAGCAATAACCAATACCATAACTCTTTCTTTGTACTGTCCACATGCTAAAGCTTGTATCAGACAGAATTCTTGCTTCCCATGTTTTCTAGATTCCAATCTCTAGGGATCGTGGGGTCTACATCAACCCCCTCTTTGTTGGAGAACTGGAGGATTTCTCCATATAGAATATTCGTGGAAGGGCATTATTGTAATTGCATTATGAAAAATAAACGAGTTTAAATTTCGTGTAATAATATACTATCAGGTTCTAATAGATATCAATTGTTAGCCAACTGTCCTGATAGATTTCAATTATTAGCCGATTTACTAAGTATTACCATATAAATATTATATTGCTGAACACTATTGTTAAAACATTAAACACTCTTTCGAAAAAATTTGCCAAGCATGATAAAACTCATGCCCTAAAACCCAAAAGTTCTAAATTTGATCCCTTGTACAGATTTATAATATAAATACATATGTGCCTTGTATATAATATAGCTCATACATAGTCATTTTGTTTATATTATTAATTCTATTCATTTAGTATACAAGAATGCCTAAAAGCTTCCTTCCTTTCACATGCAATAAGCCCCACTTGCCCCCATCATGGAGAATTTCAAATTTCGTCCAACAGTCAATTTTTGGATTGTTTCCATAACATATTCATATTAAATCCAGCAGAATGTAGATGAATTGAATATATTGAAGGAAAGAGAGGTACCCTTATCATGCAATAAGCCCCACGTTCTGACAATATTGTTTCCTTAAGCAAAGTCAGTGTGAGGAAGACAGTTCCATTAGTTACACAAAATATTAGATTGAGAAATTTGTCATGTGTTAGGCTTGCTCAGAGGACCAGAAAGACCCTGAAACCCTGAAAATAAAAATTTGATAACAAAGAATAACCAAATCCTGAGCCTAAGGAAAAAAAAGCAAACTTTCTGTAATGATTAATAAATAATGAACAACACAACTACAGGACATGCCACCCAACCCAAGTTCCATTCTACATAAACTTGGAAGAGAGCTTGAACTGGGAGCCAGATCTAAATTCATGGGCTCAATAACTCCCCCAAGTATATATCCTTTTTTTTCACCCTATAAGTAACTGCACCAAGCATATTCTTTTGTGGTACTATGCACGAGGTCGAATAATCATACATCAACAATTTCTATAAATTAGATTATCTATCACTGCTGCAATCTTTTTCAACTGATTTCCAGGTCTCTACAGCCGATGCTTTCATCAATCCAAACTGCAAAAGAAGGACGTTATTTCAATGCTTAGCAACAGTGGCAATAAGACTTTCGAAGGATAAATAAATAGCATAAATAGACAACAGTGGATAACATCTAGGTAAATGCATTGAGCAATACATCCAAATTCTTCGACTATTGAAAACAAGTGAAATCTCTGCTTCTGGTGGAGCCAGGATCTAAAGTTAGTAGGGGCCCAAGAAAAATTTTCAAAAGTTTTTGGGACAAAATTAAAAAAGAAATTTGAGAAAAATTTTGGTTCCTGAGATTCTATCAAGACAGCATTTTACATTCATAACACCTGAACCTGCTGGTCATGTCAATTCTCACTTTCTTTTTTTAAAAAATAAAATAATTGAAACAGGGTGTGGGACAATAATCATTGAAATTCCAACAAAAGCTTGAAAGCTCACCAAGTTCCCATGCTATATTCAACTGGCATGGAGACACTATCAGAAATGAGAAATATATCCATTAAAATCGTGTGATCTGCTGCAGCATTTGAGAACTGGTTGACTGGGAAACCAACTGCTCTGAACTTGGTGAACGTCTTATCAGGTGGTTAGTAACAACGGGGTTGCCGAGACCTTGTCTAATCATTTCTTTAGGATTATGGTTATTTGTTTCCATGTGTGAAGACTCCCTCAATGCACAAATCTGACAAGATGGGTAGTGTAAACTAGGTTTTAGCACTCCATAGAAGGAAGGATTCAAATAAAACATGTTTAGAGATTGTGCTTACCATATCAAGACGCTTCTTGTGGAGATCACTTGATAACTGCAGAATTTGCACCCACAGATCAAAGAGCACTCTTGAAATCTTATTTTGTTAAAAAATATTGATTAATTTTACATAGCATAACTAACTTAGGACACATGGTGCCAGCATGGGTGTTTGAAAATTAAACAAAGTACTTAAATATAAAATACTTAAGAGCTCCATATAGACAAAGGAGTTTATCATAACTGTTATTTTTAAGTATTTTCAAAAATCAAGCATACAAAATAAATTTTGAACTAGATGTCTCCAGCAAACTCATCTTAGCTTGCACTCCTTCTTAGCTTATTTAACATAGCAAAGCCAAAACAATGCACTGATTTCTGAGTACCAGATAGAGAAAGTCAAAATGCTTACAGGTTTTCTTTGGAAATTTCTTTCTTCAGTTGAAAATCCAGGAATAGTCAGCTGCCAGTTCTTCTCTGCATATGATTTTCGCATCAGTTCATAAGAACTAGAGGGAAGTGTACTAATGTCATTTTATGTTCAGTCTATTACTATTATCCAATCTATGCTACTGCTGTCCATAGAGCTGAACAAAGTTTCGTTTAGCCAACTGAAATGAACCAGTTCAGCTCGGTTGGATTCAGTTACTAATCTATTCAGTTGGATTTTGGTTTTAACCAACAAAACCAAAAATTTTTCAGTTTGGTTCAGTTTCTACTAATCAAAACAGTAAGCCCAAAAATTGTTTAAATTGAATTGACTGAACCGAACTGGTTTGATTCAGCTTTAGATAAAAATAGGTTCAGTTGGATTTCATTTAGAAAACCTTCGGTTTCTTCATTTAGTATAAATTCTATTTGTTTTGAACCAAACCGACCAAATAAGCTGTTGATGTGAAGGGAAAGGGAGGAGCAAATGGAAGGTAGTCTGGCCTACATGTCAGGAAAGGACTTTTGGCAGAAATTACAATACTTGTATATAACTCGGGCAATTATTTTTAGCTCTCTAAACAAGAGTAGTTGGGTTTTGATGCTTGGTTTGAGGAAATATACAGGCATCTCTATCATGGCGATGCTTGGTTTGAGAAATCATTACCATGTCTGACAGCAATTGGAGTAGACTATCCTAAAGTTGAACAAACAACATTGACTAGGTCTATGTGCCGAATACCTATGATCTATGTTCCCTATACCTATACCCTCGTACAAAAACAAGAAATGTTCTAATGAAAATGAGTATGGTGAAGCACAAACCCAAGTGTAGCAACAAATCCTTCGACTCTAATGTTGAAGATTTTCGATGCTTGGCCAAACTGCATGCAAATGTAGTCACCTGCATTTCGATACAAGAGAGTCAAAGCCTAAATAAGTGGAACACCACCATTATTTCAGGACTTACAAGTTCTGGGAATTAGGAAATCTAAATGTCAACTGAACATTTTGGTATCATTGTAGTTTATCCAAAGAACGACATTAGCTGACCAGATCAAAGCCCCTCAATTGGGGAGCTATACCACAAACACAGTTAAATAATAAAGAAGATTGTGCCAGTTGAAGCGGCATTTACTATGTAACTTTTCCATTCTAGAGGTGCTCAACAACAATGGCCAGGATATAACAAAAAGATATACACATTTACCCAAAGTCTCATACAAAATGAGATTAACATGAATTATGACAGCCATAAGCTTTATTTCGAATGAAACTTCCTGATGAATCTTCATGCAACTTGGGCCATTTACCTTTGCACCAATCAATAACCATTAATTGATTTTGGGATGAATGTAACGAATTAAAACACATAAAGAGCAATTTCAGTGGGTTAGTGAGTCTCACAGAATCAATAAAGTCATCAGCAATCTCCAAGAGAAGATCTTCAACTTCAGGATCTAGCTTTCCCTGTGAATCCACCTGAACACATCCAAAAAATGAACATGACACATTAATCATTGTTAGAATTGGAAAGCAAGAAAGAACATGATATAGCAGTAAAAGACAATCACTAGACAGAGAGAAATGCTTGAAAGACCTGTGAAACCAAGTCCTGTATTTTTCTCTTTCCAAGTAGTTGATTAGTTGCCTCCGTTCCTTGGCTTGAGCTTCCCCCTGGTGTAGTTGTACCAGATGCTGTTGCATCTGGTTGTGATCCTGTCAAACTAAGAGACTTCTGACCAGTGGGCCCTTGCATCCTTGGTGATTGTTGTTGCTGTTGCTGATGCAAAGGCAATTGTTGTTGCAATTGCTGCTGTGGTTGTAGCTGTTGTTGTTGTTGTATTTGCTGTTGTTGCTGCGGCTGTTGTTGTTGTTGCTGCTGCTGCTGCTGCTGCTGTTGCAGTTGTTGGTGCCCCATTGATGGCTGCTGCTGTACCAGCTGAGATAATTGTTGTGCATTTAAATGCAACTGAGGGGAAGATACCAGTTGCTGCGGCAAGAGGACCTGTGTTTGCCTTTGATGTTGAAGACGGAATGAAGGTGAAGCAGGACCAGATATTGCTGGCATTTGCTTCAGCCACTGCTGCTGTGACAGAGAATTCTGCATCATACCTGGCTGTGCATTCGGAACCAGCCCAGACAGTTGAGGGTTCATAAATGCCAGTGACGACGTCCTTGATAGGTTTGGAACCTGTAGCTTTTATAGACGATTAGCATCATAATCAAGCAGAAACACAAACAATCAACTGTATTAAATATACAAAATTTGCATTAAACAAATGCAGTAGCATAATTGCACATTATAGTAATGACATCAATAGTTGCAAGTGCAACAAAAGTTTGCAGGTTATAGTAATGACTTCAAAAGTTGCAAGTCCAAAAAATGTCTACATTGCCTATTGAAAGAAAGAAGGGAATAAAGAAAAAATTTGATGACACAGGAATATTTTATTCCAGGAATATTACAAGTACAATTATGCTGATCATCAACAGCAACCAAATAGCATAAGAACGTAAATCAATTTCGATAAATGTCATAGATTGCATGCTTACAGAATACACATACAATCCACCATCTGGATTAGCATTATCACAAACTTGTACACACACTATAGATGTAATTAGCATGTAAAAGTCTCACAATGTAAGCAAATGATTATCAATACTAATTATGTCATCGTAGGAGCATGAATAACATGAAAAACAAGGGTTAATGCATCACTTTGAAATTTTCAAGATAACCCGCAAAAATATGAAAAATCACTTTATTCTGTTTTACATGAACCATCAAGTGAAAAATGAGAAGAGCCAGCAGATCTGGGGCCACTATTCTAAAGGTTATAAATAACAAAAGCTAATTTAATGACCATGTAGAATCTTTCAAACAACTAACACTCGAGGGCCAATCTCCGTCCGGCCCAAGGAAACCTTTGCACGCCTCCGTTACCTTTTGGGAGGCCTATTTTAAGAAAAAATATAAAAGACTCGAGGCTAGGAACAGATTTATTAAACAAAATTCTATAAGGACCAAAAACAGATATATTTAGCACTATGAGACAATTAAGACGAACACTGGAACAAGTTAGTTTCAAACATTAGAATGGATTCATTACATGAACGATCAACTAATGAAGAAACTTTGTATCAACATAGATCATACCCTCAAAATATAAACTAAAAGCAATTTGATAAGAAAAGATTAAATGACATGATACCAACCAATTATAAAAACTTATGCTATTACCGTTCAGTTGTTCACCAAATCCACTGTCAGAAGCAGAGTACAGAATGAAATCATGTCATCATAAAAAATTGATACCTGAGATGAGGTGAGTGAATTTTGTTGTGCCAGTTGCTGTCTCATTTGTCCAGCATTAATCCGTTGTTGAGCATAAGCAAGAGCACTATTAGGCCTTAGTTGTGAGCTTAAATTGAGTGACCCCATCACTCCCATTGCTTGCATTCCCTGCAATGGCTGCCCTGGTGAAGTGCCAGGATGGAATTGGGAACCCTGAACTAAGCCAGCTTTCTGCCTCGGCTACACCAAAACCTCACTTGTTTTAGAGTATATTGTAGTTTTCATCATAAAGTGACAAAGACAAATTACTGACAAGCTCAACAAAAATGCATCTGAGTTTGTACCATTAGAAGTTTTCTCTCAAACAAACAAATTACACCAGTTCTTCAAAAGTCAAAATTCAGTTAACAGTGATCAAGGAGAAATGTAACATTAGAAAATTTGTTATTATACTTCCAATATATCCAGTAGAATTTGTGAACTTCATTACTTTTAATTTAAAAAATACAGGCAATACAGTTTTCTGATTCCAAAACAAGTGCAAAGATCATTATAAGACTTCTCTATTTCCAACTTTACTTTCTGCCATTCACATCAACCATACGACAATAAAAACTCGAATCAACACATAAACTTAGTTGATACCTATGTCAAGAACTCAGAATCCAAACCGAAGCAGTTAACAGACAAACAACAACAATAACTAAGTCTTAATCCCAAATTAGTTGAAGTCAGTTATATAGACCTTTTTTACTATTTCCACTCTGTTCAATAATAGCAAGAACTAGGAAAGTTGAAACAAAAATTGATACGCATTTCATAATTACTTGAAACAAGGCCTAATGCCTAGAGTTCATATTGAAACTGACAACCTCATCAAAAGCATGAATTGCCCTAACATACACCTATACTTCAATCACCAATATATCAACAATCCATTAATCTAACAAGAGCATATATCATTCAATGATGCAAAAAAACTTAAAAAGCTTTTTAACATGATTTTTAAGCAACAAAAGCAATGCATAATGTCTCATTTCTAAAACTCAAACACTAACACTTCCTTTGGAAGCAAATGAACAAGCGGTTCATTTTATTTACAGTTGAATTATAATAAAAGCAAACTTGAAGTTAATAGAGCAATCCACTTCATACCGAGGCCAACAAGTTCAACTGAGCTGCAGCTGCCACAGCTGCTGGCCCGGGCAGAATGGGCAGGTGCCCGTTCTGCCCAAGAAGTGCAGAACGCGACAAGTTGGCGCCACCCATTTGCTGATTTTGTGAATTCTGCTGTAAATTCTGTTGAATTGACCCCGACCCACCAAAATTCACTTGCCCATATAATCCCTGCTGCTGCTGCTGCCTCAAAACGCTACCATATTGATTTTGCTGCTGCTGCTGTTGGTTAATTTGGCTTAAACGAGACAAAGAAGGAGATCTTTGAAGGGTTTGTGGAATTTGATAGCTTGGCATAGCTGCGACATTTTGTTGCTGCAATTGCTGCTGCGTTTGTTGTTGTTGCTGCTGTTGCTGTACAGTTGGTTGCTGTTGCTGTTGAGAAGAAAGAGGAGGCGAGGAAATTTGCTGGTCAATAGAAGGAGAAGAGATTTGTGGATTTTGAGCTAAATTTGACATGTTTGGTGTAGGTGTTTGTGCTTGTGGTTGTGGTGGAGTTAGAGCTGTCGTATTTGAGTTCACCGTTGGTGGTAGTTGTTGTGATTGTGGTTGGGCTTGTTGTGATGGCGGTGGTGGTGATGGGTCCATCGGATTTGGAGAAGGGATGGGTTTAGGCGACGAAGCTGCACTTTCCGCCATGGTTAGCTTCAACGAGCAAAAATTTTAGAGGCTTTAGAGTTTGAGAATTTTAAACCATCGTGTTCTGATGAATTGGGTTTTTGGCTAATCGGAAGTTACAGGCATATTTTTCATGGACGGATAAAAGAGGGACAAAGCTCTGTGTTGATGCAGGAGAATGAGAAAGAGAGATCCCGGCCATACACGTAAGCTAGGTCGGATCGCACGTGTTGCGGTGGGGTTAGGCACAGGAAAGAAACTATAGTCAAAGACACGTGGCTTCATGAGATTGGAGAATAGAACTTGGGGAGTCTACGTGGAGTATATGATCCATGCCATGAGTTCTCAACATCGTCGATTATATGTGTTCAGTTCAAAGTCAGTCGTTAGATTTAAACGGATGACTATGATAAGTTGATTACGTTTTATTGACTTGCTAATTTAACAATATGGATATAATTTTTAATAATAATAATAATAAAAAATCTCAATACAGTCCATGGACTCACCTAAACCAATGAAAAATTTTTTTTAATAAAATAATAGTATTTTTCACCATGCACCAAGGAAAAAAAATGGAATCAATATTTAAAAAAATCTTCATTTTCATCGATTTGATCTATAAGTAAACTGATAGACCAAATCTAAACTAGTCTTATCCATTTCAAATGTAATTTTAATTAAATTTTATTATTTTTCCACTTTCTCGGTCATTCTAGAATTTAAATTATTTAATGATTTCATTAATCCTTATACAATTACATTAAACACATTTGATGTAAAACATTAGAAATCATAAGCCTGTTGAATCAGAGTAAGATTTCATTCTCTGCCATATAAACAGGCAAAAGGTTGGACTGTACATTTCGAGCATTTTGTTACCATTAATTAGTTATAAACAACTGTGAATGCTATACATATGTTAAAACAGTCACCATATAATAATTCTAATTAATTACAGATTCTAATAAATTAAACCTGAACTTAGTGCTTTCCGAGAAAACCTGACTTCACTCTCCCAAAAGCTGTGATAAATCCAATAAGCAATGAGGATATATAACTTTCTTACAGCATTGATGCACTCATGGGGTTGGCAAAAAAATGCTCGCGATATACCGACTTTGGTCCTGTAGAGCTTCTACCGAGGAGGGAACCTAGCAATGCAGGAGGACCACTTGATGTCGATTGATGCATCTTTCTCACAATCAGGTGCTTATCCAAAATCATTAAGTCCAAAAGAGTCCGACAGCTCTGCATAGAATCAGAAAGGCTAACCATTACCGACCGATGTAAAATGCAAGCAATATTTGCGCAATTATATCCATAATGCCAATGTTTCAGGTGAGGATTTACTGAAGGCAGTGCAGTACCATTAAAATCCAGCAGAAACTTAGGCATCTAGATTAAAAATTGAACATGGTTGCCCCCACCTAACCCATGTTATTGTCCTTTCTCTAGCATACTCAAACAAATGCATTCACAGTGACAACCAAAGTAAAAAAATCGAAGGCCTCCATCGTAATAAATGCCGTACCAACATGCCAACAAAACAACAACATGATGCCTTCAGTTGATAATAAAAATATTTAATGTGGATCAGGACATGGATAAATTTTGCATTTTACTTATTTCTTCTGTTATATTGTATTTTTGTAAGGGTTAAGGGGCATAAACATAAGGCTTGAAATATAGATTCTCCACCAAGTGTATATGAAAGTTAAATTTTGGCCATCAGAAGTTCAAACATTGTAAGAGGTTCTGAAAAAAAATCACGTTGTGTAAAACCGATAACAGACTTTGTGGAGACACAATTATAAGTTCTAAGATGTACCACTACAGATGGAAAGCTTAAATTATTCAAGCTATCTTTCATCTGTTGTCAGAAAATTGCAATGCTTGTGATACTCCAACATTGTCAGGATTGTAATTCATACGATCCTGAGTTTTTTGGGAAAAGAGAAAAGATGAGAATTGAATAGAAAATCAAAAGAGAGAGAGAAGAGAAGTAAAGTAAGGGAAAGAAATTAACAGAAATCAAGAGAGAATATTTTATTCTTGTTATTTTTCAAATAAGGTCCTCAACACAGTAAATCCAACTATGAGAAGCTAATTAGTTACAACAGATTACAGTTAGTCTAACTAACTTACTAACAGAATCAACATTGAACAATTACAAGCTGCACTCCTAAAAAGAACCAAGAAAGCTAGCTAGGCAATTGGATCAATAAGATCAGAAATACATTAGCATACCTGGGGGTTCAATGCATCAATCTGGTGGATAATGTTGTCCTGCCAAAAAAAGGAAAAAAGCGAGGAAGGATGAATATGTGAGATAAGACTGAAAAAAAAGTTAGTACTTAAAATTAAATCTTCACACCACTTTATTAATATAATCACAGAAAATATGGCTAGAAGAGCCATCAAACAAATTGGAAAGATTTTAAAAAAGAAATTTCACAGAAATACACACAAGTAAGAAGTGTGAAAATTCCCGACGTCAAGTGAGCACAGGTCAGGAAAATCAGAAAACTACACAATATTGTTTAACATAATTTTTAACGGTACTTTTTTTTGTTTGTGGTAGGATGCTGGAAAGCAAAAACTGTGCAAATAATCAGAAAATTTTGCAGCAATTAGGTCACAAACAAATTGCTGTTGGAATTGCTAATAACCTGAAGAAATCCATTTACCTCCAGTATCCCAGGATTTTGCATTACAATACCAAGAACTCGGCGCACAAGTCCATTGTATACAACTTTCTTGATGCATCCATTCCCATTCATCCACGGCAATATAGGGGCACATGATAGATTTGAGGAGAATATATGGGTTTGAACATCATTATTTTGTTCTGGTAAAATAACTTTGTCTTGCAAGCCATCTTCATGCACATTGCTTCCTTGGCTCTCAGTCAAGGGCAAAACCTCTTCAGGACAGTTTAGAATAGTAACTTTGTGTACCTGGTTATCGTGCATGATTGCTTCTCTCTGTGAACTAGGATTAGACCCAACAGCATCATTACTTACAGAGTGGGAAACTGAATGACTGCTATTTCCCTGTAAGGACTTTGTTACTGAATGAGGTTTCACCGATGAGGTCAAAAAGTACTTGGAATGATACAATGCATCAACCACATGAATAGAGTCATAAGCATTGACCTGTAGAAGAAGGAATCATATTGAAAATTTCTTTCGGTTTAAAGTTAAATCATCCAAGTTAAGCCTTATAAATATTCAAAACTACAATTTCTGAGTTGGAATAATAGAAAAACTACTGTACGAAACCCGCTTCCCTCATCTTCCATCAAAAAGTTGAAATAAATAACATGCCGATGGTAATGGATCAGAAAATAAATTAAAAAAAAAAAAAAGAACAAGCAATTCAAATTCAAATGATACTTTCTCAGACAGGTATCAAACAATAATACCATCTACAACATCAGGATCAGAATCAGACTATCAGCAGGCATTAATAATGGATTTCTCTTTTCAAATAAAAAAGCAAAATTACTCAAATTCATAACTTATTAAGCACACAACATATTAAATAAAAGTGTTAAAGAATATGTATTAGTTGAGAAGAAATTGAGTACAATAGTTTAACAGATTATTTGGTACAACCAACCAAGATTTTATATAATTGATAGAAGCCTGATACACAAAAGGTTGATATAAATTAGTGACAAATAAGGGTCACCATAAAAATGTCAAGTTGAAATAAATGAGCTTTGGAATTGTTTTTATGTTAAACATGTAACGCTTATCATAGAAATGGACTAATGAAAAACCAAATAAAAGTGGAAAAGCCACAAGATACTTGAACTTTAAAAGAAAATATCATTCATTAGATACTAGGATACAAATAAAATGAAAAAAGAAAAAAGAGCATCCAGCCGCTCAACTCCGCCTAGGTACACCTACTCTTCTCTCCCCATTTCCCCTAATTCTTTTGTTCATTTCCTTTATCCAAAATAAAGGCAAACATTATTCCAGCCATTATACAGAATCGTAAAAACCTGTGTACCAGTACAATGCAAATTCAAATTCAAAAACCCAAACTGGTGAATCCCATATCAGTAAACTAAAAATCTGATATGTACAGTCTACTTTGGGCATCTAAACGACTGTTTTGTAACTGACAACTTTGTATTCTAGTGGACTATAGATATTAATAAAAATTTTAAGAAAATAAAAGAAAGAGAAAAGGAAGCATTATAGAGGATGGACCAGGAAGAGACATTGAATGGTGGAACCATATATGCTGTGTATGACTCTGGTAGGTACACATACTATAGCATTTTTGCAATTGAAAGAATATAATTTAGGGGTCAAGAATAAAACTAACCTTCAACACATATCCAAATGCTTGGAGCACATCAATGATATGTTCATGCACATTCTCTCCTGCAAGGAACACCTATAAACATTCAATATGATGAAACCCAGATGGAAGTGTTAATTTTCTTAAAGTTTAAATACATTGTTTATTTTTGGTTTTCTTTAACTGTTACTAGGGTGTGGGGAACAACGGAGAGTAGGCATCATGAAGTGCATACCCACAACTTGAGAAACTTCTTCTAAACTCAAACCTTGGTCACCAGCCTTCTGAACGGCCTTGAAAACAGTCCTAAAGACCTCCGGAGTAAAGAGGCTCAGTTGTTTTAAATCAGAAGGTTTCATCATCAGATATTTTGCATAACCTTCCATTGCTTCCCAAGGTGACTTACTAGACCATTGTGCTGCAGGAATAACGCTGTTGAAATTGGGGATTTCTGGAATCATATCACACTGAGATGAACTAGAGCTTATTTTTTTATCCAAACCATCATTGAGTTTATCATTCCAATGAAGCTCACCAATACAAGTCCCCCCTTCCTTGAACAATTCAACAGCATTAACTGTCATCAGTTTTGCACGATGCAAATGCACCATTATACCAGGAAAACCCTTTTCTTTGCGAGAAACGAGTTCACTATCTGCCAAAGATTTCATTTTCTTAGACTTATCACTGTCGCAAAGTTCATCATCCTCAGCCTTGCGTTTTAAGCTTCTCAAATCTTCAGCTTCTCCCACACCTTCATCTGGCAAATATGGAGAAATGGACAATTCACCAGAAGAAACTAGAGCAAACAACTGAAAAACATCCCCACAATGCAAATCTGCAGCAAGACTAATTCCCCCTTCCATCAGATCTTTTTCTCTTTCAAAGAGCCAACCAGAAAATTTAGCAGCTTTCTTTCCAGTATTTGATGGAAACGAAGATCGGGAAACGCTCTGCAAGAATTGTTGTGAAAGAACAAAAGGTTGATCACCATCGCCCCCAATCTGCAAAGTGGAGAAGGAATGTGAATGAAAAAGTTACTTATTTCTAACATAGAATAAAAATTAAAATGGATATGAAGGTTGTTTGGAGGGGGAAGGAATAATCATAAATCAGCAAGGCATATGCACAGCAGGGAAAAGGAAAAAAAGACACTAAAAAACCAAATTTCAGCAGATTAGAGAACTTGAAAATGAACTCTCTCCTAGAACGAAATAAAGCTTCATGACCATTTCAACTGAAGAAACCATAACATTTAAGTAAAATGACCTTGACTTATGGTTTCAAATATAAATCCAGAACATCAGTTACAGATCCACTTAGGCACTTTAGAAATCAACAAGTACGCAAGAAAAAGTTTTCAACAGAAGACAATCACTCTAAAGTGCAAAGCATTTTCAACCATGGTGAACTTACTTTCTGGCATATGACAAAATATGCAGCTTAACATTGACTTGTGCTGAAAGTTTGGCATGTCTAACTCTCTAGAATGGAAATTTTAATTCCCAGACAAAAACATGGATATGCATTCAATGGGTCATCAATGTGCAAAAACAGACCATAGTTGACACGAGTATAGTCAGTAGGAATATCGGACAAGATAGAAAAAGAAAATCATGCATTTACAAAAGATTCAAACAGCGGTGCCAATTATGGCAGACAAGACCTGGGAAATTCATGTCCATATAAGACCAACAAATTCACCAGTAAATAGGACAGACTAATGATTAGAAGTGATATTTTCAGGAAAAACAGAAAGCACCTGGACAAGATTAAAAAAGATTAATGATAAAAATCCTTCATAAATATTAAAAGGGCATTTGATCTTCATTGTTGAATAGTTTATATCATGTGACTGCCATGTATCATACTAAGGCCACAATCCACATACATATCTCATGAGAATTACCTGTAAAAAAAATCAAAGAATTACAACATATGATTTACCAGTATTTTATTCACTCTGAGGTAGCTAAAAGCTGAAAAAAGATCCTGTTCTGAATAACGGCGTAATGTTTCAGCTAGATTATTTTGTAGCTCTGATGCTGCTGAGCTGCTCAGAAAGACAAGCTTTAAAAGCTCTACTGCATTAGAAACTGCCAAAGATGTATGCACTTGTGTGCTAAAGAAAGTTCCTTCATTCCAATATTTGATAAATTTCTGATGAAGGCGGCGACTTCTTGATCTTTGTGCAGAACTTTTACGAATTCGCTGCCCATCTTTATGGATATTTTCGTCAAGAGTACTGGATGAAACCACCTCAGATTCGACAGAGTTCTGCAAGAAAAAGGAAGTAATTTAGCCATCCAGCTCTCAAAAATAATCAATGGTTACTGTATAATCTTAAGGCATGCTAAAAAATAGTTGTTAAATATAAATGCATACATAATGAGCATGCATATGATCTATGCATATGCTAAAAAAATACAGATTGACATTGCATTTGCTAAAACTTAACTATATTAGATATAGCTGTTTTGATGCAAATTGTGAAATCTCTGGTGTTAATCCCAGACCAAAATACATGTACATGATTTACAACACATAGAGGATTGAAGTCACTATTTACTTAACTCTTGTATTTGCTAAAACTTAAATATAATGGGGGGTAAAGCACATTCCTAATGCAAATTTGTGAAATCAATGAAGAGAATCCCTAACCAAAATAATTTTAAGTTAGAATACTTCAGATGGAATGTATGTTATCTTAAAAAAAAGTGCAATTATAGAAGCATTGCAAATGTACATATCCTAAAGTGTTCATGTTTAAATTGAAGAATTCTTTAGAGGCAGCTCCAACTATTTTGAAGGCCTGCAACTTACCATTCGCTTGCACAACAGAACACCTTCCAAAGCTTTTTTAATACTTTTGTCACTGAAATCGTCCCAATGCTTTTCCTCAAAACCTATTTCCTCAGCATTTTCAACACCATTTGGGAACTTATTAACACTTTCACTTGTTGAGCATCGCACAAGAACTCCAGAGTCATTCTTGTTAACAAATATCCCCTGAGTTTTCTCCAGGTGCTGTGCATAACGTTTACCAAGCACCGTACAGAGCTTCATGAGAGCTTTTCTAAATTGTTTATTTCTTTTTAAGGATGAGATTCTTCTCCGGCATCTACTTGGAGAAGCTGGTAAGTCAGATAGTTTATTCCAATCTACTCGGTGAATATTAGCCCCAAGAACTGCACGATGTCTAACATACTGAATCAACAATTGCCTGTTGGAAGATAAACAATGGAGTGAAATGGGAAAAAAGAAAGAACATACTTGTACAAGACAGAAAATAATTGTCTATTTTTCTCTTCCAGAAAATGAAGAGTATACTCAGACAGAAAGGTAGAACATGCTCATCAATGAAGTAAAAGAATTCCACAAGATCACACAGATAATACAGCTTTCTGACAAACACAGAATATGTTTATTTCCTTTTGTCATTTCATCACACGCAAAAGGCAACTTTCTTCATTAGATGTACCGTACACAGGATCAACATATTGACAATTCCTTTTAACCATGCCTTTAAAATTTGGTTGACTGCAAAGATATGCTTTTGGCAGATAAAAGGGCACTTTCTCCTTACCTATCGTATGCATCCGTCCATGAAAACCTTCTTTGACACATTGATTGGGAATTTGACAATGCGTGCCGGCTGCTTACAGAATCATGCTTCTTGTCTCGATTTAATCCTGGCTCTTCCACAGATTGTGGACAATCATCCTCACAACATGCTTGCACATGATCATCATCTTGTCCTAAAGGGGGAAGTTCTTTTTCCTCTATGAATTGGTCAACAGAATCAGGTAATCTCACAAGCCTCTGCTTATCTAGCTGTTCATTTACAGCATTAACTCTTACACGCTTTACTTTACTTGATCCTAGAGATCTCTTTCTTTTCTTAGAAGAGAGTTTCTCTTTTGATGCTTGAGGATCCTCATTGGCATCCAGAGCACCCTGAAATATATTGAGATGCCTCTGGAGCTTACCATTATAAGCCAGAAGAACCTGCATAAAGTATTCAAGTTGACAAACCATTGGAAAGGAAACTAATTCTTACATGTATTTCAACCTATTGACTGGAGGCAGAACTAAGACCAAGTTAAGCAACAAGACCATTACTTGCATTAAGCACCTGCATGAAGTATTCAAGTTCACAAACAGTTGCAAAGGAATTTATTTCTTAAATGTCGCCAACCCATTGACTAGGTGCACAACTAAAACAAGTTAAGCAAAAGGCTGCATTCAGGGAAAAAAACCAGAACACTACAAGCATACTAACCTGCTGTATGGACAGATTAAGATCCCCTGCAATATTCACACTCTCTTCCAATGAAATTTTTTTATTAAAACCACTCTTCGTTATACGTTTTAGAAGCTCCTCACGCTGATGAGCAGACATCTTCCGGGTACAGGTCCAGAAGCGGGGTTGGCAAACCTGTAAGAATGAGATAGACACAGAGACACACTTTCAAGTTCAAGGTGATCTGAAAAGTCTAAGTACAAGCGGTGCACGTAACCATGAGGTTTACTTGGTTAGAAATGGCTTAAAGGCACATAGCCATGCCTCAATATCAGTTAGCACTAGAACCCTTAAACTTATAAATGACATGTGACATCTGCATGTGGAAAATCGATTTAATTCATTACAGGAATAACTTAAAAAATAAACACTAAGCACGTACCTCAGGAACTGTGGATCCAGGGAATGCATGTATGGCAGCTCTTCGATCAGTGGCAGCATAGCAATACTCCAATGTTTTCCAATATTCATCAACAGCTTCTCTATTTGACAAGATAAAATCATGTCTGATTCTTGGACGAAGATCAAGAGATCTTATATTAGATGTTGCGATCACTGATACTGGCTCTTCTATGTAAGGTCTAAGTTCCATTGCATGCATAAAAGTCTCATGAGAGATTTTGACTCCACCCTCTGGATGCCCATCGCGTACCAATCGAATCAGCTGCATCACAGAAGCCGCTGTGAGGCATGATAAATTTGATCTGTAAATGCACATTTCTCAAAAATGTTTAAACTGAAAATAATTCCAGTTTATCACAGGGAGGACCAAAAGCATGCATGAAAGAAGACCCTGCCCCCAAACAAGCAACATCATTCAAATCTTAAACTTGATTCCATCAAAGGTTAAACGAATTCAAATAAGAAAAACAGAAAGAGCAGAAAGGAAAAACACAACATAAGGAACCTTATATGGTATGCCAGCCCTTGGAGAATAGCCTGTGATTTTTCACTATGAAGGAGAAGGTTACATGCAAGTATCCAGACAAAATAACTATTTACATAATTTGGTCATTTCAAATGCGGCCAAGAGTTTATACCTTCAGTCGTTGTAAAATGTCAATTATGAATGACAGTCTCCCCTTTGCCTGAGTATCCATCAGCCACTTGTATTCCTCAACAGGAAGATCAGAGAGATGCAAACCCCTCTTGCACTTCTCAGTCATATCATCCAATTCTTTAGTACTACCTACTACCTGTAAGAACAGCTCAATTGGAAGAACCTTCATTGCTTCTTCAAGCGCAAAAAATTTGTAGGTACGCCCACATGGACCAGCTGATAAGACATCATCCCATCCAGGAAAACTACTCAGGTAACGCCATAAAAAATTATGCAGCAGTTTTGCACGAACCATTTTTGCCAACACAAAACCATTGGCCCGCATGGCTTCTGCTTTAGCAACTTGTTCATTTGACTCCCTATGAATCTGGGTTTTCGTAAAGCTATTTAATACAGGAATTGATTCATTAATCCTCAACTTAGGTTGTGCTTGATTACGAATTTGTTTTTCAAAGGACCTCAATCTTTCATAGATTTCATTCATTAGTTCAGGAGGAAAACTTTGAATAGAGGGGTGCAGAACAACCATCTCAGGATGCAGCTTAGTACAGTTTGTGACAGCAGGAAGATGTATCTGCACACATTTGCACCGCCCTTCTTGCTGAAGCTTGTTCAATATTCGAACAACAGACTTCCTGTCCATTATCGACTGCTTCTCCTTCTCAAAACTCACAAGCCACCTGTGAAGCTCTTTTTTCAAAAGGAATTTCTCATCCTAGGGGGAAAAAATCAAAGGACAAGCTTTTTTAGGAAAGCAAATATAGAAAAAGGTATACAAAATACAAAAGAGTTAATTTCTTGGAAGCCTTCAATAGAGTGAATGGCAGAAAGCACCTGTAATCGTTCAAGTATCCTCTGCTCCCTCAAGGCACTATCAGATGACCTGGAATCAGGTAGCTTCAACAAAGTAGTTTCTGATGAAACAGCATTCGTTTTCATTTCTGTACTCACTAAACCAAGTTTTGCATTTGAAGAGCTATCCATTGTCTCATGATGAGACTCTGTCAACTTGTCAGGAGAGCAGAGCTCATGGTTAGTTTGACCATCCTCAGGGAAGTCATGACATAGCTCAGCATCAATTTGCCTATTATTTAGTTTTCCAGAGGTAGCTTCAGAAGTAGAATGATTGTACTGTATAAAGGCTTCAGTGGATCTGTCCCTAACATCACGATTGCCCACATTCAAAGTGGAAGTGTTTCCACCTGGGACAATTTTGGATTTATTCTCTGGATAATTCTCCAATGTCCAAACTCGGAATGCTACAGTTTTCTTAATGATTTTTTTCTCTTGAGGCATCCCAAACCTATTGATCAAGTTCTTCAACCGGGAATCATTTCTTTTCCTATCAAGTCCAAGCCTTTCACACAGCTGCACATACAACATAATGAGAAAGAAAAATTAACGACCACTAGACAAGATATTTGTAGAGTTCTTGTCAAGTAAAGCTACCTTACACCATGGAATAATGCAAAAAGAAAAGAAAAATAATGAAGAGTAACATTTGTAGCAATGGGAAGATAGCCATACCTTCACACTAGCAGAGAAAGTATGGCACTTTAAAGCAAAGGTAAACACAACATCATGATGAGGAAAATGTTAAAAACATTTTTGAGAAAGTTGTATGGGCAAGAACAGTAATTCCTTTAGAAGAATGTAGGCATTTCTTCAGGAAAATGTATTGTAAGTGGAACAAGCAGCAGAGAAATGATAAGGCAGTGACAAGAACCAAAACCAACCTCAATATATGTAGCCCCTTTATCTCCTGTATCATTAATCATATTATAAATTTGGTGATCAATAGGAAGTTCTACAAGCTGCTCAGTTTGTTGAAGCCTCCTTCCAAACTTCACTTCTCTGTCTTTTTCTCTGTCAGAGTTGCGTCCGCATCCAAGAGTTTTCAACAATCGTAAGCAAGGTCGAGGCTGTGAACAGTTAAAGCATCAGAAGCTATGAAGTAAGCTCAAAGACTCCTTGTACAAGATCATGTAGAAGCAAAGCATTCCTTTAAGAGAGGATTATTTAATATACCTTTCCATTCACTAGAGAACCGAACTCTTCAACGATGCCAGCATCTTTCAACCTACCACATATCTAAAAGCACAAAGTGCATTTATATTACAATGAAAACAATAAGAACCAAATTCAAACATACTAATATAGAGAAACGCAATGGTCAACTTACATTTCTCCATGCTCTATGCCCTGCTGAACTTCCAGTATAACCAAGAACCTTTTTGACATCTGAGACAAAAAGGGCCTTCAATAACCAAATAATCAGCATAATCCAGGAAGTTAACTCGGACTAACCAAAATACTCAAAAAAAATAAAATAAAATAAAATTACCTTCTCATTGGCTTCTTCAAGTTTATCACAAATAGCTTTCATTGCGGGTAAAAAATCTTTTACTTGCACATCTTCTGCATGAGGCTCTCTCTCGGATCCATCTTCACCTACATCAGTTTCTTCTTCATTCCCATGAACCCGCAGATTCCTTTCTTCCATTGTAACCTCAAGTCTTTGTTGAACATCTAAATGCTTTGCATAACGAGATAGATATATCATATTGGTATGTACAGTGAAAATGTTTTTAGTCTCCCCTTCAGCATCAGCTTCGTTCTTCTTCACATTAGCCTTTTGTCTTACAATCAGCCCTTGGCATTCAAGCTTCCTAAGTCTATAAAAGAAGTTCCTCCCTTCAATGCCCAATTCCTTGGCTAGTTGATCTTGCGTCATCCCCTTTGTTCTGCAGAAGCCATTATATCCATCACGTTTCGTACTTTATTTGAAAAGTAGAAGTAAAAAGAGCTTACCTGACAATGGCGAGTCGTTCAAGAATCTTACGACTAAGGCTGCACGAAGGAATGTCGTAAAAGCCATAGAAGCTATCTCTAAGATGCTCGTTAGCCACAATCTTTAAGTTGAGCTTCTCGGCGTCTTCAAAACGCTGTATTTTGGGGTTGGTGGCGCTTAACGGCTTGTCGTTTCCACGGACGATGAACTGAAGAGAAGGTACAGAAAGAAGGTTTGTCCACAGAGAACCTTTGACGAAGACGTCAGAAGTTGGAGTTAGGACGGACCAGAGGGAGGAGAGCGAAAGGCCATTCGGGCCACGGCAACATATTTCCTCGAGAGCTGAGGAGATGAGAGTCTCAGTCTCCATAGGTACATATCAAGTTGACGTGTTTGGATAGCAAGAATATTTGCTGGTAAATTTCTCGAGAAAAATTTTAATCGCCGATCAGATAGAGGGAGAAAGACATTAAAAAAACGAACAGTCGATGTTGTGTTTGCAGGGTGAGAAGAGAAGAAGACGCAACGCGAAAGTAGTGGGAATGCAGGACGACGTCGTTTTTATTAAGATTAAAATGGACGGCCAGGATTATGCCTTGAAAATAATCGACGTGGCAAGCAATCCACACAAAAGAAAATCTGTGCCGCGTCACACGCTAGACAAGAAATAAAAAATTAAAATTAAAATTAAAGAAAAAAAAACAGACGAATAGAAAAACCGAACCGAAAGCACTGCAGCTGAAGTAAACGAGGAGGAGAGGACTTAGGTAGAGAGATAAAAATCTAGTGAGAGAAAGATAGAGAGAGAAACAGCATACACAAAGATTATATCTTGTGTTTGTGTGTGTATATTTGCGTCTTCTCTCTCTATCAATCAAATCTTATTATATAAAACGCTCTCACTCAATCTCCATTTCATGATTTCAGGGCCCCTATTCAAATTCACTTCCAGTCTCTTTTTAACCCGCTCTATTCCGTTTCCTTCACTTCTTCATCTCACTTTCTCGAGAAAATTTTCCTTCTTTCTCGAGAAAAATTGAATCTTTTTTCTCCTGTGTTCCTGCTAAAATGTTCTTTATTATCAAGGTAAGGCAATGAGAGCTGCAATAGTTGAGAAATTTTCTTGTTTCATCCAACTTTTATAGCGTTTCTTGAGTCGTTTGACTTCATGGGTAAGTCTTATTATTGCTTTTTTATCTCTGCCCTTTTGTTTCGGTGAGTTTTTTTGCCTTTCTGGTGTTTAAGTGTTTTGAATTTATTGGGCTTTTCAATTTCCACGGTAGAATGATAATTTTGTACTTCTCTCGAAGGTCAGTTGACGTGAAGATATGCAAAATTTGTTGATTTTCTTGTCATCTTTTGTTGTTTTAAGTGTATGAGCAAATTTTTTTTTTTTTTTTTTTTTTTTTCATTTTTAAGGTGCTAAATCTGTGCTTCTATCATTGAAGTCCTTTACTTTGTTTTATAAATCCTACAGATTTTTGCTTGTTGCTTTGTGTTTGTTTCCTATAAAGTTTCATATGCTAATCAAAAACATTTGCTTTTGTTTTTCCCCTTTGAGAAATAAATATGGATCTTTCTTTTCAGCAAATAATGGTACCGATTACGGCAATTTGATTCAATTTCTTTTTCTTGGTTTTCAAAGTTCATTTTGACCCGCTGTAATGATTTTTTTTTTTTTTTTTTATCAATCAAAAGTCTTATTAATAGTTAAAACGCTCTCACTTGTCAATCTCCATTTCATGATTTCAAGGTGCCCCTGATTCAAATTCACTTTCCAGTCCTCTTTTTAACCGCCGTCTCTAGTCCTGTTTCCTTTCTAGCTGTCTGTCGATTTCTTTCTTAGCTTGTTCTCTGATGAAAATTTTCCTTTTCTTTCTCGGAGAAAATTTTGAATTTCTTTGTTTTTGCTTCTCTGTGTTCCTTTGCTAAAATGTTTCTTTATTTATCTAAGTGTAAATGGTCAATGAGAAGTGCTAATATGTTGTGAGAAGAAATTTCGTTTGTTGTCATCCAGATTCTTTATTATGCGTGTTCTTTGTAGGTCGGTTTTTGTACTTCATTTGGGTAAGTCTTATTATTGGCTTTTTTTGTCTCTGCCCTTTTTGTTTGTTCGGTGAGTTTTTTTTGCCCTTTCTGGTGTTTAAGTGTTTTGAATTTATTGGGTTTCAATTTCCACGGTAGAATGATAATTTTGTACTTTCTCTCTGTATAGGTCAGTTTGACGTTGAAGATATGCAAAATTTTGTTTGATTTCTTGTTCATCTTTTTGTGTGTTAAGTGTATGTAGCCATTTTTTTTTTTTTTTTTGTTTTTTTTTTCATTTTAGGTGCTAAATCTGTGCTTTCTATCATTGAATGTCCTTTAACTTTGTTTTATATCATCCTACAGATTTTTGCTTTTGTTGCTTTGGTGTTTGTTTTCCTATATAAGTTTCATATGCTAATCAAAAACATTTGCTTTTGTTTGTTCCCCTTTGGAGAAATAAATATGATCTTTCCTTTTCAGCAAATAATGGTACCGATTAACGGCAATTTGATTCAATTTCTTTTTTCTTGGTGTTTCAAAAGTTCATTTTGACCCGCCTGTAATGATTTTTTTTTTTTTTTTTCGTGTGGGAACTTTTTTCTTGTGCGCTCTGCGATTGGACTGAATGATTTTGGAGATTTTTTTTTTTTTTTTCGTGTGGGAACTTTTCTTGTGCGCTCTGCGATTGACTGAATGATTTTGGAAATTTCAGAGTGGGTGTTATTCTCCACTAAAATCTTTAACTTGGGATTGAGTTTTCTGAAAAAAGGTTCCTTTCTATGTGAAAAGGGGTTTGCTTTTTTATTTTTTATTTTTATTTTTATCTTTATCTTTTATATATATGTCATAAAGCAATCCATATAGTTCTCTACTTTTTCCCTTTTTTTTTTCTGCTTGTCTTGGACCCCTCTGTTTATCTGTTGAGAAAATGCATGAAGAACACTTACCTCAACTAAGTTCAACATTGGATTAGATTGGGACAAAGGGATGCTTTTTGGATATATGAGCCAAGATATGGAAATTTTAGTTCTGTAATTTAATTCCTTTCCTGTGTTTTCTTCCTAACCAAACACAGGCTAATTGATTCGTTGGCTTTTTTTGAGCCACTTCTTTCTTTTATTGTAAAAGCACAAAGAGATATCTTAAAGTAATAGAGACTCGTGAAAGTTCAAATTAGTAAAGATTGCCTATTGATTTCATCTTCCCTTTCTTATTTGGTATATAATCCAATTATTCTCGATGCAGGAAAAGGACTGGGTTTGACTGATTGAAGTGAAGCTGAAATGGAAGGTGATTTATTTTCTGGCATAGGCAATGGAACCCAAGTAGATGGCAAGGTTTTGCAAACAGTTCAAAAGAGCTTTATGCAAGTTCAGGATATTCTAGACCAAAACAGGTTGCTAATCAATGAAATAAACCAAAATCATGAATCAAAGGTTCCTGATAACTTGACTCGAAATGTGGGTTTGATTAGAGAGCTAAACAATAACATTAGAAGGGTGGTTGATCTCTATGCAGATCTTTCAACTAATTTCACCAGGTCAATGGAAGTTATATCAGAAGGGGAATCAAGTGGGATTTTGAAATCCAATGGAAAGGGAAATCAGAAGAGAATTAGATCCGGGTAATTGATCCAGCCAAGCTTTCATACAAATTCTGAACTTTCTTCATGGTAGAATAAGAATAGTATTTAGATATTGAAGGAAAAAGAACGCGATAAGCTTTCTTGACAAGTGTTGTGTTTGAGGCTTTAAGCTTTCAGTATAATTTTCCACCATATCCATTTTTGAATAACATTTAACAGATTTATGATTTTAAGTTTGTATAACTGTATCATCTTGTTTATCAAATTTGCTTCCACTACTACATTTTCTATATTGAGATCTATACTGATTTTCATAGCACTTGCGGGATTAGGATTTGATGGATTAATTTTTGATGTCTGATTCTTCTTTCCTGATATCCTTGATATGTTAAGGTATGCACTGTAGTTAGGATTTGCCATTTGTACTTTGTGTGATTTTTATAAATGGTTTGATTGACCAAAGCTTGATCTACTAACTGTCATTATAGGGAAATTTTGAAACATTAAGGACCACTTATCTTTTAGGTTGTTAGAAATGGCCAAATATTATTTGTCTTATAAATGATGATCATCAATTTTTTTCTGATGATATTTCGTGATCTGCTTTTGATGGGGACTTTCAACAACCCACTTTATTCTTTTCCTATGTTTGTCAAAAGATTTATCATGATGTCTGCATCCTTAATGAAGATTACTCTGAAGGTTTGATATATATCTTCTTTTTTTTTTTCTTTACCCCTTCTTTTTTTGAAGCTCTTGTGTTTTTAATTCCTCCTGCCTTTTTTGACTGTGTTGAGGAAGTAGAAACATGCACTTGTGTTGTGACCTTGAGTATTATTGGCCTTTTGAGTTGAAGATGCTTTTGGACAATTATGAAAGCAGCTTTGTTTAAAATATTTTCCATTTTGCATTAAACACCTCAAATTTAGAATCTCTTATAATGGTTGATAATTATTGACCACAACTTTTCCAATTAATGAAAATATCTTGAATTGTTTTGATTATCTTCAAGATTAATCAAGATAAAGGAGATTCTACTTAGACAGTGATTTAAGCAATTCTTAGTACTTTAGGTGATAGATAATCATGGAACAGAATCAGGGCCCAATGACTTTCTTTTAGTGAGTGGAACCGGTTTAACTCTTTTTCTTACCCTTTGCTTAGGTTCTTTGCTTCTCTCACTGATGATCTGATATTCCCTCCTTTAGAATTTTTTATTCTGGAATGACTTTTCACATTTCATTTGTCATTACAGTTCACTCTCCACAAACAATGATAGAAAAAAGACAATTAGATTTAAAAAGTGATTTCTTGTGGAGCCAGTAACTTTTGCATGTTCTTGTGCTATTCATGGAACCATTCATTAGTTTTCTTGATATAGGTGAACATGTGGGTGATTGATGTTAATTGCTATTTTGTATTCATTTTGGCATTGATGATATAGTCATTTCCCCAATTATTGATACTGCTTGAGTGGGAAAGGTTCTAGCTTTATACTACCCCTCTATGCTACTCAAGTTACTGGGCTCTATGCTACCTTCGATTTTATTCCAGCTAATGTCTTCCTGGCTACTTCTAGTTCTAGGCTTTTTCTTTATATTAATTTATGTAGAATATTTTTCTTTTCTTTTTTCATTTTATGTACCAATAATTTTTAAAAGGGATACAAGTAATTGACAATTAAGATTTTGATCCCTAAAATCAACAAACAATCGAATAACTAGAATATAAATATATTATATTTTCAGATAAATTTTACCCTGCAATATCAGAATTTGAATTTTATATAATAACCGAGAGAGAGATTTGTTTACATTCCCTACCACACACAGTAAGATTTTGGGTGTATCAGTAATTTCTTGCCCAAAAGATAAAAAATGGGAAAATTTGAAGAAGATAATGAGCTTTGTTTTCTTGTTCTGAAATTTGAAAGGAAAGAGCAGTGACGCAAATGTGGGGGAATCTCAAGGGGTTTTGAAAAGGATGGAGCAGAAGATTTTGTTTTTTTTATTTTTTTTTTCAATTAAGAAAGAAAACCTTGACATGCTCTCCACATGAAGTGGGTGAAAGAATCAGACAACATAAAAGAGTATAAGATTGTGTGTCCGTACTCTAATGTCTGATTTCTATGTTTCTGTTAATGTGATGCTGATGCTGATGCTGCTGCTGCTGATGATTTGTCTTTTGATCATTATTGAAGAAAAAAGAGGATGTGGGTTTGTCATTCTTCTTTAAAACCAAAAAACTTGCAGAGACTGTTGAAATATTGCAATTTCTAGGGACAATATCTCTGACCCACATAATGCCTGATTCATGCAAGCCATTTCTCTATTCTTCATAACTTGCCATTACTGAACTCTCAATAATTGGTCCTCGACTTTTCATCGATTATATACATATATTATCCAAATTTAAAATATAAATACCTCCTTTCATTGTACATTTCAATCAGAAAATAAGTACTTGATTCCTGAGGAATTTATTATTATTATTATTTTCGAAATATTCAATCTTGAAAACCATCTTCAAATGATTGTAAAGATCAACACGGACAAATAAAATTGTTTTAGCTGCTGGCAGAATTGTTAACAGCAATAATAAGACATGTTAAGAATATGTAATTTCTATATAAAAAACATACAAATTTGTTCAAATTGTTTTTTTTGTATAATTAATAACTGAAAGTAACACCAACTAAAAATTGAAAAGAAAGAAAAAAAGGAAACTTCTTGGAAGCTACTGCTTTGCTTTTTCCATCAATCTGCTTAAACACTCTTGCCAATTTGAGACCTTTTCATCTCCATTGACCACCTATGTTTACGGAACAAAGGGACTGTATTAGAGAAGTAAACATGACGAGGTCAAAATAAATTTAGAAAAAAAGAAAAAAGGCATTACTTCTGTTGTTTCATTGACAATCAACCATTCCATGGTGTTCTGCATTTCTTTGAGAAATGTCCCCCTCATGGTTCTTTGTATATTTGTTTTCATTTACATTATCATTTTAATTATCACAGCTATTATGACCTTTTGATTTTGTTCATAAACAATACATGTACGATTGATAACTGACCAAAATATCTATATTCTACCATTGACTATAGGATATCCAGAAATCAGTGTGCATTCATACTTTGCTTGGGAAACAGTAACAAAGAAAAAGAGCGGCGGAACAATTATGAATAATTCAAAAGGCAGATTGTGTTTCATGTTTCACCAACCTCAAGGATGAATCCTGCTTCTGGGACCACATCAAGAGCTTCCATGCAAATGAAGGCTGCGTCCTCTTTGCTAAGACTTCCCTTCTCTGCGCAACCCTGTCACGAGGCATGCTGCACTATCAGTTATCTAAACCAAAATTCACTATAAATTAATACCGGTGTTACAAACTATATGCTCATCAAAGTAACCAAAAAACTGGGCTACCATGAAAAGTTAGAACTTAAGAACAAAGCTCCATTCAGGGCCAGCCTGCCGGGTGCTATAAAAGAGCAAATAATATAGTTCATTACCATGTATCTTACTTCTTCTTCTTCTAACTCTTCTTCTTCTTTTTTTCTTTATTTTTTGGTCTCTTTCAAATTTCAATCCTTTCAGATTCAAGGCTTGGGTACTGAACCCACAATTCTTATATACAATTTTATTATTCACACCAACCAGGTTCAGTCTATTTGGTCATTACCATGTATCTTTGATTAACATCATGACAGGAAAATTAGTTTTGCGCATAAACAAAGAAATTATATTAAAGTACCTTTTCAAAATTGAAACCTTGTGTTCCACCAGGAGTATTCTGTAGCATGCCAACTCTGATGATGGTATAAGGAATTCCCGAGGCTATGAGTGTTGATTCATCTTGCTCAGCCAATTTTCTTGCACCACTTTTCATGAGAGCTTGAACGCCACTGCTACCTCTATAAACAGACAACTGTAATCTTATCAAACCACAATAATATACAGATTGCAATTATTTTAGTACCTTTGACATGGAGAAAGACAAAGAGATAGATACCTGGGACAGTAGGATTACATGATTTACACCTTTCAAGCTTCCAATATTAGACAGAAAGCCTTCCTGTGAAGAAGAAAAAAGATGGTCACTGAAAAGTTAATGGCCAAGAAGACCGTTACCAGGAATGCTTTGGAATACACAAGCATTTATGAGACAATGGTTTTACCTAATAAAATGTTAAAATGACAGTAATTGCAACTTCCTATTTGTACAAATATGAAAATGTCCGAGCAATTTTCTAAAGGATTCTTTGAGCATTCATTAACCCACCAGATTTTACATCTAAATAGCAATGACATTTATATTTGCAGTGCTTGCAAGCATATTTGTACAAGCATTAGGAAATATGAGTGTTCCAGTGCCTTCAGTTCTATGCTCTTTCAATGTGATACCTCATTAGGAAAGAAAATAAGTTAATACTTGAAACTCATATGCCCAAGATATGAAACCTTCCGTTGCACATCAGGTTCTTCAGAAATTTAGCACAAAATCTTGAAGTTAAAAAGTGAAGGAATATCCTGTCCTAGATTCAAAAGTCACTCACCAAGTAAGATGGTTGAGCTCCATGTCAACCTGTTGACCCTTCTGGGTCTCAGTTTTGACATCATACTACTCACTAAGGTAACACTTCCTCCTTCAATGAGGCACATTATTTAAAGACTCAAATCATTCTGAAAGAAGAAAACCATCAAATGAACAATGTTCACCAAGCATGTGCAAGTGTGGAGATTAGGAATCTCAGAAACATGAATATGCAAGGGAATCTCGAAAGAACATACATTTGGGCATATAACTGCGCGAACTCCTCGAAGAGCCTTCTTTAGGAATAGCTTGTTACTTGCTTCTCCAGTAATTGACTTTCCAGAAAATACACAAAAAGAAAACCATGTTAGCATATTTCATTGCAGAAATGAAGAGATGGGACAGGCAAAGCAACTTCCAAGAAGATATAAGAAAGCGGAAAGCAGGAATTTCATAGCTTACATATACACCCACCTCAACATAAGTTCCAAAGGCTTCCATAGCAGTCCGCCTATCCTTCACCAATGCTTTAATTTGAGCTCGTTTGACAATCAATGACAGAATTATCATCTACATGAGCTAGAATCACAAGGCTCAGATTAAGTGTAACAAATAGTTCAAATCTATGCAAGGAACAATTGATTGGCACCTAGAAATTTTGGGATTGCAACTGAACCTAGTGTACAGGATAAAATAATGATAAATATTAATAAGGCAAAGGTAAAAGTTTCTCAATTCTGAGAATTTTTTACAAAAAATGCAATAAAAGCCACAGAACTTCAAGAGGGAGAGAGGGGATAATTAAAGGTGAAACACACCTGACCAATGTCACTATCTCCATCTGTGACTAGAATTTTATCCCTTGCTTCCTCTTCTTCTGCATTTCAAATAAAATGCCGAATTTAATTTTATTTTTTCAAAAAGTAGAATTAAACATAGAAAGTGACATCCATCTATAGAAACATATGTACATTCACAAATTAATATATCATACTACCTGAAAAGTCATCATCTTCTTCTGTAGAAGATCCATCTTTTGGAAGTAGATCAGGTGCCCCATACCATTTTCTCAACTTGGGACCACCTAAAATTCAACAGTCACACACAAATTACCTAAATTGAGAGTGTCACAATAGAGAATGCTCACTCCACTACATAATCTGAAATTTGAAAAATCCAGATAAAGATGCAAGATTGTTTAGAGTTAAGAATTAGTGATAAACATTAGACCATGAAATGTTACCTTCAATGTAGTCAAGAATTTGATCCACGAAGCTTATTTTCTTCTTGGCCGAGCAGCGAACGAGAGCACGATCTTTGGCGTAGAAGATGAGAGAGGGATTCAGTGATTTACATGGATACTGGGAAGAGAAAGAGAGGAAAGCTTGGCAAAGGAGAGTTGATGAAGGAAGAATAACCGCCATTAATGGGCTCCTGACCTTTCGCGGCTTTACTTTTGCCTGTTAATTTTTCTATCCAGCCGTTATCATTCCCGCGGGAGTGGATAACCATATTGTGGACAATCTGCAATTTGCTTTCGTGGCCCTTCTAAACGACAAGTGCTTCTATAGGACATTAAATGCCGTCGAGCAACGACTCATCGTTCAATTTGCACTTGGGTTGCGCCCATACTCAACATTCTAATGCAAAATTACTTTTCTATAAAATATATTTCTTAAAAAAATAAATTTAATATTGAATTATAATAATCTATATAACAATAAAATATTTTCAAAAAACTAAAATATAAAATAATTAATTTTAGAGTTCCATCTACCTCTCTTTATCTCTTTTTAGAAAGGGGAATTTTTTTTTTTTTTTGTTTTTTTGTCAACAATTCTGTTTGGAGTGGAAGAAAATCCAGGGAAAAGTAACTTAAATCTCATGACTTGACAACGCCATTTTTGCTAACAATATTAATGGATACTGTCTTCCAACTGTACTATCCCCTTCACTTCTTTACTGATCTCCCGAAGCAGAAAAGAAACAAACGAAATTGAGACCAAACCAGTGCAGAAAATGAGAGGTAATCAAGATCTTGTAACTTCTTGTGATATCTTTTATTTTCTTCCATTTTTCTATATAGCCAAACAAATCGATCCACAATTTATCTGTATATTGGTATTTTTTTTAATCTAAATCAATAAAAAATTATGTTTTTTGTTTATAAAAGAAAATTAACATTGGAAGGGATAAGATACGCTCTGATCCTTCCACTTTCTGGTGATTATTTTACTTTATTTTTCACCTTTCAAATTTTAAATTGTTTTATGAGAATCTGCTTCTTTTGTAGTGCTGGGATAAGGGTATTTGCCTTTTCTACAATTGTCCGGCCTTGCTGTTCAAGGTTTTTGTGCAAATTCAAAGCTCCTACATTCTAATAACAATTCTGTTTCGATTTTCTTCTTAATCCTATCTTGATCACAAATAATTGTTGCGATCTATTTCTTTTCTGCAACTTGAATTGACTAAACAAACATATGCAGTTTTCTTTACCACGTCTGAGTTTCTTGTTCCTCATGTGATCAAGATCTCAGGTAATGCTAAAATGCAAGTTTGCTGCCGATTGTATTGCTTTTATCAGGTTAATGTAGATTTCTAGATTTTTACTGTATTAAGCTAAATGATTTAATGATTGGGCTAGGATTGATAATTCAGATTTTGTGTTCCAGTTTTATTCTTGAATAGATTTGCAGAAAGTTTGTGTGCTTGTGGATGCACAGGATCTCTGAAGTGTCAGAATGTACATCTTCTTTCTAGCATTGATTTACTCCTCCCTTACCCAATAACGATGGGCTAAGTGGATCCCTCAACAATGCTTACATCATTTGGAGTTTGTTACTCTCTTTGAACTCTTATGAAGTTCCTGGAGTTCGGAAACTCCTACACTCACTTAATCCCAGCATATTAGAGTAGGGTGCTCTCTTCCTGGTGTTTGCTACCTGGTTCTTAAACAACCCTTATTATCTGATCATGAAAATCTATTTAGGTAGAGCCACGCACTCCCAACAATTGTCTGGCCTCGCTTTTTAAGGTTGCTAAGAGCAAATTCAAAGCTCCTACATTCTAGTAACAATTCTGTTTTGATTTTCCTTTTGATCCTAACTTGGTCAGAAATAATAGTTGCAATCTATTTCTTTCTGCAACTTAAATTGACCAAACAAACATATAGCAACTTTCTTTTCCATATCCAGATTTCTCGATCCTAATGTGATCAAGATCGCAATATGCTATATGAGGTTGATATAGATTTCTAGAGTTTTGCTCCTTTTTTTTTTCAATCCAAAATCGACTGTATTAAGGTAATTGAGCTAGAATCGATAGTTCAGATTATGTGTTTCAGTTTTATTCTTGAATAGATTTTTTAAAAAAGGTTTTTGTGCTTGTGGATGCTCAGGAATCTGAAGTGACAGAATTTATTTCTTTTTTCTAGCATTGATGGTACTGCTCCCTTTCCCAATAATGATGGGTTAAGAGGATCCCTCAGCAATGCTTACATCATTTGGAGTTTGTTAGTCTCTTTGAACCCTTATGACGTTCCTGGAGTTCGGAAGCTCCTACACTCAATCCAAGCAACGATGTTTCTAACCTAGAGCAGTAATTGCTTGATGGTCCTGACTCTCTCTCTCTCTCTCTCTCACACACACACACACACAGACACGCACACACACTCACACACGCGCGCAGACTATCTTATGTTGATCTCCAATTAAGTGATATATTTGTTGTTTTCTATGATTATGAATAATTTAGTTCTCATGGGATTTTCATTACCTTGATTTGTGACTTAAAAGATGGAACCAATTTCCACGCCAGTCCCTATGCAATAATAATTATCCTGTGTTGATTGCCTTTAACGTGTAATTCTGAGCCACCTGTTGTTTTTTCTTCTTTTCATGACTTTCTAGTTGCTACAGCGTCCATAGAATTGTGCACAGCGTGTTGTTTTAGGGGTGGGGCCGCCTTGCCTTAGCTAAGCCTTTGGCATAATCATTCTTGTAGTTTTTTCCTGTTTAAGGACTTGCTGGGTGCTGCAGTGGACTTGGTTTTGTAGACATGAGCCAAAGTATGTGAATAACTGCAGCTGCTACTACTTTTATTCATTTACATTATAATGTATTTTGTCAGTAAGTGCAGGCTACTGTAGTTGAAAGCTAGGGGCTTATCTTGCCAACCTATTCTATGAAGTTCATATAAACCAAGTCATCTAGGCCTAAGTGATAAGGGAGTGCGACGTTGGTAGAGATCCTGGTTTCTAGACTAGGATTGCATAATACTATATGAACTTGTTTACATATTAAACCATTTCATGACCATTCACATGTCATTTTTTAACTGAAGGTAAGAGCTTTCGATGCTGCCTTGGCCTATGAAGTCAGAGATGTAAGGTTGTATGTTCTCAAGTAAGTCTATTAATGAATGTTGTCACTTTGCTATATGCCACTTGCTTCTTTGGAAGGCAGGCAACTGGACTAGCTATAGTTTAGTTAAATATTGATTCTTTTTATTTAAAAATATATATTTTTTAATATTTCACCATCAGTTTCTTGTACTCTGCTTTTTTAGAGAGTATAAGCAATTTTTTCCTCAAAGAATTGTAGCATCTGGGTTTGTGAATTAATCATCATATATGTGGTATTGGTAATATGTGCAACGAACTCTATGTTGGAGCTATAGTTTGAAATGAGAACATTCTTTAATGTTTTAAGGGCTTTCTATGTTGTCCTTTGATTTATGGAGAGCAGGTTCGAGGTACGTGAGATAAGTGCTATTTTTTATTTACTGATCACATTGTTGTTCTTTAATCCATTTTGTCACCGTCGGCAGGGTGTTATAGTTGAAAGCTAACAACAGCAATGGCTAATTACCCTATGGAGTCCGAGGATGGAGACTCGATATCGTCGTAGTAATATAACTCTTCTGCTAGCCATTGACTGCTTAGGCAGGTGTCCTTGCTTTGGTAGTACTGGTTCTGAAGTATTGGGAGGATGCTTTCAGTAATATCCCTTGCTTCGGCATTTGAATGTGTTGGCGAAAGTTAAACCTTCTGCTGATTGAGAATTTGTTTTCTTTGATCTGTAATTTTTGTTGGGTGTTATTGTAATTCAGGTTGAGAATATGTTTGCCATTCCAAGGGCAGACTAAACCCCATGAAACCCCCTGTTTACTGTTAAAGTGCCACCAGAAAGTTCAATCTTGAAATTCTGGTGTTTTCTGTTTTGTACTAGTATTCTGAAATTATATTTTATTGTTGTTAATTGGTTTTTGAATTATATTATGTACTTTTTCAAATAAAAGAATTAAAAAATTAAATATAATCGTTATCATGGCCAAAGGAAAACTTATTGATACTTTATTGGACATTCAGTTTATTTGTCTGAACTGAGTCGAGATAAGTTATTTTAACTGAATTTATAAAATTTTAATAAGTTAAATAAATTATTAGATGAAAATATAAAAATTGCCCTATATAATTATAGACTGATTTTATAAATCGCTTTTTAATTATTTAGAAAAAATCCCTTCTTTATATGTCATTGGGTATATCACGTCGGATGGTGCTACGAACTTGCCAAAATGTTGTTGAATTTAATTAAAAAGAAAAGGAATAAAATATGTAATTGGTGGATTTGGGTAAGAACCCTAGAATAGTAAAAAAATTAGACCAAAGACTTCAAAGGGTAAATATGAAAACAAACCGGAATCCACGCACTTTTATAAATTTCAGTCCACACGAAATTTCGAATCCGGAAATGTATCACAGTGATCACAGCGTACAGCGTACTGGAAAAGCGAGCCAAAATACCACACCTAAATAACTTAACACAAACACACCCCAATTTCTCTCTCTTAACTCAAAACTCTGAACTTCCATTTCGTCTCCTACAAGTCTCTTTCTCGATTAATTACTATCTCTCTCTATTATTCATTCATTCATTCCGACCTCGTTTCGTTACTTAGTTGCCTAAAATTCTTGAATTGGTCCTTTTTTCTATTAGTTGCAGCGAACTGGGGGCTCTGTGTCATCACCAGTCACGTTATCCTATGGTGAGTCCTGACTCTCACTTGCTCTATTTCATTTCCTCGTTGATTTTTAGAGCTTAAAATTGCATTTTCATTTTAAAATATGCATAAATTTGGTAATATATTTGACTATATATAGTGGGTTGGGTTTAAATTGAGCTTAATTTGTTCTTTTGTTATGTGATTTTTATCTGCAATTGTTTAATCTCTGCTCACATGTCCCCCAAAACTAATAATAATAATAATAATAATAATAATAAAGAAGTGATCTTGGTTTAAGTATCATGTCTTATGTCTCTCAACATATAACTGTTTGGGCTGAATTTTTGTTATAATTGGTTAAGTATGAAAATGCCATTTTTGGGGATAATCTACAGATACTGATATGCATAAGGAATTTAGCTTCTTGGATTAGTGTAATTTGGTTTTATTTTAAATGTTTGGAAATTAGGTTTGTTAAGCCATTAAGTCGAATTAGTAAACTATTCTTTTTCTTTTTATTTTTTGTGGGTGTTTTCAGTTGTAATTTGTGATGAGAGTTATCACATCTTTTGCATTTCTGTCATTTAGTGGTTTTACCTCGTATTTAGTATAATTATCTTGGGTTTTATTTTATTTGTTGATGTAGATAGTTCAGTTGAGCTATTTAGATTGGTTTTTCAGTTAGTTTCTGATTAACAATTAGAAATTGTTGGAATTTTATTTGGACTTAACCTCTTTATTTGGACATAAATGAACTTCATATAGATAATTATTATTTTAGTGAGTTTGGTTCTGTGTTTCACTTGCATGTGCATAATTAGACTTTGGAAAGATAAATAATTAACTTTTTATCGTATCTTGTTTATGTTTGTTTGGGGATTTCAGTTTGTGTATTTGAGTTGCATGTGGTGGATTTTCCATGGAAACAGAGGTTGGAGTTGAGGGGAATGACGAAGGGAAGTTTGAGGAATCTACTTATGGGAAAAGTTACTCTTCTCTGTCTACAACCAAACAGCTCAGTGATCCTGTTGTATACAAGCTTGTTCGGGTAAGTTCTGAAGTTTCTATATTTTTTATAAGGTCTAAATTTTGATTTATGTCATATAAGTTTGGCGTTGAAACAAACTGGACGTTGTTTTGGCAACAAACAATTGAATGAGGTTGCTCAAGATAATATTTGTGGTTTAAACAATAATTTGAGAATATGTATTTATTTTGCATGTAGTGAGAATTTATTTTACTGCTTAAGATGTTAAAACTGCTAATAGAATGGGAAGTAATGAAGGAATTTTTATTGTTATCATTGTTCTGTTAGATTCAATGATAAGTAAGATTTTAATGCTCCTGCATGGTGTTTTGTGCCAATTTAATGCATTATACTCACTAGAATACAACATATGGTCCTCTCGCTCTTTCTAACGTTCCTTTTTGACTTTTCCAAGTTCTTTTTTGGGAGTTAGGAAGATGCTTTATACCTGTGCTTAAATTTGAAAGGCAGTTTCTTAATTTTGCCTATTCATTCTTTGTTTCTTAAGCATGAGGAGACCTATGGATAACAGTGTAAAACTCCGATATGCTGGTTTGCAATCATTGCTGGTTGCCACTGGCTCACCTGATCTAACCAGTTAGTGGGGGTAGTTATTAAGCTACAGGCATTATTGTGCATTTTATGATCTGATCTTTTTCGTTAACAAAAAGGAGTTGAATTGGATGTTAGCTGATGTTTACCATGTGTACTGAAAGCACTGCTTTTGAATGAGCAGAATCAGCAAGTCTTTCAGTGACTCGTTTCCCATCTAAATTTGATATTTTCTGTATAATCATAATAATGGCCATTTGGAGCACAGCTTTCCTTTGTGTCTGGATAGGTCCCTTTTGCTGGTTCATGATCTCTGTGTCCTTGGAGCTGAAAAGTAGAGTTTAAATTTCTCTTTTATGCATCATCTTTATCAACTTCTTTTCTTTCCCCCATTTTCCTCTCTCTCCACCTTTCTTTTCTCCTATGTCCCATTAGGGATGGTCCATTTCCAACTCCTTTGTCTGACTCCTCCAACCCAGAAACACAAGTCCAATTGGAGATAGGATGTTTATTTTAGCGTCATTTGCTATTTGTTGAAATTATCATTAAAGTCATTTGGTTGTTGTTTGGTATTTGGAGGAGTTCAAAACTTCAAACTAATTTATGGGAATAATATATGATTACATTCTTTATCTTTGGAGCTTCTGTGGTTGAGAAAGATCATAAAACTCATTGTGACATTATAGGTGCAGTTATCATTGTCATTATCGGTAGTATTACACTATTACTATGGTGGAAAGTGTTTTTGTATGGGGCTATCTTTTGACCCTATCTAATCTTGAAGCAAATAGAAGCTAAATCTGGTAAATTTTGTCATTAGATTTATGCTGATTATATGCATGTCTTCCTAAACCTCATAATTTTTCCTCATTTATACTTTTTTGAGTTGCTTACTTTTGATGGGCATTGATTTTATGATGTACTTAAATCCTATCGAATACGCAGGTGGAAGGAGATGGGAGATTAGTCCCTGCTACAGATGATGAAGTTATGGAGGTTAAGGGCCTGCTCATAAATGAGAAGAGTGAAATGCATATTGTTGCAGACACTGGGCAGGCTGTAGGATGTATTTCCAATGATGGATCTTCCTCTGGCATGCTACTTCAGTTGGAAAGCTCAGAAGGTTTGTTTTTTCGAATATGGATAATGTATGTGGATGTAGAATGATAGATATAAAGGTGAAATCAGAATTTTCTTCTAAACCACTATGTGCTTAGTTTACTTTGTATTTGATAGTTTTCACGAGTGTGTAAACTTTCAAATTCTAGATTTGTTTGGATGTGTCTTCCAATATTCAGTTGTATGCTGGTTACCATTGTTAGGACAGAGACATTTTGTTTTTAGCTTAAACTTTTATCACAGTTAAAAGGAATTGAACTTAAATTTCTTGTTGCTTGGCTTATTCCAATTCATTTAAAATCTGGAACTTTTCCAGTTCATTCCCTGTTAGCATCTTACTGACCACATCAATTTTTATAGTTGATGTTTTAGGTTCCATATATTTTTTATTATTCTCATATCTGAATAAGCAATACATGCCAGGTTTGTCACAATCTGGGAATACAAAAGTTGATCCAGAGAAATTAAATGCACGGCTTGAGGTATGTCGAGCTTTTGACAACATGGATTTCTAATTTGTTTGAAAATTGATGAGTTAGTGCTTTTCCAATTGCTATTTATACTTACACTTGCACCACCCTGCTTCTGTTTTCGGTACTCAATCCCCTTTACTCGATTATCTTGGCAGTGATGTAATATAATGCAATAGTATGCAGATTTCCAGGTGTTATCTCGATTTCCTTTTTGTGCTAGGTTTTTAAGGGTTCATTCATTGCTACACTAGGAAGTAGAATTACCCTGTCAAAGAGTTATTCATACGGAGAATTCTGTTCTAGCTTTTCTGCCTTATCAGTTGTTGGCTTATTTGCATTTCTTACATTTGTTATGTTTTGGTGAAGTAACTGGTGGCATATCATTTAAGTACATTCATCAGTTAATATGCGTTATAATAGTTGTCATACATCATGCTATCTTTAAGTGTCAATGCTTCAAAGACTGCTTTCTTTTTACTTTCAAGGATTGAATAAATTTTGAATTTCATGGTCTCATACGTGGAAGAAAATTTCTTCAGGGCGAGTTAGGACTGACGGTTAAGTGATTTCGGTTCAAGATTGTATTTAGTAATCCTTAGTGGGCAAGTCATCATCTTGTTCGCCCAAGTTTTTGTTGGATTGTTCTATGCATAATTTCTTTCAGCAATTAATTTTTCACTGTTGTGATTATTTATTTTTTGTCATATCTTATATTTGGTTCCCTATACGATTTGTTTGTTTTTTTTTTTTTTTTTTTTTTTTTTTTTTGGTTCCCTATACGATTTTGGTTTGTTTTTTTTTTTTTTTTTTTTTTTTTTTAATTTCCCCCTTTTTTAATCGTTTGTTTTATTTCAGCTGTTTTTTTCTCTTGTTCCATTTTGTATATAATTTCAAACATGTGATTGATTTTATCTTATCCAAGTATTAATTGAACAAAACTGATTGTCTTGGATCCATCTCGGCCTTTTTTTTTTTTTTTTTTTTTTTTTTTTTTTTTTAATTTCCCCCTTTTTTAATCGTTGTTTTATTTCAGCTGTTTTCTCTTGTACATTTTGTATATAATTTCAAACATGTGATTGATTTTATCTTATCCAAGTATTAATTGAACAACTGATTGTCTTGGATCCATCTCGGCCTTTGGAATCTCTTGTAGTACATCGAGGAGATGTTGCAAAAGGTGAAAGAGGAAGAGAGGCTCCGCTTAGCATGTGGATCTCCTGATTATTCTTCTGCTTATATCATTGTAGACAGCCAGTGTTCTGATCAGCATGATAAATTGCCTGGTATTGATGAGAAGCTACAATCTGAAATTCCCTTGCAGGAAACTGTCCCTTCCTTGGCACCAAGCTTAAATGAAAGCCATGTGCACCAACCTGGGAGCATTAGGGACTGCTCAGATCCTCCAGAGAACCAGACAGAAAGCGGATCTTTCACTTGTGCCTCTGTTACTTCTTCAAAACCTGATTTTTCAAAGTTAAAGGGGGAAATATGCTTGGACAATTTGTCAATTAAAGAACTTCATGAAACTTTCAGAGCAACATTTGGGCGAGAAACTACTGTCAAGGACAAGCAGTGGCTGAAGAGAAGGATCACCATGGGATTGACCAACTCTTGTGATGTTTCGGCAACAACTTTCATAATCAAAGATAACAAATTGGTTAAGAAAGGCAAAGAAGAAGGTTCTGTTAATGTTGATGCCTTTGCCAATGATCCAGTAACAGGAACAATAAATAACAGTCAGGAAGGGACACCAATTACCCATGATAGTCAACTGGAAGATCAAGTTATTTCCGACAAGAGAAACCATAGCATAGGTGACAATTCTGGAAGTGAAGATCATAATACAGAGCAGAGAGCTGCGAAACGAGTTAGGAAGCCTACAAGACGATATATTGAAGAACTTTCAGAAGTAGAGTCCAAAGAATCTGGTGGAAGGTTAAGGACATCAGTAAAAAGTTCTGGAATTGGACAGGTGTCCTCAAAATCTCATCTTAGGCCTGTTAGAAATGTCTCTACAGATGGGAGAACTGTCGTCACAAGGTTGGATTCCCTTGGAGGATCTGGGATTCAGATTCCATGTGTTTCTCGGGTACGAAGAAGCCGTCCAAGGAAAAATTTCATGGCTCTTCTGGTATGTAAATCTTATGTTCTTGATAGCATAGCTGGTGAACTATTTACATTTTTCTTCCTTTCACCAATTGGCTTGTGTTCTTTTTGGGTCTCAATTCTTTTGTTTATGCATGCTCATTTATTTGGGGTGATATTATTGTCGAATGCATAATGGTGTTGAAGTTACATATTTTTATATTGTATAACGTAATTGTATTTGCAGAAGTTCAATCCAAGTAGTGCGGGCATGACTGCTACACTGGTAAAGAAGGCACTCAGTGCACATAGTTTTCTGCCAGATAATGATGCTGGGAACAAACTTATGAAGGCTCAATCTGCTCCTGCAAAGGTTCAGCATCAGGTAGATTAGTTGTTTCTCTAATATGCTTATGCAAATGTCTATTCATTTTTTATTTAATCCAATAATTCTTCCTTGCAAATAGTTCCCGTTTTTTCCTCATCTACTTTCATTTTTTTTTATTTTATTAGAGCTCCACATTTCCTTGGTTTTATTTTTTTTTCTCAAATTAATTGGCACTTCTTATCGCTCTGATATAGATTAGGAAGGATTCTTTTCATGAAAAGTTTGTTTTCTCAACATTTTATGTTAACAAGCTTATTGCAAAATAACTTCATTTCTGATTGGATTGAATGTTTTATTATTCAGTTTCTAGGTATACCAGACAAAGAAAAACCACTCACAGCGGTGGGTGCAGTTGAGCTAGGGCATCATAAGATGCTGAAACAAGTGGATTCATCTGGGGATTCAGATGATAATATAGTTACTGTGCCTACGTCAAAAGGTGGAATCAGAAGGAAACATCATCGGGCTTGGACACTGTCTGAGGTTATGAAGCTAGTTGAGGGTGTATCTAGGTATGGCGCTGGAAGGTGGTCTGAGATCAAGCGGCTTGCATTCGCATCCTATTCATATCGCACTTCTGTTGATCTCAAGGTATGATTGTTTCTTTGGCTGTTAAAATTTCATATTTGTGAACAGCTAAATGTCCACATATGGATGCCCTCACAATGGTTTTGCATCAGATATTGGCTGATAACAAATTTAATTTTTCAGGACAAATGGCGAAATCTACTGAAAGCCAGCTTTGCACAGATACCTGCAGATAAAGGGGTGAGTAACTAAATCTATTATTTTCTTAATCTATGCAACGCATTGGTTAATAGTGATTGTTTTCATATATCCAACACGATTATAATGCAGTTAATGTGTTCTTTTCTCTTGGCGAACAATGTCAGATAAATTCTCGGAAAAATGCTGCTACAATGCCAATTCCGGAACCAATTTTGTTGAGAGTTAGAGAGCTTGCTGAGATGCAGTCACAGGTTCCACCCAATATAAGCACGAGCAAAGTGGCTGGAAGTACTGGAAATAGTGTACATGAAAAACAATCAGGGTACTTGTAACATTGTAACTAGTGCTAGATCTTAGATGTATAAATTGCAAATACACGCACGTCAGTTTGTCAACTTCTTTTATCCCTGTTCTTTTCGCTGCTGCCTTGCCCTTCCAAGGTGGGAATCACGGGTAGACTGATACCTAAACATACAAATCAGTTGTGGGAAATACTTAATTGACGTAGCCTAGAGAAGAGACAAAGTAGTTAAAGAGAGTGAGTGGATTAGTGGGAAAAATAGTTCACTTCAATAATGCATGTTAATGGATTTCGATGGACAAGTTTCTGGCTTTTGAGTGCCTTCCTAGCTAGTTGCTACTCGAGAAAAATAATAATAATAATAAAAATATTCATATTAGTGTTTTACTAGTGGGTGTAACTTGACTAAATTAAATTAAAATTGAAAACTAGTTATTTTTATTAGGAAGTCCATTAGTCTTGTGAAGTGAGACTTTGACATAATGGGAATAAGGTAAAACACTTAATTATGTTAATTCTTTGTGTTTTATTGAAATTATTTTTTTTTCTTCTCTTTTTTTCATAATAAGGGCCAAAATTATCTGAACTTCAATTGTAACAATTCTTATGGCATTCTCAACTTTTATTAACGCGATACTCACACTAGCTTTCTAATGAAATTTAGTCTAACAGTTGTTTTGTTGCAGTAAGTATAAATTGAAGTTGGATACTTCTTTTATTTTATTTTATTTTTTTACAAACTGAAACTCCTATAATAGATTGAAATTCTAGTATTTAGTTATTAAAACAATTATGTTTACTGAACAAGTCTTTCATTTTTTTTTTTTTTTTTGGAAAAGAAAATAATGGCAAGTCCTGTGCATTGTAAATTTAAAGTATCCAATTTAAAGTGTAATGTAGTAAAAAGAAAAAAAGAAAAAAAAAAAAAGGAATTCAGAGGCATATGGTGGATTTTTATGCTCCATGAAATGGGCCTCCATTATCAGCCAATTAAATCGTCCAAGCCCTAATTATTTGCTCCTTTTCTGAGTCGTTCATCGGCACCTCTACTGTATCTGCCTGTTCCACTCCTTTCCTCATCTCTGCAACTGGGATCGCCTTCGACTCAGTTTGATTGCGGTGAGTCATCTAAATTCAAGGGCTTAACACGCTCCTAATGAGCTAAGTTTATATTGCCTTTGGTAAAGTTAACGGAGACGTGTTGAATTACAGTTTTGCTTGTTGATTATGAGCTTTAACTCGGTTGATCAATGACATCGCTAGAATCTATGCTTAAAATTTGAAGCTTTGGTTGTTTCTGTAGGCGGTGTGGCGGCTAAAATCAAGTGAAAATGGGGATAATCGAGAAGATTAAAGAAATCGAAGCCGAGATGGCTCGAACCCAGAAAAATAAAGCTACAGGTTCTTAGGAGTACACATGTATATTTGAATAAAAATAAAATGATTATAGTGTATTTCATTACCTTGCTTAGTTGTTGCTATTGAATTCCTACTCTGATATAATAGCTTTCCAGGACTTTCAAGTGAGAGTTTCTGGCTTTTTTTTTTTCTTTGTTTTTAAATTTTTTTTTTTTTTTTTTTTTTTTTTTTTTTTTTTTTTTTTTAGTTGTTGCTATGAATTCCTACTCTGATAATAATAGCTTTTTTCCCCCCCCGGGGTGAACTTTTCAAGGAGGAGTTTCTGGCTTTTTTTTTTCTTTGTTTAAATTTTTATTTTTTTTTTTTTTTTTTTTTTTTTTTTTTTTTTTTTTTTTTTTTTTTTATCTAGCTTATTTTGTTTTGTATTGAAATTACATTGCGATTACCATCTTGGCCAGCTGAAGGGCAAGATTTAGCAAAAGCTAAGGACACAGTTGTGGGAAGCTCTCCTAAGTATATGTCCAGGAATTTTTTTTTTTTTTTTTTTTTTTTTTTTTTTTTTTTTTTTTTTTTTTATCTAGCTTATTTTGTTTTGTATGAAATTAACATGCAGAGTACCATCTTGGCCAGCTGAAGGCAAAGATAGCAAAGCTAAGGACACAGTTGTTGGAGCCTCCTAAAGTATATGTCCAGACTATCTTATTACTATTAAAATGCGTTTGGTTAACCTTTGAGATAGTAATGGCTTGTAAAATTAATAGTCCTTGCATGTGTCAAGCTTGCCCTTTGCATATATGGTGGGGGTCTGTGGGTATGCTAGCTGGTGGTGAATACTTTTTGGATAATCACTTCTTAGTTCTTACTAACTCATTCTCTTGCACTGTATTTCGGATATTAGCTACTGGAAAAATTCTGGTTGTCAACATGCCTCTACCTCCTTAAAACTCTATCCTTGAACTTATATTTATAATTATCTGGCAGTTTATCACTAGATGTAGTACAATTTAGGTTTACTGGTGAAAGCATCAGTTAAGCCTCTGACATTGTTGGTATTAGTAGGTATTTAGTAAGTCTTTTTATGTTCTCTTCCTTATACATGTGCTGTGATTGTCATTGTGAGGGGTATTCTAACACCACTAAAATTTGGTGTATCATGGTCTTCTAGGATTGTGGTCAAGTTGGTTGGTCTAGTTCATGATACATTGTGGATTGCTCTAATAGTGTTTTAACGCTGCTTTGCTGTTCTTGATTTTATCTCTTTTTATTTATTTCGGAGTTGTTGAACATGCGGTTGTTATTTCTTTTCTGATTCAGGGATCAAGTGGAGCTGGAGATGGTTTTGAAGTTACAAAATATGGTCATGGACGTGTTGCACTGATAGGATTTCCAAGGTCCGGGCAACTTTATGATTTGCAAATATCACATTTGTGTTTATGCTTGATTGTCCAATGCATGTGGACACTCATGCAAGATTCTGAAGTAGACTGATTGAAAAATATTTAAATTTTGGAGTGCAATTTTTACCTTCAGAACAAGGTTCCAAGGCATAGTGACTTTTTATGAGAAAATATCAGTGAAATTCTGGGTTTTCCTATTTAATGGCTGACTTTTATTGCCTTGCTTCTGGAAAAAGAAAAATTTTAGTTTCCTTCAATTTATAAGAAGATAATGCTGATGCAATCTCAATCAGTCTTGAGTTTGCCTGAAAATGCCAACAAGTGAAATTTTGTTCCTAATTCTGAATGCAGTGTTGGGAAGTCCACTCTCTTAACAATGTTAACTGGTACTCACTCAGAAGCTGCATCATACGAGTTCACAACACTTACCTGTATTCCTGGGATTATACACTACAATGATACTAAAATTCAGCTTCTTGACCTTCCGGGAATTATTGAAGGTGCTTCAGAAGGCAAAGGTCGTGGGAGACAGGTACATTGACCCACCTGCTTATATTCTCATCTTATGTTGTTGAGCTTGTTGCAAGGAATCATGGGGTTTTCTTTGAAGGCCATGACGGTTGTTGAATTCAATATTATTTTTTCTTTATCTATTTTGTTATACTGGCTGTGTACTATGGGAACTTAAAAGACATTTATTTTCTTTTTCCCTCTCAGGTTATTGCTGTTTCCAAGTCTTCAGACATAGTATTGATGGTTCTTGATGCCTCAAAAGTAAGTGCTTATGTAACATATATGGTGTAGTGTTTTGGCTACCGTTGGTAGCTTATTATATATATGATGGCTATTGTAATAAGCCTAAGGCACATTGGATCTCTCGCTATGAAGTACTTTTCAATATTTCAAAATCATTGTCAGCCTTTAGCATGAACTCTAAAATGAGAAAAGTCATCAAGGGGAAGAGTCCTTTTCATTAGCTTATTATATATATGATGGCTATTGTGATAAGCCTAAGGCACATTGGTTCTCTCACTAAGTACTTTTCAATATTTCAAAATCATTGTCAGCCTTTAGCGTGAACTCTAAAATGAGAAAAGTCATCAAGGGGAAGATTCCTTTTCATTTTCCTGGAAATTTATAACAATAACATGAAGATCCACCAGTTCTGGTCACCTTTGAGTTCTTTTTGAGGCAATGCTAACAGTTCATTATCAAACTTCTTCCTATCCATTTCCACTCTCATTTTTTCATTTAATAAAAAACAAAAAGAATTTGTTTCTTCATTTTACTCCAGATTGCCATATGCTGGGAAAATAATGGGTTCCTCTGCTGCTTCATACATGTTCCAAATTATATTTTTGCTCATGCTCAATCGAACAAACTATTTGTATATTTTATTTCCTACTGCTGCATTTTTCTATCTGCCAATTGTGCCTAATCTGTCTGTAAATTATTTTTAGAGTGAGGGCCATCGACAAATATTGACAAGGGAACTCGAAGCTGTGGGTTTGCGCTTAAACAAGAGACCACCTCAAGTAAGTGTCTATTGGGGGCCAGCATTCAAGTATCAATGACAACTTAAAAGATAATTAAGGAATTAATATTTAGGCCTTCTCTCCTTAAGTTTGTCATATCATTGGAACATTTTAGTCTTCAACGCAATTCCAGTTAGGTTGAACTTGATTACAAACTTATCAATATGATATCTTGCTTCTAGTTAGGTCTAATATGCTGCTGTGTAGATCGTTTTCCAATGTGACTGATAAGCATTTGCAAAACCTTAAAGGATTTGTGATTAGTGTATTCATTCTGGCTTTGGATTCCTCTTTCTTTGTCAGATTTACTTCAAGAAGAAGAAAACAGGTGGCATCTCTTTCAACAGCACTCTACCATTAACTCATGTAGATGAGAAGCTTTGTTATCAGATTTTACATGAATACAAAATTCACAATGCAGAGGTACTTTCTACTTTATGCCAATGGAAGTCGTGCTTTTGCATTTGTGATAGTAATACAGAATCATAGGACACATGATTTATTGTGACAGCTGATCGGGCTATGCAATGGTGATTATAAACAACTTCTACTAATAACAGTAGTGGCATAGAAGCACAGATGGGACCATTGGGACTTCCTGTTCTACTCACTGTAATTTTTTTTTTTTTTTGGACTGTTTCAGCATAATTAATACTTACCTTTCTTATGACAAAGATTTATGTTATAGAAGTTAATTATGCTTGATGCCTAATCAAGTTTGACTCTCTAACTAAGGCTTGATTCTCCAGATAATAATTTGTACTGTTGTCAAATTGCAAATGGATGATTCAAAATTTGCTTATATTCTGTTCCTCTTCCTCTTTCCATATAAATTAGCTTTCTTTGCTTACATGTTGTTCGTTCTTATTCTCGCCTTTTGGGGGTGCACTTGTGGAATAATCAATTTTGAAATGCTTTTCACAGTTTTCCATATGATACTTATTTACTGATAAATTGGATGTAGGTCCTATTTCGCGAGGATGCCACAGTTGATGATCTCATCGATGTCATTGAGGGTAACCGCAAATACATGAAATGCATATATGTCTACAACAAGATAGATGTTATTGGTATTGATGATGTAGACAAGTTAGCTCGCCAACCAAACTCTATCGTCATTAGCTGCAATTTGAAGGCAGGTTCTGCATACCCTCATTTCTGTTAAATTGTGGTGCTAATATGTAACATGTGGAAGCAACATAACATAAATGAATCCATCTTGATTCAACATTTTTTAGGCCATAAACTATAGGACTGGCTTCCGTGAGTCATGTTTGTAATGCATGTTCCTTTGCAATGTATTTATGTTCCTTTGCATTTTATGTTACAAAAACAAATCTTGAAACATCTAATTCCTATTTTTTGGTTAACAAAAAGAAAGAAAGAAAATTTCTAATTCCTAGTGAAAAGCCAGTTTTAAGGGTAATATGGTTAAGCCAAACTAATGTGAACAAAATTCCCATATGATGTGATTGCTTGAGAACATTTAACTTTTGCTTCTTGTTTCTTAAACAGCTCAACTTAGACAGACTACTCGCAAAGATGTGGGAAGCAATGGGCCTAGTGAGAGTCTACACAAAACCACAAGGCCAGCAACCTGATTTCACTGATCCTGTGGTTCTTTCAGCTGTATGTTGCAGACTTCTGTTTTTATTTCATCCGCAAATTTTTCTGGCGATCAGTTCTGTATCTGTAGAAATTCACCATTTCTAATTTTATTGAATTTGTATTTTGCATTACAGGATAGAGGGGGCTGTACAGTTGAAGACTTCTGTAATAACATACACAGGAGTTTAGTGAAGGATGTGAAATACGTTTTGGTGTGGGGCACGAGTGCACGGCACTACCCTCAACACTGTGGCCTTGGCCATGTTCTACAAGATGAGGATGTGGTTCAGATTGTTAAGAAAAAGGTGATGAATGCTTAAATTGATGATACAAAAATTCAGTGCACAAGTTGAATAACTACAATAAGTACAAGATTTTGAAACTATGCAAGCATTCAATTGTTTCTGGACTTTTTGTTTTTCTTCTTTATAATCTTTTGCTTGGATTTGGATCATTTTGATTTCTGTTTGCACTAAAATTAGTTGTCTGCTTTTGCAATTATCCAGGAAAAGGAAGATGGAGGCAGGGGTAGGTTCAAGTCACATTCAACAGCTCCTGCTCGAATATCTGATAGAGAGAAGAAGGCTCCCTTGAAGACATGATACCGTGAGTTGGCATTGGCGTGGGTTGCTGTATCTTGTGCTTGTAACTTTGATGAAGCCCTCGTGGTTTTCTTGTCTTTTTGGTTGCTTTAGTTTATTTAAAATTTACATGGCATGAAAGGCTAATATTTTAAGGTAGTACATGTATCTCTGCGACTTCTTTTTGTTTTTTCTTTTTTTGGAATGACACGCATCATTTGTATGCGAATCAGCGTTAAATTGGATCCATGAAGCGTCATGGTTTTTGGGAAGCAATACACAGTGTAACACTTGATGTGGTATACTATGGAATGGAATTGTTATATTTCTTTTTTGTTTTCCTTTATTTCTAGTCAAGTTATGATTAAGACCAAAGCATTTGGATCAGGTCATTCATGTAACTGACAGTTAATACTGTTATATATGATATATATTTGAAGGCAATAATCAGAAATTTATAAACAAAGATCATCCAGAACAGCATCCTTGGGGGCCATAATCTGATGCTCCACAGGCAATTGTATTTGTTGGTTGTGTTGACAGGAGAGGAGGCAATCAACCACCTTATTCTTAGTAGGCTGAGGAACTGTAGCAAATACTTCAAATTGTACCCATCTTAGGCAACAGATAGACACCTTACAAACAATTTATAATTGTCAATAATCAATTCTCCAAAGTTTTAGCTAAGGGAAGTGCTTCAATTGGAACACATCTCCTCGCCTTTGGCTCTCAACCGGAAGAACGTCTCTGCACAGTTTCAAACAGGGCAAGTTGAGTCAAAAAATAGGAGTCTTGCTCCTTGCTCAGCAGAAAATTTAATGGAGTAACGGGCATCAATTATATTTTGATTCTTGTCTGAAGTAACTGATAATTGAAATAAAGCAATTTTGAACTGTCCAAAACACAAGGTAGATTAATATTTTAAACAAGATTAACAATAATCATGAATTTATATTGGCAAAATCTTGGATTACAAGAATAATTTTTCTACCAAACGTTTTAGCTAACCAACGTTTTGTTCTACCAAACTTCCTATTTTAATTACAAAGAATTATTTAAAGAATAATTTAATCGATTATCCTTATTTTTATTAGAATTGAGGTGATTTAATTTTTCTTTAATTTTCGGAAAAGTCAAAAAAAAAAATATGAAGATTAACAGAATGTATTATTCTTTTTCATTTTATTTTTTCTCCATAGTCTATGAATGTCCAAATAAAAGCATATGAGAAACAAGAAATTTGTCCAATTGGTTGATGTGTGGATATGCGTTACCATTTATAGGTTAAAATGGATTCAAGAATCTGAGCCGGCAAAGGCAAACTCCACAAATAAATGGTATCTTCTTCATTCTCCTAGAATATATTGATTTCTTGGAAAAATGCTTCCTTCGGCTACAGCCTTGAGCAAAGAGACTTCTCGTGTCAAGAAACTGTCTTGTTGCTATGCTCTTTGGAAATTTCACAGGAAGCTTTTCGGCTACAAGGTCAAGGACCAGAGCAGCAAAACCTGTAATGGTGAAACATTTCCTCCACCATATTGTAAGCCCTTTTAACACCTTTTTATCAATAAAATAGCTAAGAAGCAGCCATGTCTATTCTATTGTATGGCCTTGTGCTGTTAGGAACTATCGCCATTGCATTTGCAGTCTATGCTTTAGTCATGCTAAGATTCCAGACATCTCGTCATCTGTTATCTCAACCGGGGTTAACAAGCCCTGCAGAGCCAAAGGACAGTGTTTCACTTAACCTAAGTTCATATTCAGCTTCAACATTCAAATATAAAAAAGAGAGTGAAAATCCAGAGGCACCACCTGAAACTGAATGTGTAGTCTGCCTGTCAACTTTTGAGGACGAGGAATACGTTCGACGGCTTTCGGATTGCAGGCACTCGTTTCATGCTCCTTGTATAGACATGTGGCTTTACTCTCATTCTGATTGTCCACTTTGCCGTACACCAATTCACCGACTGGATTCTGATGATGGTGGACTGACGACAGAGAACTCCATAGAAGGTCTGGTATTAGATTCTAGTTCTGAGCTTTCACCTCCACCTAATTTATTATCCGAACAATAAATCATGAAAAACAATTCATTGTTATTACTCAAAGGTACAATTTTTGTGTGTTGCTACGCGATTATGAGCTCTTCACACATTTTCTTGGAGAGAATTTCCATTAAAATGCTGTCATCACTCCATGTTTATTGGGATACACGAAAGTCTTTACATTAGTATCAAACCTTGCAAATGTAAAATATACCAGAAGCTTAAAACGTACTATCTACAAAAAGAAATCTAATTCTTTTGCTAATAATATACCAACTATGCAATTCAAACACAAGTGTTACATAACCAATGTTGGATATATAGCCAAAGAAAAGCTATCTTTTACCATCATCTCCAAAATTACATCTTTCTCAAATTATCTAATCTTGCTTGTAAATCGTCATCTATCCCACTTTCTTCATGAGTCCCAGTTGCTTCAGCCTGGGCGACCTTGTTTTTTGCAGCTGGTGCAGAGACAGCAGCTGAGGGTGCATTGACAAGCTGCATATTTAAGAAACCATCATACTATTGCATCATACTTCGAATTTTACTCTCTGAGTGGGAAGATATTATAGCACATAGGCTGATGCTTTCTTGCTTTAATAGTTAAATTCAGTTCACAATGAGCAGAAAGAAAAAGATGAATGGAAATGGATATACCTCATTGTTGATATCAATTCCAATCTCATCGAGCACTTGATTTACAAGCTCTTCTGTTTCTTCTTCTTCTGCATCTCCTTCCAAAGCATCATCAATAGCATCCCCCATCACCTCAGTAACCATTTCCATCTTTTCATTCTGCCTCTCAAACTCTTGCATTATCTTCTGCAATGATGGCAAGTTCATCTGCCTATTCATCCGGCCCATTGCCTGTGTGACACCTTTCATGGCCTCCCCCATTGCTTGAGTTGATTTCAATGTCTGAAAAACAAATTAATTTTTGCTCAAATCAAATAACTGAAAAACCATATTTATTAGCAAAAGCATGCGTGCATGTGCATAAGTTTGTAACTGAAATCATGTAGCAAATTTATCCTGGTCACAGGTTCAAATATCAACAAGAAGCACAATGTACACAAATAATGGAAAGCACCATTGCAAAAACACACCTGGATTCTTAAGGCCACACCCTGCAGTTGTGATTTAAGTTTATAAAACTTTTCAATTTGATGTCTTGTTCGTATAAGGTCTTTCGCCATTACCTTCACAGCTCCCTGAAACAGCCCAAATAATCAGTCTCATAGATAAAGCTTTCTGGCAGCCAGAAAATTTTGATATTTGAGTTATGTACCCTCCCCGTCAATAAATGGCAAAGATGAAAAAGTGATCGAACATGGAATGCAAACAGGCTTCAGTATAGACAAAGTAACCATAATATGAGCTTAGGCGTTAAGAATGCTGAGTTTATTCAGCCTTGAAAAGACTCGTACAACCACTTAAGAACCATAGTAGAAGCTTAAATTGGTACAGTAATCGACAAGCAGATTATGTTTCATGATCAAGTAGCATCTCAGTACCACTCCAGTGTACAAAATTCACCACATCAAAGTTGTCGTACTTCACTATCCAGTGAACTAACAAGATCCAGCAAACTTCTCATATCCCCCACATCTAATCAATTTAGAACTCAGAACCTTCAAAATAGCATAATCTCAAGAACTGTCAACAGCCCCCCACAAAAAAATTAAAAAAAAAAAAAAAAAAAATATCCCCCACATCTAATCAATTTAGAACCAGAACCTTCCAAAATAGCATAAATCTCAAGAAACTGTCAACAAGCCCCCCACAAAAAAATTAAAAAAAAAAAAAAAAAAAAAATCCTCCAATAATTCCTAAAAAAAGCAAAGTTCCCCTAATATTAATCATTGGGACCCTTCCATGCCAGAAACTTCAGAATCCCCATGAGATCCACCTCCGAAATCATTAGAAACCTCATTGTGAGCATTTCAATGACACAACCTCTGGGTTTTCTTCAACCACTTGCTTAATCCACTTGGTCCTCCACACACCCTCTCTCCTCTTCTCTCTCTTCTTCTCTCTCTCTCTCTAAAAAAAAAAAAAAAAAAAATCTCCAATAATTCCTAAAAAAGCAAAGTTCCCCTAATATTAATCATGGGACCCTTCCATGCCAGAACTTCAGAATCCCCATGAGATCCACCTCCGAAATCATAGAACCTCATTGTGAGCATTTTCAATGACACAACCTCTGGGTTTTCTTCAACCACTTGCCTATCCACTTGGTCCTCCACACACCCTCTCTCTCTCTCTCTCTCTCTCTCTCTCTCTCTAGAGAACTATTTGCTCAATAGTGTCATACTCCTAACAACAAGTGGCCCAACCATCTAGCCAAACGCCTTGCCTAGGCATCTCTTATGCCGTTTAAACAAAATTTAGTTCTCATATTTTGGAAACAGTTCTCTATATGCTTTTACAAACCATTCAGAGTAAGCAACTACCCAATGATAAGAAATACAAAAACACAGCCATCAGAGGAATGCCCCTAGCTCTGATAATACCAAGGTATCAGGCCTTAATATTATTACTTCTCATAAATTAATAACAGCTACTCACCGTCAAAGTGATAAGCTTCATTGCAAAGTGATTAAACACAGAAAGCACAAAAGTACCCATACGTGATGCAATCATGCAATTCAATATAAAGACAAATTTTACCATCTGCCCTTGTTTAGCATTCTTCTTAATTTCGACGATCAGCTTCTTTTCTTGAGCTTGAAGACCTTGTCTTTCCCTTTCTATTTCTCTAATTGACTTGTCTATCATCCTCTTATTTTCTCTCAGAAGCTCTGCACCCAAAACAAAAACCAAGAATAAACTCCTTACTCAAAACCCTAAACACAGATCAAATAATAATATCTTACACTATCGAATTCAGTTCAAACGCCTATACAAACTAATACATGAATTAGAATTACAATAAAAAGATGAATACAGTACTCAACTTAGAAAACGGAAGAAACCAATGAAGTACCTGCAGGTGTTTTCTTCTTTCCAAATAGAAAACTCATGTTTGCTTTGTGAAATCTTTCTCCGTTTCTCGCCTTCTTCAATGGAAGATTGCTTAGGAAAATGCTTTGTGTTTGTTCTGTTGTGCTTTTACGTTGCAACGCAGATACGGTAGTTAGGAAGGAAAGTAAAATGGGCTGTCAATAATTTTGTAAGCCCAGCCCATTAATCCAAGTCAAAAACGTAGAGGGCCATCATGGATGGTGCTTAGCTTCTTATTCATTAATATTTTTTTAGTTCAAATTTGTAATAAAGGAGGTAAAATGACGAGTAAATTTTAAAATTTTTATTTCTCATGTAATTGAAAAAAATTAAATTTTGAATCTGAAATTTAATATGGATTAAAGCCATGATTTTTAATGTATAGTACTAGAATGTATTGTTGCTATATGAGTATTGCTTTATAATATGATTTAAATTTCAAAATATTCCTATTTTCCTTTTTCCTATTTTTGATGTATAGGAAAAAAATTTCATAGTGTGCATCATATTTTTTAGCAAGAATACTAATTTTTTTCAATTATTAAACACGGTCAATTCTATGTTTATGTAATCACAACCACCACACTTGCTTTGTCCAAGATTTGATCAAGGTCCATCAAAATATGCTTTTGTTGCTAGTAATTTAACGTTGTTAATGGAGTAGGTTCAGCCTTTTTTTTTTTTCTTTTTTATAAATAAAGCTAATGAAATGTACTATTAATGGAGTAGGTTAAGCAACTTCTTTTTTTTAACCGTAAAGGACTACTTATGGGTAAGTCAGACAGACCTGGCCCAACTCCATTATTTGCCGAGTGCAAACCGGCATATCATTGGCCCAATTAGGCCTCTTAGCCGAACCCGAATAAGAACTTGGACTTTTTTGTTTCATTGTTTTGGTTGCAGTGAGAGTTGTTTCCACTATTTACTTATGATAATAAATTTTTTTTTAAAAAATACTTTATGTATTGATTTGTTGTATGAAAAATTCAATTTGAGTTTTGTCCTTCATTGTTAGTCCAAATTACACATTTGGGTCCAAGTATTTTTGTAATTTAAATGTTGTCACTGTCGTGACATCAGTATATATATTAATTAAAGCAGGCAAAGCTACAGCGGAACTTCATTTTCAGGTACTCACAACAGCAAATACCGCCTAATTTCTTTTATTGGAAGTCAAGGTTCAGTCGTTAGCATCGAATTAACTATTATGGGGTCAATCACCAACTATATAATATATCTATAAATAGCCTGAAACTTTCAAATTTGTTCATACAAAACACCATCTGACAAAGACTCGCACCAGAATTTTTTTTCTTACATTAATTCCATCGCCGCAATTTACTGTTGGCATATTCTTAATATTGTCATAGTCAGCATCTGACTAGATACATGTTATAGGAATTGAACCAGTTGTGCGTTCGATGTTGAGCTAGCTTAATCATAGACTCATAGTCTCAATCAAATCGCCGTGAAATGACAAGCATCAAACCTATATATGTTCTTCAAAACAAATTATTTATTTTTGATTTTGATAAGATCTCAATTTAGGTCTTAGTACTTTTCTAATCGCTCCATATTCTTATAATCGGGAGATTTCGAACCCTAATTTTGTAAATAAAATTCGCACTTAATTTTATATAGTTTGTGTTTATCACGTGCAAATCGAAAATATTGAAATTCATTGTTATAAGAACTTTGAAAAAATTGCTTGCTTCCTTATATCATGAACTCATCAAATGGACAAATATATTTTAATTTAGGTTTTAACATAGAATATATTAATTACAATATACTCGATAAAAAGAAAAAGGCAAGTTCATTAAAGAAACAACCCTAATAATATAAAATTAATGTAGTGTTCAAGCAAAAAGTGTGAACAGATAGCGATGGCATCCATTAATGGAAAGCATGGAAGAAGACAATGCATTGATGCAATAACGTTTCATAAGATTAGATTGCAATAAGCATTCGTAGGGGTATTTGTCATTGGTTTCTTTAGTCATATCGATCGAACCACTTTTCTTTTTTTTTTTCTTTTTCCAAAAGGAAGTCATACATTTCTAGGGTTTTCACATCACTGTCTAATGAATTTTTAGATCTAAATTTTACTCTATTAATATTTTTTTAGTCATTTTGATTATTGGTAGAATCAGAATGTATAATTACTTTCAGGCTTTATATTTTTTGCTCTCCCAATAGATTAAATTTGTATTTTTAAAGTTCAATTATTACCACAACTAACGTCTTATCTTTTTAGTCACTGTCGTTATTAAATCTCACAAAGTTAGGATAAAACTTTATATCATGCTTCATTGGAAAATAAGGACAAAGCCATTTGCAATCGTTTTCTCTTATAACTGTTAAATCCAATGATGAGGTGTCATATGATATTTATTGCATTATTATAGGTCAAGATTTTACAAATAACCTGAGAAAAGAACAGTAGTCACACACACTGTATCTTGTTTATCTCTTTGACTGGGATATCACAATCTGAAACATACACATATATATTCAAGAAAGCTCCCTCTACGGTGCCCTAATCTAACAATCTTTTTCTGCATAGTGCTTTAATTCTAGCCGGCCATTTTAAATCCCACCTATATTTTACCTATAAAAAAGACTTTTGTCCTTCCTTTTCCATTCTTTAAAGCAATCTTCTGCTATTTTCTTTTCTTTTCTTTTCTTTTATTTTTTTTTTCTGTTTTAATCCCGAGCTGTTCAAATCCGTGTCCGTTTAACGGTCTACGTAACTTAACTATTTCCTTAATTATTTCCTGTTCTGCTCTTTTCTTTTCTTTAATTCAAAAGATAAAGTGAATATATATAGTTATATTTGTAGAAACTAATACAGATTAAGCATATAATTTATACATAATATATCTCAAATGAGTTTGTAATGGACTAACAGCAACCTCCCTAATGGAAAGGCTTTTTGATAATGTTTAATTATATTAATTAATCTTTGCAATCATTATCATTTGATGGTTAGACATGCCTCAATTATATTCATGAGAAACGTGATTCTAAAAAGTGTTTGGAAGCAATAAAAGCAAAAGCAAAAGATTATTCCTATTCTTAATTCCTCTCGTAAGAAATCGATATAAAGCTACTGTCATGTTAATCAACAGCTTTATCATATTCATAATAAGTATTTATTTAATTAATTAACTATTTACCTTATAATTAATGCAAATAAAAATTTTTGAAATTTGCAACCCAATAATTCTTTCTTTTCTTTTCTTTCTTTCAAGTGTCAAAAGGTTAAGATTGGTTTGTTATATTATTGCAAGCTCTAGAATTTTGTTTGCAAGTACTTTTCTATTTTGTAATAATTTGCATCGATCACATCAAGAACAAAGCAGCAACCAAGTTTCTTGCCTGAAAATGCAGAGCTGTCTTTGTTTCTATATATCTATATCTAATAAAAAGAAGACAAAGCCTTCTGCTATATGTGCAGGATTCTTCGAGTGCTACTTTTCATGCACACCTTGCCAAAAATTTGAAGCAGAGCCAACTCATAGCTGAACCTACAGTTGCCTTGCCTGGTTACATCACACATGAAATAAAGAATACACAAAAAGAAAGGATGGACGTAATTGGCTTGTTTTCTTGGAAACGGAATTTCGAGAATTTGTTTTCTTTTTCCTAAATCCATGCATGGATTCAAGAAAAAGTAAAATCTGACATTTAAACTCATACCTCATCTCATTTGAATTCAATTACATTAATCTACGTCCGGAATTTGAGCAGGATCCGCATGATTTTGTTTGTAAACGATAATTAATTACCTTCAAAATACCTCTTACAAATCTAAAGTATGATAAAACTTAAATATCTCATTGTGAAGCAAGAGTTCGGCTCTGGACACAAAATGTAACATTTATCATCTAATCCTTCAAGGTGGTGTCACAGGATTTTTTTATTCTAATAACTATATTAAAATCCTTTTCATTCATCGAAATTATGCACTATCTCTATGTTAGACTCATTGAATCGTTGAAAACTCTTATAGTAAAAAGATTTAAACTTGAAATATTTAATTTTTCATATTTTATAGAAAGCGACAACGCCAATCAAATCGGATCAAACCAGTGCAATTATATATACAAGTTCGAATGGAAAAGTAAAGTAATCAACCAAGGATTTAAGAAAGGAATTAGTGGGTCGTGAAGTTCAAATGTACATGATCATCTCTAGCTCTCTTTGTATCTCCGAATGTCTCTTTCCAAAAGAGAAAAAGAAAAAGCTGCAAACTGTTAAAGAGTTTGATCCCCACAAAATAATCTTCTTGGGATCACCAAAAATTCTCTTATTTCGCTTTCTGTTTTTAACTCCCCACACGTCCTTAAATCCCTTTCTTTTCTTTTACTAAAGCTGCCTTGCATGCCTCTCCATTTTCCTCTTTCTCTGTAAATACCCATTTCAAAAGAAAATTCAAATTTAACTAACATGGGCGTTTCGGTCATTTGATCAAACCAATAAAACGTGGCCACACGTGAAGGCAAGTACAAGTGTCATGTGATGGATGGTGGTCTTTCTTTTGCTAGGCAATAAGGAGGCAAGCTTAATTATCCAAGAGGTCCCAATTGTGATATTTTCCATTATTTTATTTCCTTTTCTTTAATAAAAATGTTATATGCAATTGCAATGCAAAGACATGAAGTTTTGAATTTGATTTAATTTTTAAAATTTTAAATTCAATTTTTATTATATAAAAAATCAAAAATTAAAAATTCTAGAACACTAAACTGATTTATTCCAATATAATTTTAATTTAAGAATAATTGTAATTTAATAATCTGATATATTAATGGATGATGAGAAATAATGAATAAGGATACGCGGAGGAGCACACGTGTGCATGCGAGACAGGAAGGAGAGTTATGGTTGGCCACTCTATCACGTGCGCTTAAAAGTTCACTGTGTAATTCTGCATTAGTATCCACTTATTGTGGCATGCTAATGTGGACCAATAACACCATTACGCCTTTTTCCTTTTGGATTTTCATTCACTTTTTTTACTTTTGGTAAATGGAAATTTTTACTTTATTTATTTATTTCATATACATATTCAAGAAATAATAACTACAAGCAATAAAAAAATATTTAAAAAATACCAACATGCCTAACACAGTTACGTTATGTTGCACTGAAAAATGTGGAAAAACGAAAATGGTATGGAAAAATAATATTTAAATTGAAATTTACATGGAAAAATGATATTTTATATGAAAAATGGAAACATTTTTTAAACGCGAAAACACGCATGGCTAAGAAGTTTTCGTGCATCATATTAGTTATAATATGATTGATAGAAATATGATCTAAAATTAAATTTTGATCAGAATTGACATCACATATAATTACGATTGAATTGGACAAATTAAAGAGAGATAAGCTTAGAATTTCTCAATGTATAGCATTGATTTAGAAAACCCTAATGACAGATTATATTACATGATGTCATTTTGTCTGCCATTATTACTTAATTTCTTTCCACCAGTCACAAAATAATTGAACAAGAAAGCCAATAAGAACAAGGTTAGCAAACACTAACAGCAACATATATCAAACCCCAATAGACAAAAATTGTTAAAAAATGAATTATTTGCCTTCACATGACCCATTATGTGTCCTTCTATGTGGGCAGTCATAAAGTGGTTTCAACCAATCATAAATCAAATTGTGGTGTAAAATGAAACCAAATTGCTTATTAAGCTTTGGATGCATATGCCTGCTAATACCTATATGAACTAGTTGTGTATGTATGGTTGGTAAGTGACAGTCCATGATCCTCCATGGCCTGTGCATATGTATTATACATGAGAGATACATTTTGTTCTTATTGCAGAGAATATTGCCTCGCAAATACAAGTAATTTCTGAAAACAACAAAGAAATTACTGTCATAAAACTTTATGATTCGAAAGTTTCCTGCACTGGAACACTTCTTGCTTGACGAAAGTTGGGAGGTAAAATAAAAAAAAAAAAAAACGTTTGAGATTATTTAATTACGTCCTATGTAGATTTTCTGTACCCTTATCTATAAAATATGTCAAAAGATGTCAAAAGAAGAAGACCTAGACCTAAAAGATTTACTAGTTCTTGATATTAATGCAGATGTAGTTATAAATAAATTAGAATGGAAATAAAAGATTGATATAGTAAACCAAACTAAGATTTAATTGTTGTTGTTTTTATCTATATAGCAATTAGTTAATTCGACAATATTTCTAGCTATAAATATTTGAAAAATGCTTTTAACTTCTAACAATGAACGGTACGTAACTGTAATGTAATTCTGATGGAGAAGGTTTTGCACTTGCTATCATAAAATTTCTATGTATTTAAGAAGATTTTGGGTCTGTTAAGTAAATTTAGTTGTTTTAACAGCTGTTAATTGTTTTAATAGTGTTTAGCTGTTAGCTGTTTGAGTAGTTTTTTATGAAATGCTAAAAGCTAAACATTGTATGAGTTAACTTTTCAGAAAACACCACATTCAACCTTTAAAAGCTAATTCAAATGTTATGTTATCGAACACTCTAAAAAGTAGCGTTTAATATTTTGACCACCTACTTATAAGGCCTATTCAGCAATTTTAGCGGTTTTAATAGATGTTAGTTGTTGTTGTAGCTGTCAACTGTTAATAGTTAGATATTAGTTGTTAGCATTATTTGTTTATATAGCGGTTTAAAATAAAAGTGTTCAGTAAAAATAAGTGTTTGATTAGCTGTTTAATATAAAAAGATAAAAAAATGGTAAGGTCATAGAAAACAAAGTAAAGACAAGTGATAGATATAGCATCATAAAAAATATTATAAACCGCTAAATATTAATAAGGAGGATAGCGTTTCGTGAAACATTGCATCAAACTTTAAATTGTAGACTAAATGTGATCTTACTGAGCACAATAATTAATTAAAATAGTATTTTAATCCAATCAAAATACTAAATAGTACTTCAAACATTCTTGTCGAACAGAACTAAAATATTATTGCCCAACACAGCTTTTAATTACTATAGCGACGGCGAAAACCAAAAAAGGAAGAAGGTAAAAAAATGTGTAATAGCTTTTAATTACTATAGCGACGGCGAAACCCAAAAAAGGAAGAAGGTAAAAAAATGTGTAAGATGATGACTGTGGTGATGATCTTATAGGGCTATTGTCAAAGAAAAAACTTGTCAACGCCCAAGTGTAAATTGTATATCACACCTGTTCTCATCATTGGTTTCACCAACCATATAGGAAAATATTTAATTTAATTACATTATAATCACATACACATAAAATAAATATGATTTCATTTGTGGTTCTCAAATCTCAAGTAGATCCTAATTAATTAAATTATAAGTAATTAAAAATTCCCAAGCCAAGTTAATTACTTTGACAATATCATTTGATGATTTTATTTTATTTTTTTTGGATTAAGACAATATATTATTGGTCCTCCTCCATACATTATTTTTTAAACCTATAGTCATTAATTTGAACCTACAAAACTTTTGACTGTAGAGGATTATAGCCTTTTCTTTTCCTATATTCCAAGACTCCAATTAATTAAAAAAAAAGGAAGAAGGTAAAAAAATGTGTAAGATGATGACTGTGGTGATGATCTTATAGGGCTATTGTCAAAGAAAAAACTTGTCAACGCCCAAGTGTAAATTGTATATCACACCTGTTCTCATCATTGGTTTCACCAACCATATAGGAAAATATTTAATTTAATTACATTATAATCACATACACATAAAATAAATATGATTTCATTTGTGGTTCTCAAATCTCAAGTAGATCCTAATTAATTAAATTATAAGTAATTAAAAATTCCCAAGCCAAGTTAATTACTTTGACAATATCATTTGATGATTTTATTTTATTTTTTTTGGATTAAGACAATATATTATTGGTCCTCCTCCATACATTATTTTTTAAACCTATAGTCATTAATTTGAACCTACAAAACTTTTGACTGTAGAGGATTATAGCCTTTTCTTTTCCTATATTCCAAGACTCCAATTAATTAAAATTTAGGGTTAAAAAATTGCTAGTTAAGAATATTTAAAATGATAACTTAATTAGCATATCACACTGTTATGATTTAGTGGTCCTATTAAGTCTTTCTTAACGTCAATCCTAATTCATAAAAATATTATTATTTTGAGAGAAAGGAGAGAATTATATTAGCACCCACTAACTGTTTTTGATAAGAATGCACATGTGCTAAGAATTGTTTCAGTGAGATTATAATTAATTTAGAGGACCTACTAAATAATTAAGATTAGAATCTAATATGAGATTTTTTTTTTCAATAATTAATAATTGCTTCTTTAGAAATAAAATTCATAAATCTTGTATATTGCTTTTCCATTGTTCAAGATTTAAAACCTTTGAATCCTTTTCTGGCAAGAATTGGTCTGCACCAACCTATTCACACAACCACCAAATAATGAAAATATATACACAAAAGTTATTGTTTCCCTCTCCTCCTTTGAGTGGCAAAAAATTTTCCCCACATCCCTTTTCAAATGGGATTGAGCTCATTTTGAACCTTAAAGATCTTTTGAACCTATGTATAACAACTTTGGAACCACAATTCTTAAAGTCATGCTTTTTTTTTTTTTTTTTTGGGACATTTTGCATTTTATAGATCCAATGCACTAGTTATCTTAAACTTTAGTCTTCTGAAGACCACACTTCCAAAGGGTTTTGGTGAAGAGGGATCTTATATACCTAAAGAGTTGAGACCACAACATGAAGCTATAAAGAAAAGGGTAAAAAACAAAAGTAATTACTTGAGATATATGTATTAGTATAACCTTGAAGTTAAAAATGAATATTGTTATGCATTAAAGACTGCGAATTTTAAGTAATTGATGACTCTATTTGACTATTGGATCGCGAGTATAACTCTATTTGACTATTGGATCACCACTCGAGCGAGTCAGAGTGGACGAAGCGGAAGCGAGAATTAATATATCTACATATTACAGCTTTATCGCAAAAACTAATCCACCAATTGTTAGATCCTTCGTTATTTGATATGAAGATGACAGAAAATGAGAAGATACGAAAGAAAATATAACCTAGTTTTGTAATTTTTGGTTTGAAAAATGAGATTAGTGGACATACATCAGCCTTTTTGCAAACTGGAGAAGACATATCAAAAACTTTAAATCTCATGCTTATACCTAAGAAGCCAACCAAATTTGACATCAAGGCTTAGAGGATCAAAGTGTAGATCCTTTTGTCTACTTCTTTAGGGAACATATATATATCTATCTCTATCTATATATCTCCTTCTTTTTTTTCCACTAACATCATCAATTCACCCTCTTTTAATTACTTAATTAACTTGTTTAACCACCATCAAAACACTAACATATATATGCAACTTTGATTAAAATAAAATTTTAAAAAAAATGAAAAATTTTTATTGTGTATTTGCTAGTGTCATAGCTGTATCCTTCTTTTCCAAAAAATAAAAAAAAAAAAAAAAAGTGTAAATTTTTTGACTAATAATCCATTTTATCTATTGTGAGGTAGTGTTATTTGGAAGCAAATTAGAGACCCCACACAGAAAGGAAAAAAGCTCTTTAATTTATTCTTTCTCTTGCAATGAACAATTTCATTTCATGGCATGGTAGAAAATCTGCCTTTGCTTTAACCTCATCTTCTTCACCATCTTTACCCTTTCCTTTTTCTCATTTCGCGTGTGAACGCTGTTGCAGACTACTTCTTTATTTCTCCGTTTTCATTCTTTATATATACATATAATGGTCACAGTTTCTCATGCATATTTGTTCAAGATTTCCCTCTTCTTCTCTTTGAAGATCTGTCTGCATAAGTTTTTATTATATATTATCATTAATTCTTTAATAGAAAAACTATAAACAAAACAGAAAGTTAAAGAATTAAAAGAAGGTAAAGAATAAAGAAAGAAAGAAAGAAAGATGAGAAATCTTATTCTCTTTGATATGTAAACCCCCACACAATTCATTAATATTAAAGCTAAGTAATTAAGATTTTCTTGTTTAGAATTTTTCTTGGAATTTTACAAGATTAAGCCATTAGCAATGGCTCGATTAGTATCAAGATGGGTTGTTTCGTACACAGGCAATTCTTGGCGATATCTTTCAATTCCAATAGCAGAAAGATTATCCAATTCGAACAAATCAGAACTTGCATAACTAGCCACATCGTCGTCTTCATCGTCAAGTTCTTGATCTTCCTCATCACTAGACTCTCCATTTTCATTACAAAGATCTTTTACACTAAACTCTTGTTGCTTCTTCTTTTGATAATTCTTTAAAAGATCTCTTTTAACTTGCTCAACTCGCCGACTTTCATTCATTACATGAAACTTAAGCTCTGCAGCCATTAGAGTACCACTCTCTTCTTGATTATTTGCATACAGACTTTTATGTCCACAAGGCCTAGAATCCTCATCCACAATTACACTAACTGGATAAAACCTAACTGACCTTTTTGTTCCATTCCCCCTAGTGGAAGGAGTCTTACTTAAGCAAGACCTTGAAAATGAAGAAGCTGAAGAACAAGTAGATGTTTGCTCAGATTTCGACGAAGAGATCTTTGCCTTCTTTGCATTTCCAGCAGTGAAAAGAGAGTTAAGAAAGCTTGCAAGCCTTCCGCCAGGCGAAATAGGCTGCTTCACCTTTTTTAGATCACCATAGATTTTTAAGGCCTTGGATTTGGTTTTGAAAAAACTGCCTTGATCATGTTTCGGCTTCTGTGTTGCTGTTGCTGATGATGCAAGTTTTATTTCTTGAAGATGATCTATAGGCCGAGCAGAAACGCTTGTTCGAATAGGCTTAGGCCTTTGCATGACATAAATAGGTTCTGATTCTGAAGAAGAAAACCCACCACCACAACTAGATTCTGAAGAGCTAGAGCTAGAGTTAAGCAACATAGTGTTAATACGAGGCTTCAACTCCGCCATGGATTTTTGACCAACACCAACTTTTTCATAGCTAATTACTTTCTCTTGCATCCATTTCTCAATCATGCAAGCTTTTTTCAAGCTTCCAATTCTTTCTTCTTTAGCTTCGCCATTACTAGTACTAGTGTGATGCTTCTTTCTTATACTCCTAGTACTCTCCCTGTAAAAAATAAGCTCTTCCTCTCCTTTACCGTTTGATTCGTCTATCGAACGGTACATTGCATCAAGAAGAGTAGAAGAGAAAGATGGGCTGTTCTCTCTTTGGTGCCATCTGTAACTGTGATCCATAATTCTTTATAAAGAGAGAATTTAATTTCTTGAAATTGTGGACAAGAAGAATATCAAACAGTAAGTTTCAAATGATTTGATGTCTGCTGCAAGTAGTGTATGTACTTAAAAAGCTGGTTTATGTAGAAGAGCGAAATATTAATGGAAAGCAAATATAATTATGTGGAAGAGAAACTAATTAGACAAAACAGACTGGAACTCTGCTCTTTTTTGCATGCTATTACTGTCTGTATATAAAAAAGAAGTAAAGAAATCAGACATGTCCATTTGATGGGTTCTGATAGAGAGACAGAGAGAGAGAAGGTAATGAAAGCCAAAAGCCACGCCTATGAAGAAGGAGAGAAGAGAGAGTCTTTTTGTGCTTGTTTCATTCGCAGGCTCTTATAAGGGCAGGCCTTTGTACACGCATTCACTCGTACGTGCTAGTAGGCTGCCAGGTTGGCAATGCTGAAATGGCAATATCAATTTTTAATGAATTTATTTATTTATCACTGTATATGTTATTAAAGTGCTTTACTGTGTCTTCACTTTGCCTCCTCCTCACATGAACTGACACAAAATCCTTGCATTATATATGTAGTTTGCAAAAAGAAAAAAGATTTCTAATGAAGGTAACATCAAGTTCATCTTTATAACATTTTTTCCATGAAACCATCCGCCAGGTAGTCAATAAATCCGAATTTGAATTCTCCCATCTGGAGTTTAAATTCACTGGTAGTTGATAGAAATTCTAACTTTAATTTTATTGAAAGGAATTTCGAACGTTAAAATAGAAGAAGTGGACGTAGAAATTATTAAGATTAATTAGAGGACCACTTGGATTTGGTGTCAATTACATAACCATTTTGTGAAACAGTATTATTACCTAAGCTATAAATTTCCCTTATTTGGCAGTCAACTAATGCGGCTCCTTAGATGCTTTGACTTTGTAATACCATCAAGCAATCAAGGCCATCATATTGTTCATGGGATCAAATGTTGTATGTCTTTAAATTCGGTTAAATTATATATATATATATTTTGGAAACAAAACAAAAAGTTTGTTGATATGGGTTGACTAAATGGGTGGTGGTTAGGATAATAATATTAATATAATTATTATATTTTTATGTTTTAGGCAATGAGAGAGAAATTTAAAATCAAGATTGAAGGGAAAAAACAATTTTAATTTGATGATAATAATATATAAATTTACAAATTAATAAGTAGATTTATTCTTTTATATATAAAATAACTTAGCTTTGTTGCCCATTTGGATGGCAAATCAAAGAATATAATTATGCAGTTGATATGGTGAACAGGGAATGAACATATATAATTATATTTTTTTTTATTATATAGTAGTATTTGTAGATATGTAATTTACCAAGATTATGATTGAGTGTTTATGATTATGTGGATTAGCAATTTCAATACCAAATAAGAAACATGATTATGCAGTAAATATAATTAATTAAAAATTCAATTTCTTTCCATAAATAATATTATAAAGATGATTTTATTATTATTATTAATTAAAATAAACAAATTCACCTTCTCTTGTGTAATGATTCTTGTCGTTTAACCTTTTGTAGTGGTGCCAATTCAAGTCTTTTTATTTAGATAGTTTCTAACCCTGCTTAAGTTGCAGGCAGATAAAGTAATCTTATGATTTTTTTTTTTTACTAATTCTTCTGTCTTTTAGTCTTTTAATAATTTATTAGAATATAATTAAGTTAAATTTATGAAATTAAATTATCAGGAAGCGGTTCAATTAGCAAAAATAAGAGGTAATTTTACCTTAAAAATCATATATTTATAAAGATTTTACCAGAATACTGTCTTACTGCCGAGTATAAAAAAAAATAAAAATAAATGAGCTTAGGAGAGTAATTTAGAATTAATTCATAAATTGAAATTATTTCATGTTGTTAGTGGGAGGTGCTTATTTGAACAATCATTGCACTCGTGGCCTTGTAAACTTTTTGGAGAGGAGGAAGAGATCAAGAGATTTGATTTAATTAATTAATTAATTAATTAAAATTATTAATTAGGACAATAGAGTGTTTTTATGTGAAAGAAAAAAGGTGAAGAGATTAAACTGATGTGATCTGATTATTTATAGTATAAGAAAGGATTAGGACAGTGGAATTTGTGTGCTATAAAGAAGAAAAGTGAGATTTATTTAAGTAAAAGCTTCATAAAAAGTAACATGCGTGCGCAAGCCAATCTTGATCTCTTCTTCTTCTTCTTCTCTTTATATCTTCCTTCAAGCACACGAAAATTTATTCTTCATCAACAAAATCACCATATCATAACTGAAACAGTTTCTAAACAGTTATTTATGAGAAAGACAACATCAAAAATTGATAATATTAAGGTTGTTGAGTTATTGAGAGATTCCTTATAGATAGATCATATGGAAGAGCGAGGAGATTCCATTCAGATCATGGAATGACAAATTTAGGGACCCAAAATCCACCAAAATGTACAATTAATAGTTGACAAGCCCTAACCAATACTAAAAGTTCCATACCCATTTCCCCCACTACAAGACGGAATCAAAAGATTACCCTTTGGTGCATGTAGACTACACCTTCCACCATATCCCACACAACAATTAGATTTGACATATCACAAAACTTTGTTTCCTACCTTTTAGTAGAATTAAGCAAATCCACATTATTGAACTCTATGATTCCAATCAACATTAACGGGTGATAATGAATCGCATCTTCAGACAAACTTTACTTATAATATTAGAGATTTAAAATTTTTAAATCAGTCATTATTGAAAGTATTTTATCTGAATAGCGTTCCTCAGTCGGTGTACAAAAACCTTACTTATAATATTAGAGATTTAAAATTTTTAAATCAGTCATTATTGAAAGTATTTTATCTGAATAGCGTTCCTCAGTCGGTGTACAAAAACCTTACTTATAATATTAGAGATTTAAAATTTTTAAATCAGTCATTATTGAAAGTATTTTATCTGAATAGCGTTCCTCAGTCGGTGTACAAAAACCTTACTTATAATATTAGAGATTTAAAATTTTTAAATCAGTCATTATTGAAAGTCTGCAATTAGCGTCCTCAGTCGTGTACAAAAACCTTACTTATAATAGTTAGAGATGTAAAAATTTTTTAAATCAGTCATTATTGAAAGAAAACTTATCTAAATACGCCGCTCCTCAGTCGGACGTTTACCAACAAACCAGTCTTATTTGGCAAATGATTGTTTGGGATGGATTCCACCAATTGAATGTCTGAATGATAAAACGTGTTCCATCAATTCATGCCCAAAAAGAATTGATGCTAGCCTACACCTCCCCATGGGGCACAAGCCCAGCGCTCCAATCCCTCACTCTTGCTTATGCTTAGAAAATAATAGTTAGAAAGGGCAGGCATGCTTGGCCTGTCCATCACTTTCTGCATTCTCTCATCGCAAACACCAGTGGGTCACCCCAATCAAACACCCCTAATTTCTTTTCGGCCATATACCTTAATGCACTCTATCATATGCCAACAAGAGAGTTAATCTCATGCTAATCAACTCAGAACAATTGCTAATTCTCTTTCTTTCCTTCCATCATGTTGTTTTGAATTTCCACTCCACTGCACCAATGCACCCTTTTTATGTATCTTTCTTACTGGTACAGATAATTGATTGCGACTGAAGATACCAAGTTGGAATCCTAAGTCGTGCTTCAATTTCCCATCGAAGGCGTTGGCTTTGACCATCAAAGATTCTTACATGATATTTTAGGCAAAGACAATGATTGAAAAATGGCACAACACCGCCCACAATTGAAATCTTCCCACGAGGTCTCATCAACAATAAGTATCATCTTCTTTTTCTTTTTTTTTTTTTGAACATTAATCAATTATCAGGTCTGCTGTAGGATTTCCATTTAAGAAAAAAAAAAAGGAAAAAATAAGAAACAAACGAGCCATGCGCTCGCTTGCGTTCAAATCAAACTGCACAAACCCAATTCCATTAGCAACCACTCATACAGACAACACAGCCACCACCCACCTATTACACTGCACAGGGCATACACTCCACAATAGACATTGTATTATAGTCTCTCTCATTTTATATATCAAAAATATTGATCTTATGTATTATCTTAATTAATATTCTATCGCGGTGAAAAATAATTATTTACTATTTTTCAACTGTTGAATAAGCATTTATATAATAAACTCTATCCAACGGAATAGTAAGCGAACAATTCAAGATTGGCCAGAATCTTTTCATTGATAAAATCTACGAGTCTCAAAATATACTCTTCTTCCCACCCCTTACCCCTTACCCCTACCCCCAAAAATGTCGAAAGCCATAGCATCTGCATGGACTCCAACTCGTTTGCCACAAACTAATATTGTTTTTAAGTTTTCAGGTTTCTCATTTCAAACTAGTATATATAATATTAAATTCACGATTTTACTGAGTGCTACTATCTATATAGTATATTCTATATATATATACTATATATATATATATACTTACTACTATATATATATATATACATTTATATACTGTGCAGTAATTCTATAGTCGGATATCCAGTTACACGTTTGCGCGGGAACATATCATACTTCAAGGTGAGATAATGCTTCTAAGTCTCGAGGTAGAAAATATAGAGTGTCCAAGTGAAAGCGAGTGGCAAGGGGAGTCGTCGAGTAGAGGCGTGTTTGGCGAGGTCAATGGAGGCAGGGGTGCGCGAGCGAGAGGGTGCGCGCGCAGAAAGCGGGAGTGTATCCATAATTCAGTAATTGTCAGAGATGCTCAGAAGAGCGAGTGGAGGAAGACTGGGGTGGGCTGGAGGTGAGGGAAGTGTCAGGAAGGGAAGTGATGTAGCGTGCGGGGCTAGGAAGAGTCATTGAGACGGAGAAAAGTGGGTGGGTTAGATTGTAGGTTAGTGGCACGGTTCTGTTTGGGCGATTTAAGCGTGGTTACAGTTAGCGAAAATATCGAATGCACATCTGTATTAAAAAAACCGCTTCAAGATAATTCTTGAAAATTGGACTTGTAAAGCGTTAACTAGTGCAGGTGGAAGTTGCATTCACGTTGAATGGATTAATCGATAAAACCACGCAAATTATAAAACCCAAACAGGAAAAAGAAAAAGAAAGAGAGAAGCTTTTACCTGACACATAATAAAAGAAATGTGTACGTTGTGTTGCTTTAGGCAAAAGTAGGGGGCGTTGGGGATGAGCCTGGTTGAAGTTGCAGGTGGGGCGAGCATTGAAACACCCTGAAATGAATGAATTGTCGATCCACATCTCCCTCC